GAAGGGAAAGGACAAAGAGCAGGCACTTGCGATCAAATAGCCATCCGTTATTAGAGAAGCGTTACTGCGATAATGCAGACCAGAGATGGCAGTGGCCTGGCCAACAGTCATAGGGGAGGAAGTAGTGAAAAAGAGTATGATCCTGGCTGTATTATAAGGACAAAGGTAACAGAATGTACTGGTGAGTTACATGTACGTGGTGAGCATGAGGGAAGCGTTGAGGAAGTAGTTGGAAAACATAGGTCTGGAGCCCAGGGTGAACTTGCGCCAGGCGAGGTGGTTTTGGAGGGAGGGTGGTGGCTGGTTGAAATCATGGGCTCAGACAAGATGACCCAGGATGAGTATGTGGAACAGAACACAAAAGGGCAAAGGGCAGGATCCAAAACAGCACCCACCTTTGTGTGCTGGGCAGAGGAAGAGTTTTCATGTTGAACCTTACCCACTAGGTTATGAGAAACTCGAGAGTAAGCACGGAATCTTCCACATCTTTCCGCTTCCCATCGTGTCCAGCAAGGTGCTGGGCACACAGTGTGGAATAGATGCTTGTGACGAATGAACTTGACACAGTTTCATATTTCTAACCCTCCTTCCCATCACTGTGAGTTTTGAGTTTCAGGCAGAGAGAAAGAGAGAGAGAGAGAAGTTGACCCCTTGTGGCTGGACCCACTTGACAGCTGTGCTGAGGTTGACAGGTGTTTTCTGTCCTGGGAAATGGATGGAGCCGTCAAATGCTGCTTGCAGATGTTCAGGGATTCATCTCTTGCCTCTCAGGAGGATTTCCAGAGAGGCGATTTCATTTCAGATTTTGTCACTCTTGGGAAGATTTAAAAGTCAGTTCTTTAAAATCTCTAAATTAGATTTGTGCCAGGGAAGTAGGAGAAGGGATGAAAGATCTCCATCTCACCTTCGTGCATTGCTGATGAATGTAAGTGGAGATGGCTGTTTGTTTGTTTTTTGAAACTGTTTGCCCGGGTATCAAGCTAAATGGACACCTAGCCTATGACCCAGAAATTCTAATGTAAGCAAATGTCCATCCCTCCCCCCGAAAAAATGCTTTTTATTCATACTATCCCCAAACTGAAAATATCCCAAGTGTCCATCAAGAGAAGAATGGGTAGCCCTGGCCAGTGTGCCTCAGTTGGTTGGGCATCGTCCTGAGCACTGAAAGGCTGCCAGTCTGATTCCTGGCCAGGGTACATGCCCGGGTTTCAGGCTCGATCCCTGAGTAGGGGGCGTGCAGGAGGCAACTGATGGATGTTACACTCTCACATGGATGTTTCTCTTTCTCCCTCTTCCTTCCTCCCCTCTAAAAATCAATAAACTGTTGAAAGAAAAAGAAGAATGGATAAACAAACTATGGCATATTGAAGCAATGGTCTCCTACCCAGCCTGAAGGAGCTGGTCTTTAAACAATGCAATCCTTAAATTTGTTAGGAGACATTATTTCCTGATTGCTCTGAGTGGCAGGCAGATTGAGAATAAGATCCAAATGACCAATCAGAAAGGAAGGGGCGCAGAGAGAGCCCAGGAGAAAATGGAACACTAAAAATGGACAGCTGCATGAATAGCCCAGGGACTAAAATTATTTTGATTTTTCTTGACACTCAGTCAGGAGACAGGAGTCAAACTGACAGCTATTTGGAGATTGGCGATTTGAACAGGAAGAGTTTAATAAAAGCCCAGCTGGTGTGGCTCAGTGATTGAGCATTGACCCATGAACCAGAAGGTCCCAGTTCAACCTATTCAGGGCACATGCCTGGGTTACAGGTACGATCCCCAGTAGGGGGTGTGCAAGAGGCAGTCGATCAGTTATTCTCATCATTGGTGTTTCTATCTCTCTCTCCCTCCCCCTCTCTGAAATAATTTTTTAAAAAATAAAAAAAAAGAAAAAAGAATTTAAGCCCATCTGGCATGGCTCAGTGGTTGAGGATGGACCTATGAGCCAGGAGGTTATGGTTCAATTCCCTGTTAGGGCACATGCCTAGGGGGTGGGCTCGGTCCCCAGTGTGGGGCGTGCAGGAGGCAGCTGATCAATGATTCTCTCTCATCGATGTTTCTAACTCTCTCCTTCTCCCTTCCTCTCTGCAATCAATAAAAATAATTTAAAAACGAATTTAATATAAAGGATTGTTACCTATTATAGATACGTACAAAGATATTGACTAGTAACTGAATAGGTAAAAAAAGAACTCTGGGGGATGATGGAGTAGCAATTGCAGAAAGAGGCTACCATTCCCAGAAGGAAAGGAACCAGGAAAGAAGATGCCATTATTAACATTTAAAAGATAAGAGGATATTCAGCCATAAACATGAACAAAGTATGGACACATGGTACAGCTTGGATGAACTGTGGAAACATGTGAGGGGAAAGAAGCCAGGCACACACGTCCACATATCACGTGGTTGGTAAACTGTGGCTCATGAGCCGAGGTTTGCCACTCTGTGGACTAATGAGCTTGCCAACCACTGGGTTGGGGCTCAAATCACAAGGAACAACTAATTATTGGAATCGAGAGTCTATCGGTTTCATATTTGGATTCCATTCATATGAAAATCCAAAGTAGGGAGATCTAGAGAGACAGAAAGTAGATTAGTGGTTACCAGAAGCTGGGAGGGTGGGATGGGGGTATAGGGAAGGATGGCTAAAGGGCACTGGGTTTCTTATTTAAAAAGACGTGGTAAAATATACATAAAAGTTCAATTGCTCTAGAGAAAAAATTAGCCAAATATAAGACGTAAACTCAACAGACATCACATGGGTTGTTTTAAAATTAAATACGTTATATTTTTCTTTGCACCTAACACACACATTTTTTTTTGAAAAATAAGACATGCCATATTAGTCAAGAAGTTAACAAAATAGAAGCATCCACACAGAATATATTCTAAGGTGACTTCATTTACACAGCTTCTCAGAGACACACAGTTCTTTTTGCTCATCAGCCAGTGTTGGACCAAGTTTAGCTTTCACAAGGCGGCAGGGCGGTTCCACACCACCTCCCTGGCGGTTGTCTTGGATCCACACAGCACCATCAAGCTGGCTGGTTTCCACTGGAAAAGTAATGGAGACGTCCAATTCCCTACCCAGCGTCCAAGTCTATCCTGCAACCCCCCCCCCGCGCCCCCCCACTATGAGATCTCAAGCTCCATGGGATGGTATCGTCAGACCTGGAGCTTCATGGGAGGGGTCACAGGAAGGGGGCGCTGAACTTTGGTCAAAACCGATCAGGGGAAACCAGAATCCCAGCCTCTAGAGGAGGGGACCCCGGGGCGGGAGAGGAAAGGAGAGAGAGGCGCGTGATATTCAATGTCCTTGGAGCACTGGGGAGGGCCTGGGGGTAACAGAGCCATGAGGACAAATGGCGATTCAGGATGCGAGTGGAAAGGTGATGTCCCCTCCCCTGAAGAGCAGCGGGACTGGATTTTCACCCCCCTTTTGTGTTCTGTTCTTGCAGGACTGCAGCTTCTCCCTAGGCATAAGGAAGGCCTCCTTTCCACCCAGTGCCCACCCGCCATTCTCTTCCTCCTGAGCCATGCAGGACTGCCAGGCCTCCGACGATGACTTCAAGCTCTGCCTCCGGGCACTCAAGGCCCTCTGTGATTGGCTCCCACTGCTTATTGCTCCAGGCTCATCTCCCATCACCCCCCCCCCATGTCCCCCTGTGACCCCTCCCTCCCTACTTCTGTGCCTCTGCAAACACTGTGGCTCCTCTGCCTGGGAGGGGCTGGGGTGGGGATGACCATTGGACTTCCCATGCTTTGTCCAAAACTTAGATTTGCCAATCATCAGTGAGTGGGGCCCACATCACCTCCGTTTTGAATACCTCATTCTAGGCTCAGGACCTGACCTGTAGCAGAACCCCCCAAAACTGACCTTTTCTGTGGTCTTCTGTTGCACCTGCCTGCCCTGCCATTTTCCCTGCCGTGTCTGGGTGTTTGTGTCTCCTCCTGCCAGCCTGGAGGGCAGGAGCCACTCTGTACCTTTTTGTCCTCCCTGTCCAAACGCTTAAAAAATAGTAAGTGCCTCGTGAATATAGTCTCTAAAGGGGAAAAGGGCATGCGCTGTCCGCTGCCCTCGTAGGCAGGGAAGACACAATACAGACGAGGTTAAGATACAATACAGAAACGGTTACCACAGGCAACAGAGACAGTTTTTTGAAGCCAAGGAACCAAGTCGGCATTAAGCACAGTCCATAAAGGTTAATGATCCACCAGCGCTGGTCTGTTAACACTGTTATCTTGCCCGGCGTGAGAGGCCGCTGGGGGAAGCAGGAAGCGGAGACTAAGCAGCCATCAATGAGTGGAGGAGCCCCTGATCCTGAGGGGATTCCGTGACCTGCCCGGGGGACCCCAGGCGGAGACATGGACTGGCAGTGCCAGCTTCCCGGCAGGAGCGTGTCTGCCCCTGGACCGGCTCTCTCAGAGACCAGGCTTTCGAGGTGTGCGATCCTTGGGTCACCTGCATCAGAACCCCCTGGGCTGAGAGTTAAGAATGCAGATGCTCGGGCCCTCCCCCTGTCCCACTTGGTCAGAGTGCCTGTGGTTGGGGTGTAGGAATTTGCATTTTCAATAAACTCCCTGGGGCCAGGGGGTCTTTGAGATTGGCGAACCTTTGCCTGCCATTCTTGAAAACACACGGTCTAGAGGAAGAAGGTACGAATGCCCCAAAAAGAGGGGGTGGGGGCGGCTCCATCTCTGAGGATGTGTGCGCCTCCAGACACGGGCCTGGGGATGAGCACCCAGCAGTCTCTGCTGGCGCCGGGAAAACGAGCCATTCTCTCAGGCTAGGTGTGTCGACATCTAATGAGAATAAGGTGTGTGTGTGTGTGGGGGAGATCCATGCTGTCTCTGACATGAAAACTCTACAACAGCCAGGTTTCCTGTCTATCCTTTTATACGCGAGGCAATCGCCTTCTGTAAGATGGAAAGGGATTCTTCTTCCGTGAAGGGCTGATGTGCATCACTCTGCCCCTGTCCTTATTCCTCTCTCTCCCCCCTGCCCCCCTCCCCCCCCATCTTCTCTTAACCTCCCAGTTCCTCGCAAGGGGGTGGGGAGCTATCAAGTAGTTCACAGAACCAAAACCAAATGAGTTTTCCCAGGAGATCCACTCTAACCAGCCCAGCACACTCCCCTGGGAGGCACAGACAACGGGGGCAGAGTGCATTTCCTACAGGCGACGACAGGCTGACCCCCTAGCCACGGGACGCCCACACAAACGTTACCGCAAACACGGAATCCCATGTGAGAGGGTAGCCAGCGGAGCGGCCTGCACGTGAGGTGGGGAGGGCGAGACTGAGAGGTCTCCAGCCTGCATGGGGTTTGGTGAGAACAAGCAGAATCTCGGGCTGGCCTGAGCTCCGAGGAATGTGGCAAGCTTTGGTCATTGGCTGCGGAAGCCCAGTTGCCAAGGTCAAGGCCGGGAAGGCTTTCCAAACCCGCTGGACTCACCGGGCAGAGGCTGCCCCCCCGGGAATACTGCTTCCGTCCTCTCCCCTCACCCCGACATCGGAAATGTCCCAGACCAGGATCCACACAACCTCTGCCAGAGACAAAGCCTTTTCTAGATCCCCCTCCGCACAGCTCTCGGCTTTTAAAAAATACAGCTTGAGAGGCGAGTTCTGGAACGAAGAGCTGAGCCACGGTGGGCACAGCTTGCGCAGCGGCGAGCAGCGGGGAGGGGGTGTCCTGCGGGGTGGGCTCACTCCTTCTTGGTGTGCTCCAGGACTCGGTAGGGGGCCCCGGGGGCGCCCCTGGAGCCGTGCTCTTCCTGCATGACGGGCAGCGTGGCCGGAGCGTAGATCTCAGAAATGCTGTCGTTGCTTTCCAGGGCCCCATAGGAGAAGGAAGTTTTGAGGTCAGGCTGGACCACCATCCCCTTGTCATGCATGTTCTGCATCCCTGCAATGAAACCCGTGTCCCCCTGGTCATTATGGGGTGAGGGGCCGAAGGAGGCTGTCCCACCGCAGGCTGACTAGGGAGCTCAAGAGCTAATCTCGGACATGGTCAATTTCCCGAATGCTCTGGATCGAAAAAAGAACACCCATAGCGCCCTGAGCAGCTTGGCTCAGTGACTAGAGAATCGGCCTGCAGACTCGGGTTCAATTCCGGTTGAGGGCAACCAAACCTTGGTTGTGGGCACATTCCCAGTGGAGAGTGTGCAGAGGCAGGAGGCAGCTGATTGATGTTTCTCTCTCATCGATGTTTCTAGCTCTCAATTCCTCTCCCTTCCTCTTTTTAAAAAAATCAATAAAATCCATTTTAAAAAAAAGAACACCCATAAATATATACTAGAAATATTAAAGGCTGCTAAGCAAGAAGGGGTGCCTCTTCAGGAACAATGCACACAGACCAGCCACTGTCGAGAGAAACCCTCGGCCGGCCTAGAATGAGGGGGGACATCTGTTTGGGCCGTGAGGGGCGTGGAACCACAGCTGGGCTCTGGACATGGTAGATGCCATCGCTTTCCTGCCGGGGGACACTAGGACCCAGGAAACCTCATTATACTGTTGACAGAAGAGGGTAAATCCTGTGTCACAGACACACGTCATAGTGACAGGTGCATCATGATGCTCAGAGGGAGAGTTTTGACCTGAACATTAACATCCCAGATCCACTAGAGGGGAGGGTGTTATTTCTCTTATCACCTCCGGGCACAATGATGTTGGATTTCTACTTACGTTTGAGGGCAAAGACTTGAGTCATGAATTCCTTTCCCTTATTCTACAACCACTCCCCACCTTCCCCCTACCACTAGTCAGGTGGGACCTGGTCTTTTCTGAAGCAACTCTTTTACCTTGTAGGGAGTTAAGACCCTTCCAATTCTCTCGCTCCCACACTGAGTCATGAGACATTGAATGCAAAGTGATTTCTATAAAAGCGCAATGATGATAAAACAGCTGACACCGGACTGCTCAATAGGCCTTAGGCACTGGGCTAAGTGCTTTCGATAGTAATAGTAACGACAGCAATAACGATAACAGTTACACGTACTGAATGTTTAGCCGGGGGGGCAGCCACTGTTTTCAAATGGTTATAAAGTTTTATGCCATTTGGTCCTTACAACTGCCAACAAGGAAAAGGAGGCCGTTGGAGACCACAGAGCCGTAAGTGGCCGGGCCCCCAGGGCTCACACACAGGTGGTTCCGACCCAGAAGCCCAGGCTCTGACGTGGAATGCTGTGTGGGCCGCTCTGTAGGTTACCTGCACGTAATCTCCAAAGACCCCAGGACAAAGAGAGGCTGCTCTCCTCGTTCTCAGGACCAGACAGATTCAGAGAGGTGAAGCAACTTGCTCAAGGTCACACAGCGAGTAAGAGACACGGCTGGGCTCTGACACCAAAGCCCGTGCTCTTACTCACTCTGCAGAGGGAGGGGCTGGGAAGACCCAGTTTGTGGAAGGACCCTTGTTCCCACATTGCATGAGCCTTAGCTGATGGTCATTGGAAGGATACAGTTGAAGGGTCTGTGGTCTGAATTTGGGGGGTGGGGGAAGATGAAGGGATGCCTAACCCTGGGGAAGAGAGCTGCCTCACCAGGCGTGGGTTAAGCTTTTGCATTCTGTCAATGCTCTCTGGCCACAAAGCAGCAGGAGCACACCCGGAGTCTAACAAACCTGGCTTTACCGGCCCATTGAGGGAGGTGGATACCATGGGGAACTGGGAGTGTTTAAGTAAGAAGGTATTACATCAGAAAGAACTGATTATTTGGGTTTGTGTTAGGTGATTGGGGGAGAGTTTAAGGAAGCAGGACTTTGCTTTGGATTAGATGCTGTCAGGAAGTGGGGATCCTATCTAATAAAAGGGTAATATGCAAATTGATCCTAACTACAACACATAAGATGGCTGCCCCCATGTGGTCAAAGGTGGCCGCCCCCATGTGGACACAGATGGCTGGCAGGGGAGGCAGTTGTGGGCAACCAGGCCAGCAGGGGAGGGCAGTTGGGGGCGATCAGGCCTAAAAGTGGAGGGCAGTTAGGGGGGACCACGTCTGCAGGAGAGAGCAGGGGGGGGGGGGGGGGGAGAACCAGGCCTGCAAAGAGAAGAGGGCAGTTGGGGGGTGACCAGGCCAGCAAGGGAGGGAAGTTAGGGGCAATCAGGCTGGTAGGGGAAGAGTTAGGCATCAATCAGGCTGGCAGGGGAGTGGTTAGGGGGTGATCAGGCTAGCAGGCAGAAGCAGTTAGGGGCAATCAGGCAGGCAGGCAGTTGGGGCCCAGCAGTCCTGGATTGTGGGAAGGATGTCCGACTGCCCGTTTAGGCCAGTGGATCGTGGGATCAGGCCTAAACAAGCAGTTGGACATCCCTCGAGGAGTCCCAGATAGGAGAGGGTGCAGGCTAAGCTGAGGGACACCCCCACCCCCTTGTGCACAAATTTTGTGCACCGGGCCTCTAGTAATTCTATAATTGAGGATCTGAATAATTCTTATCCAGGAGAGAAGACCAGACTGAGGATTGGTAAAGAGCAGCAGTCCCTCATTTTTGTGGTTTGGACAATGTTCCCATGTCGTCAGTGTTTGGGCATGTTCTGGGGTGGCCCTGTTTGTGCCCTGACCCATCAGGGTCACAGGAGGCCTGTCTGATGGGGGTGTTTCGTGAAGCCCTTTGTGCTCAGCCGGGAACCCCGAGGCCCAGCTCCCACCTAGCAGGGGCTGCTTCTCTCTCCCTCACTCTCTACATGTCTTTCCGGTGCCAGACTTCCTAAAGCTTCTCCAAATGGTGGCATGCAGTGATTCTTTGGGATTTTAATGCCTCCTCACAGTAGCTAGTCTGTCGTGCACACACCAGTCTAAGCAGACCGAAAGCAAGGGCTAAATGCTGACCAGGGAAACCAAATGGCCTGAAAAGCCACTCTGGGTAAGCAGTTTTATTCTCCAAGTTCCACCTGGATTCAGGTCAAACATGTGCTCAAATTTTTTATTTTATTTTTATTTTAAAGCAAAAGGGAAGTGGAACCAAATGTAACCAGGCATCTACCATGTCCAGACGCCGTGCCAGGGGGCCTTTACCATGTTATCCCGCCACCCCGGAAGGAGTCCCCCTGTCCAGGGAGGGTTAGAGGCCAAGGTCACGGAGCGGGTAAGGGCTGTAGAGCTGGGATTTGAATCCAGATCATCTGAACTCTAAGCCCAAGCTCTTCACAGTGCAAAACACACCTCTACTCGGAAGTGTGTGGCAGGCCACAGCCATGGGGCAGGGCCTCCTTCCCTCAACACCTACTCCCTGCTGGTCACAGGGTACCACGAGGAAGCAAGAGCCACATCCACAGACAGGCCACACAGAGTGCTAATCTTTAGGATTGCCTCCGGTCACCTTCTCCTAGTATGTTCTACTGAAAACACAGCTGTATATGAGCATATACGGATATGCATACAGGTATATACACATACACAGTTTGTCAACACACCGACACACAGACAGGGACACACACTTGCACACACACAGGGTTTGACACCTCACCTATCTGGAATTCAGCTATCCAGCGCCCTCATCTATCCGGAACACAGCCGAGAACAAGGAAGTAAGCAAAAAAGGCATCTGAGCAGCCAGGTTAGATGTTTACAAAGTCCATGCACTAAGGCTCATGCACCTAACGCCTCAGAGAAGCCTGAAGGCCCCAACTCAGAGCTCACTTATTTTAATTTTACACATGATTCAAACACGATGGGTCACATGAGAAGACCTACACAGTGTTGCTATGCCGGTAACGGCAGGAGTTGCGGGCTGGTACCGGCAAGAACGACAGACAATGGCTTCATGGCGAGAGATGGGGAAATAATGGAACCAGTAGACACACACACACCCTGGGGTCACTGGGAGAGGGCACCTCAGTCAGCCCTGAGCACACACCCACCTCCAGGGTTCTACACTAAGCAGCTCTCTATGCCATCGATGTGGCTACATTTTGTTCATTAGACTGTCTGAATGAAGCGTGGGGGAGAGGTCTGTCTAATTGATTGAAGATAAAAATTGTGAGTTAAAGAGTGAAAACTATTGGTCACTGACAACTCAGAATTTAGGTCAGCAAACGCGGATGGGGCTGGCCCAGCGTCCTAACTTTTCTAGCCTAGGTCCCCGTAGGCAGGACCTTCCCCTTCTCCACAGGCCTCACCGCTCCCTTTTGTGCAATACTTTGCTGATTCACACATTTGTGTTACAGTCAGGCCTTCAGGACATTCGAACTTGTGCTTCTCTGCGTGAACCCTTAGCTCCTGGGAAAACAGATTTTCCAGAGCAACCCACTCCTTTGTAGTCTAAGGTTGTAGTCCAAGGCAGTGGTCGGCAAACCTCGGCTCTCAGTCACATGCGGCTCTTTGGCCCCTGGAGTGTGGCTCTTCCACAAAATACCTCAGCCTGAGCAAGTCTATTTTGAAGAAGTGGCGTTGGAAGAAGTTTAAGTTAAAAAAATGTGGCTCTCAAAAGAAATTTCAATCATCCTGTTGATATTTGGCTCTGTTGACTAATGAGTTTGCCAACCATTGAAGGAGTGAGGTTTTATAGTATTTGAATTGCATTCACTCTACTTTTTTCATTTTCTTTCCCATTCATTCTACTTTCCTTCCCCTCTCTGATCACTCCATTCCAACCAGATCCATGGGTTTTCCCTTTTGCAGGCATGAGGCCTGGTGCTGCAGATCGCAATTAATTATATCCAGTAGGAATCAGGGCTGTCTTTAAAAGATCTCAAAATAGACAGGGGAACTGGCAAGAGGTGCTCAAAACCCACTGAGGCTCCTCAGCCACGGCCTCCTCTTTTGCACACGGAGACTAGAAAAAAAAAAGAAAGAAAGAAAGAAAAGGAAGACCAACAATCACACCACAACGGCACAGCACGCGGCCCCTGTACCAAACGCAGCCGCGGTGTCTCTCTTTACACAGGAAGCAGCAGTGGCTCTATGGGGATGAGCAGGCCAGCGGCAGACACGGGTGTCCACGTTACCTGGCATGGCGTCCATGGAGATGTAGGGCTCAAACGGAATGGCCTTCTTCCTGTTCCGCGTGATTAAGAAGACGCCCAGGAATGCGATGAGGCACCTGAGGGACAGAGAGAGAGAAGGGGAGGCGGAGAAAGAAGGCCAGCGTGAGGGGGCGCTCACGCAGAGCAGCCTGGGGAGGCTGCGGGGCCTGCGGTCGGCGGGGAGCGGACGTGAGATGAATGAGAGCCCCACGCGCCCTACGCTCTCTGCACAAGCCTTCGTCAGGATACATTGGACTCACCCAGGCAAAACTCTCACGGTCCTTCACTTCCCTTAGCCTGGATCTCGGAACCTTGCCTTTAAACATATCTGTTTTAATTTAAAATGTTCTCTAAAGCCTGAGTGTAATCAATACAGAAGTAGAGAAAGTAAAAATTGGAAAGTCCGTGTACTCTCCCAGTCCCACTACCTCAGGCAGGTGTATACCCTTCCAGAGTAATTTTTTGTTTTGTTTTTTATCCTTTTCCCTGGAGCCTGGATAAACAAGATATAAAAACAGAGTTATGGCCTGGCTGGTATGGCTCAGTGGTTGAGCATTGACCCATGAACCAGGAGGTCATGGTTCGATCCCAGTCAAGGGACATGCCTGGGCTGTGGGCTCGATTCTCAATAGGGGGCGTGCAGGAGGCAACTGATCAACAATTCTCTTTCATCACTGATGTTTCTATGGCTCTCTCCCTCTCCCTTCTTCTCTCTTTGAAGTCAATAAAAACATATTTACTAAAAAAAATATAAAATAAAAATGGAGGTATGATTGTCATGCAGTAAAGCGCACAAACCCTAAGTACAGAGGTCCATCATTTAATCTGTGTACACACACGTGTGGTCACCACCAGGTCAGCAGAGAAGGCATTTCCATCCCTCCACCCCCCTTCAGAAAGTATCCCTGAGCCTCTTCCCAAGTCATGCAACCCTCCCAGAGGAAACCACCACTGTGACTTCTCTCACCACCATTCCAGCTGCCTGTTTGTGAGGTTCTGGGAAGCTACCTCAGAGCGTGTAGGACTTCCCATGGCTAGCTTCTTTAGGCCAATAAATGTCCTTAAGATTCACCTACTTTATTGTGTCTCAGTTCATTATTTTTAATTGTTGTGTGGAACCCATTATCTAAATATACAATAATTTGATTTCCCCTCTCCTATTGACAGACATTTGAATTATATCCAATTTGAGCATATTATGAATAAAGCTTCTGTAAATATTCACGTATAAGTCATTTTTTGTCAATATATGTACTAATTTTTGTGGGGAATATATCTAGAGGTGGAACTGTGGGATCTTAGACCAGACTATACGTTAAAAAAAAAAAAGTAGCCGAAACCGGTTTGGCTCAGTGGATAGAGCGTCGGTCTGTGGACTGAAAGGTCCCGGGTTCGATTCCGGTCAAGGGCATGTACGTTGGTTGCGGGCACATCCCCGGTGGGGGGTGTGCAGGAGGCAGCTGGTCGATGTTTCTCTCTCATTGACGTTTCTAGCTCTCTATCTCTCTCCCTTCCTCTCTGTAAAAAATCAATAAAATATATTTAAAAAATAAATAAATAAATAACTTTTCCATCTAATGTATCCTAGACATGGTTCTATGTCAGTACCTATCGAATGGCCTCAATTTTTCAAAATGGCACCAAGGTAATTTATTACATGAATATATTATAATTTAATCTGTTTCTACTGCTGGGCATTTAAGTTGCTTTCAATTATTTGCTTATACCATTGGCTGTAAAATTAATGTGTTTTTGTGTCCCATTTCAATGATTTCCCCAAAATAAATTAGAAATTAAATGTTACATCAATAATGTGCTCATCTAAAATTTTTATTGATATGGCCAAACTGTCCTTTTCCACATTAAAGAGCTCCTCACGGCGTCCTCATCCTCTTGCCAACGTGAAATATTACCAATCCTATTAATTTTTGCAAAATGATGGCATCTCGTGCAGCTTCAATATGTATCTCTTTGATCTGCGGTCAGGCTACCAGGCCTTTCATGTGCTAAAATGTGATTTTTAGAAGTGACAGGGAGAGGAAGGCCCAATAGGGAAGGAAGGGGAAGGAAATGAAGCCCTTGGGGAAGGAACGTGCTCACTTCTGGGGAGGAAGCTCCCGTCCCAGCGGCTCCCTGGCCCTCAGTGACTGCCCCATGGGCTGAGGATAATGCGAGGGAGGCACCCTGCCTGGAGCTGTACACACGAGGCCCCGGGCCAGAGAGGAGGGCGGACTCACCCCAGCGCAAACATGCAGATGTGCAGTGCGTCCTCCCCGAGGAAGTCCAGGTAAAACACGGCGCCTGCAGCAAATAACGCAAAACGCGGGTGAGCTGATTTCAGATCATCTGCCTGCCAGTCTGTCTGGGATCTGGCTACGCTCTCTCCTGTAGGAAACCCAAGCGATCAGAACAGATTCTGACTGCGCCCAGTGAGGTATTAGGAGAACCGAAGCAAAGCCACCTCAGGGAACAGGCTGTCCTCTTTGCCCCCTTTCTAGGCCCCTCTTATCGCCACCATTTTTTACCTTTTTATTTTAGACAATACTAGACCCACAAAAATAGTACAAGTTTTCCACGTACCCCTCCCCCAGGTCCCCGCAACGAAACAATACCAGGAGCTAAGCCATAGACCGTATTTACCAGTTTTCACAGGCCCCTCTTCCCCACCTTCCTTTTTTTGTCTTAAACATATTTTTGTTATTGATTTCAGACAGGAAGGGAGAAGGAGAGATAGAAACATTGACGATGAGAGAGGATCTTGATCAGCCGCCTCCTGCATGCCCCCTACTGGGGATGGACCCTACAATCCGGACATGTGCCCTGACCGGGAATCAAACCAATGAACTCTTGGTTCACAGGTCAATGCTCAATCACTGAGCCACACCAGCTGGACCACATGGGTTCTTACTGGCTTTTTTTTTTTTTTTTTTTTTTTTTTTTTTTAACTCTGAAGATTTTAGTTGCTAATGCCACTTAAAAACAAACAAACTGCCCTGGCCAGCATGACGCAGTAGGTTGGAGCATTGGCTCATATACCAGAAGACTGCAGATTCAACCACTGGGCAGGGCATATACGTAGGCTGCAGGTTAGATCCGGGTTGGGGTGCACAAAGGAGGCAACCGATCAATATTTCTCTCCCTCATCCTCTCTCTCTAAAATCAATAAAAACATTTCCTTGGGTGAGGATTAAAAAAACAACAAAAAATCGAAACTCTAACATGCTTGCAGCCTGTAAAGCCGCCTTAGAAAGAAAACAAAACAAAAACATTAGGAGTAGAAAAAAAGTATATAATCATCATCTCAACATCATCACTGAATGAGTTCCTATTATGTTGCAGATGCTCCACATACTCATAATCTCCAAAATTTATACAGAAGAAATTTGTGGTTTCTTGTCTAGTGGAGGCGGTGGCGCTAGCAGATGATGGCCTTCTGTAAATTCTACAAAGTAGCGGGCATGTGGATTGCACATATTTCAAGTTCCGGAGGTAAGTGTTAGTACTTGTATGTTATGGATGCAGAACTTAGGCACAGAGAGGTTAAGTGATTTTTCTCAGAGCCACACAGTTCTGTGTCTATGCTGGAGTGCAAACCCAGGTCTTTCCGGCTCTAAATCCTGTATTTTCTTCTTCAACCTCACCAGAGGATATGCTTTTATTGATTTTAGAGAGAGAGGACGAGAGAGAGAGAGAGAGAGAGAGAGAGAGAGAGAGAGAGAGAGAGAGAGAGAATGGATTGGTTGCCTCCCCTACTCACTCTAATGGGGGACTGAACCCCACAGTCCAGGTATGTGCCCTCTTTAGGAATTGAACCTGCAACATTTTGTGTGTGGGACAATGCTCCAACCAGCTGATGCCCCCCCTACCTCCCCAGCCAGGGCTAAACCCTACACTTCTTCCACGGGCAGAATGAGTCAATGGAATTGGTCTTTGGACCAAGGTGGCACCCCCTCTCCTCCCTCACACTGGGGTACTATCCCTGCTGCTAAGGCAGGAGACAGAAACCTAGCAACCGGCACCACTCACCTGCTGTGATGGCGATGGTTGTGGATAGGATATAGCCCACGCTGGCAATCAGAGAGGAGTCGTACATCTGTGAGGCTTGACTTAAAAACCTGCAGCGCAAGAACACTCTGGTCAGCGGGCTGCGGGGGAGTCAGGACGGCGGTGAAAGCTGGGCTAGCAGCCGTGGACATCAGTCACTCCCACAATCCCTCGAGGCCACGCCCGTGGACAGGGAGCCAGGCCTGCCGGGGTAAAGCAGCCTCACGCGCCACATGGAGACCCACGCAGCCCACCCGCCTGCCCACGGGGCACGGTCAGCTCCTCCTGGGCTCACGGCTGTGCCCCAGGCTCAGATGTGAACCAGGCCCAGGCTGCCCTCCTCCCGGATGCTTTGGACGTAATTCCTGTGCTCAGAGAGAGGAGCGACCCCCTCGCTCTTCCACTTGGGAAGACCTGGGGGCGATTCCTTGAGGACAGGAAATGACCACCTCGTGTTGTCCACCTGGTGGACCAATGGGTGCCTCCTGGGCCCGGCACAGCCGAGTCCCTGGCGCGGACAGCTGCCCAGGAGCCGACGGGAGTGAGGCTGCTTCTGACCACGCGTCCCTCATGGGGTGAGGCAGAGGGTCCAGCATGTCCACTCCAGGCTTTGTCCTTTAAGCAACAGCGCCTCGTCCGCAGGCAGCTCAGCAAATTAGCAGCCCCCGCTTCCCCACGGAGGGCGCCAAGCCCGGGCGGAGGCTGCACCCGGATGTCCTGCCTTCCCTGCGGCCCCAGAAAACAGAAGGGCCGCTGGTCGAGGCCCCGAGGAAAGGAACTTGGACTCACGTGGCTTGGTAGATGGCGGTGGCCACCATGCACACGAGCATCACGTAGAAGATGGGGCAGTCGAGCTGCAGGCTCCCCTGGATGGACAGGACCAGCATCCCGGCCACGGCCTTCACAGTCACCACCGTCATGGAGCCTGCGGGGGGTGCACAGGCATATTGGGGCCTCAGGAACACAGAGGGGGTCAGACCCTGACAGTTGGTGAGTAACCCCAACGGTAAGGTGACCAGATGTCCCGATTTTTAACAATTTGTCCCGTGTCCCCAAAAGGTCACAGCCGTGTGGAATGATTTAGCAGCCAGCCTGATGCTGAACTGGACGCAGCTCAGAAGGGAAGCTCTGGACCCTGGCTTTGCATCCAGCTCTGAACCCCAGCTGCACATCGTCCAGGACCGGATGAAGGGAAATGGGACTTGAGAAACCGAGGGATGCAATTCCACACAAACAAAGCTCTCTACCACATCTCATCCTCCCGTTGAGGGGCAGAGGGGAAGAGCAGGGTGTGGAGGGGCCTCTAGAAATGTTCATTCCAGCGGAACCCCAAGAACCCCACTCCCACTGGCAGCGGAGAAAGACCATCCCCGCATTTCTTCTACAACGAGCAGTTGTCACCCCCAGAGGATCTGTCCCCTTGTTGACCGCCATTTCCTCCTCAGGTGGAGGGACCAGGGCTGGTCTGTCCTGGGCAGCACTGTAGCCAGTGTCCAGCACCATCCCGGGTGCTTAGGAGCCCCCGCATCCGAACAAGAATGCGGAACGCAGCCAGCAATGTGATGGAACGCACGCCTGGGAGCCGCCTCCGGCCAGCAGGGACCCCTGGCACTCCTCGGGGATGGCAAAACTCGATGCCCGGCCCCCCACTTACCGAGCAACGCCACCAGGAGGAGAATCACAACGATGTTGGTGACATTCTTCTCCTTGTAGAAGTACAGCAGCAGGCAGAACAGGATGATCTCCACCAGCTACGGAGAGTAGCGAGAGGGGGTCAGCGGGGGCCACGGGCACAGGCGAGGCCAGGAGGCCCTGGGGGGTGGGGCTGGGGGTTATGCTGCTGACTTCAGGAGTCACAGGGCATTGGAACACCCAGCATTCCCCGAACTACTGACAGGATCCTGTGGGGAAGGCGGGAACACTGAGAGGATCTCTCGAATCCCTGGACAACACTGAGGAGTTTGCTTCGTGGCTGAGCTTGGAGCGGGAGGGGCTGGCCCCACAGCCTCCCTGTCTTGGATGGGCAAGAGGCATTAGGCTGAGGTGGTCTCTGCCCACTGTGCTGCTACACGGGTAACCCCACTAAAACTGGGGGTCGGTCAAAGGAGATGCTTGTTCATGGAGAAGAGCTCTCGGGTATAGTAGACAAGTAAGTATATTCGCCCCTGGCCCCCTGGACAAGCCTCTAATGTGTGCAGCTCAGTAGAGTAGAAAGAAGAGGACACTAGCCCAGCCAGCGTGGCTCAGTGCCTGAACATCTACCTATGAACCAGGAGGTCAGGGCACGTGCCCAGGTTGCTGGCTCGATCCCCAGTAGGGAGCGTGCAGGAGGCAGCCCATCAGTGATTCCCTCTCATCATTGATGCTTCTATCTCCCTCTCCCGACCTCTCTGAAATCAATAAAAACAAATTTTAAAAGAAAAGAAAAGAAAGGACACAAGTCAGGGATGCCCATGTTTAAACTGGGATCTGCTTCTAAACTAGTGGTGTGGCCTTGGGCAAGTCCCTTAACTTCTCTAAACCTCAGTTACCTCCTCGGGGAAACAGGGATACTAATTCTTATCTCACACGGTATTATCACAGGTTCACTTAATGCACACATCAGTAAGCCGGATACCACTCTAACCATTTTATTTATACTCAAGTAATTAAATTCAAAGAATTATGGTACGGTCCCAACCCCAAGTTTGTAAATGGCAGGACCAGGATTTGAACCTGGACAGTCTGGCTCACAGTCTGGCTCCAGGGCTCATGTGCTATATACCACTAGGCTACACTGCCTTAGGCCAGGAGGCCACCATGTCTGGCCTTTAGTAGATTCTTACTCTTAGACAAAGGCAAATCTAAAGCTTGATAAGTCCCCCATCTTGGGTCAACAACTCATCCTTTCTCCTCGTCAAAGACTCAGACATTGGGCAATACTTCCCCAAGAAGCAAAGCCAGCCCCGGCACCCGGCAAAACCAAAGCAGAAAAATCCGACAACGGCTCGGCTCCATTTGCCTACCCCAACCTCCTTTCCGAGTTTATTTATTATAAAAACCGATGCAGAAACATTAATGGGCATTTTGAAGAGAAAATTTTAGAAAATTCCTCATAATGAGAGACGGCAAAACACAGCTGCTTTCATTTTCCTGTTTCTTCCTGTTTTTGGCCCAGTGAATACATATTTTACCTCCTTGTCATCATCGTCAGCGCACAATTTTGTATTGGGCTGCTTTTGGTTACCGTCAACAATTCCCATGTTTTAGGAAGTTGTCATAATTAGCTGTAATGGCTGCAGAACGGCCCATCCAGCAGATGGACAGTGATTCAGCATTCCCAGCCATTGTGTGCGCACGCAGGGGGGCCAGTTTTTTGGCCATTCTTTCCCGAAGCCTAAAGGCAAGCTGGAACCGCACGTGACGTCCCCTCGTGAGATGGCTGTGCATGAGTGGGTGCCTCTGCACAGACCAGGAGCTCTGTGGGCATGTCTCATTTACTGTTTTCTAATCCACAGTGTCTGGCACCTCACAGACTCCCAGAAATATTTGTTGATTTGATTTGGCCGCGTCTCTCTAGCTGGCAGCACTGTCTCAGTCACAATGAAGGAAGACCAGCTGAACTGTCCCCGAGTGTTGGCCAATAACCAGCCCAGGGCCAGGGACTCTGCCAGCTCAGAAAAGGAGACAGGGATTCCGGTTAAGGGACTCGGCCAAGGTCACACAGCGCACAATGGATTCGAGCCTGTGTTGAGGTAGTAAACCTTTTCCTAAACAGGTGGGTCTTTGGCTCTGTCCTGCAGGAAAGAGGACACAGCCCCCATCTTGGGGAAACCTTTCTCCTGTCCTGTGGGAAAGCTGAGGAAAAGGGATGCTCTGAGGCCTCTGGAGTGGTCCCAGGCTGCCCACGTCAGGGGGGCACAGTCAACACTGGTGTTGGCAGCCATGGTGAAGGACGGTGGCACCTGAGGGCCAGGCAGGCCTGGCTTTGAGTCCAGCTCCACTCTCACGGGACTCAGGGCAAGTCAGCTACCCTCCCTGAGCTCCGGTTTTCTCACCCAGAAAATGGAGAGAAAAACACGTACTTTACAGGGCTGTGGAGAGAACCTGAGATGATACACAGTGCCAGGCCTGGGGCAGGGACACACCAGCAGCTTTAGCAAACACCTTGAATGCTTTCCTTGATTAGTTTATTTGGGATGTAACTGGGCCGAGAGAGGACTGAGCTCTGGCTGGGTATTCAGGGTACAAAGTTTTCAGTGTCTACTGTGTTTCTATCAGCTTCTACCGGCTGTGTGATACTGGGCAAAAATAAGTAAATAACATGTTATAGTTGTTAAAATTTTAACTTTTCTTTTTACCATAGAAGTGTAAAATGTTCCCTGTAGAAATGTCAGATGCTTCATAAAGATGAAGACAAAATGAAACTCAGTCATAATTCTATCTCCTCAAGACAACTACTGATGGAACTTGTTTTTGCATCTAGTCTTTTATAGATAAACTAGAGGCCCAGTGCACCAATTGGTGCACCAGTAGGGTCCCTAGGCCCGGGCCTGCAGGGGATCGGGTTGAAACTGGCTCTCCCACCTCCCCCGAGGGGTCCCAGATTGCAAGAGGGTGGTTCTCAGTTGATACACCCCAGAATTGGGCTCCTTCCTCTCTGGTTCTGGGTGTCCACCGAGAACCACAGCTGCCCAGTCACCACAGCTTGGCAGCAACTGCATTGAGTGTCTGCCCCCTGGTGGTCAGTGCATGTCATAGCTACTGGTTGGACGGTTGAACAATAGGTCACTGAGGCTTTTATATACATAGATTAGGTGTGCATACCCACAAATGCCTCTGAAAAAGAAAGTTAACCACATGCCATACACAGTTTTAGACATTTCCCAGGACCTCAGCGAAGAGAGCATCTCCCCGTGAACTGTGTTCCCTCCTTACTGCTGTGAAATATGTCATGATTCACCGAATACCCTATTGCCTGGTACCCGGGCTTCTGGTTTCTAAGGCGCGATCTGCCCTCCCAATGTCTCCGGTGGAAGGACCAGGCTTCTTACCATGTACAGGAGAAAAGGCCAGCTCACGAGGTGCCTGGTGATGTTCTCGCCCGTCATCTTCTCGTGGCTGTTGGGTGCGAATGTCACCAGCAAGTAGGTGCCCACAATGGCCAAACCGCAGCCGACGAAGGACAAGACGTAGCGCCCTGCGGGGGAGGGAGGCTGTCAAGGGCTCACAGCAGGCACAGGCCCCGGCCAGGGTGTGCCTCTGGGGCAGCTCTGCTGACCTGGTACAGTTCACATTGTTGGGTTTTCTTCATTTAAAAAATAGATTATCTTATGTTGTTGTTTTTTAATGAGGTATAGCATGCATACAAAAAAAGTGATTGATGGGGCTGGTTGCCGTGGCTCTGTGGATAGAGCATCAGCCTGTGTACCGAAGGGTCGCAGATTTGATCCCTGACCCCAGGTCAGGGCTTGTGCGGGAGACAACCGATTAATGTATCTCTCTCACACTGATGTTTCTCTCTCTCTCCCTCCCTCACCCCTCACTTCCCCCCACTCTCTCTATCAATGGAAAAAATATTTGGATGAACCCCCCAAAATGCTCAATGAATTCTTACAACGTGAGCACACCCATATAACCAGCACCCAGACCCAAAAGGGAGCATTCCCAGGACCCCCAAATCCTCACCTATGCCCCCTACCAATCACTGGCCTCCACCCCCAGGGTAACACTTTGACTTCTATGAGCACAGAGAGTGTCTGGTTTATTCTCTACATAAATGGCTCACACGGTATATTCTCTTGTGTCTGTGCTCACACAAAATGTGTGTTTCATCTGTGCTGTATGTGTAGCGGCACTTCCTTCTATCTCCGGCCCCCTGTGTGACCAGGACCCAGTGTATCCATTCTACTGTGGATGGGCATTTAAGGTGCCACCATCATGTCACTCCTGAACCCCTTAGCACATCATCCAGTCCTCCATGCCCCCTCGCTCTCCTGTCCTCCTTCCCACTTACTCGTCACTCTCCATCACTGGCCTCAGTGATACTGGACACTCCAAGCTTTCTCCTACCTCAGGGCCTTTGCACCTGCTGTTCCCTCTACACAGAACACTCTGCTCACAAACTTGGCCTAGTAATCTCCTTACTGTCACTTAGGTTTGGGGTGAAATTCTCCTCTTCAGAGCATCTAACCCTGACCAGCCTAGGTAACGTATTCCCATGTTCCCAGGCCTACCGAGAAACATTCTATTTTCTCTGAAGCACTCACTGAGATTTGGGATTATTTTGTTTATTTAGTTGTTCACTTGTTTATTGTATGCCCTCCCCACCAACACACACACACACACACACACACACACACACACACGACTGTAATCTCCATTACCACAGGAACCCTGTCTGTCTTACTGCTGTATCCCTGGCCCCTGCAACAGAGTGTGGCACTTAGTAGGTATCTTAGGTGACCACATCTTAGGGAGACCTCCACTGGAGAATAGAATATAGACCCACACCGGGGAGCAGGGAACACAGCCAGTAAAACCGAGAGCTGGCTTTATCATGAGGAAAAGCATAAGCACAGAATGAAGAACAGGAGCTCAGAGCACTTACTCAGGAAGTCTTTAGGTTTCCACTTTTCTTTGATGAATATGATTCCTATGATGGCACTCGCTAGGACAAACACACACAGAGAAAACACAGGGAAAAGAGAATTGAGGTGCCACAGTCAATCACAGGGAGTCCCTTCACCCATGCCCATGGGGTTGGCTCATCCGCGTTGGAGCCCGGCACTTCCTGTCCTCCCACTCATGCTCCCAAGAGCTCAGCCCCTCTGGTTTCCCCGTTATCCCCTCTGGGGAAGGGAGGCTCCTCTCGGCCTTCCTGAGGATTTCCTACACGCCCGGGAGCACTGTGGGCTCAGTACTTGCTGGACGACAGGCAATGGACTAAAGTTACTTCTGGTATGTCCACCCTTTGAGGTGGGTGCTGCTGTTATTCCCATTTGAAGATCGAGGACACTGAGGCTAAGAGAGGTGATGACCCTCTCAAGATCATGCAGCCGGTAGGCGCAGGCTGGCCTGGAACCCAGGACCACAGAAGCCAGGGCTCCAGCTCCTCATACTGCAATGTCTATTCCTGATGTTTCTACCTGGATCTCGTTTCTCCCTGACCTGCCGCACTGCAGATGCACCCCAACATCTGTGACTGCCCTAAAGGGTGGGTCTCAGGTCCCTAGTCTATGACGTTTTTCCACATCGGGGTGAGGGTGGGGGGAACCTCCCATGGACAGGCGCTTCTGTCTCTTGCCCCACTGTCTGCATTTCTCAACGGAGTGGAGCCAATCGATCAAAAGAATTTACACGCTGAAGCTTTGTTCTTTTTCCTTCCTTTCCTGCTCCAGACGATGTGAGGCTGTAACCCTGGGGAGGTGCTCTGTTCTGTAAACTCAAACGTCTCCTGGGAGATGAGAAGTTCATTTGGCCGCACACCTAAGCTGCATGCTCTCATTGAGCTTTTATTCGCAATAAAGCATAACTTCTGATCCGCATGACTTCTGTGTTTCTTTCCCACTGTCTTAGGACGCAGGGAAGGAAAGAGGGCGCTGGATCCGGCTTACACCAGCTGCGGTCGCTAAATGTTCAGGAAACCACGGGTAGCTTGGAAACAGCCACAGTGGGCATGCTTACACCATATACATCAGGAACACTACGATTCAGATCTTCCTTTGCTCCTTCCCACTGTTTTATTCCTTCCATTCTTCCCTCCTTCTACCTCTTCCTCCTCTTCGTTCACTCTCCCTCTCCGCTGGTGTATCAGCACACCACTGAAAATACCCCCTGCTCCCAGTAATGGGGGCAAATCAATGAGATAATATGTGTAAATCATCTGTCGCACAGTAAGTGCTCAAAAACTGGACTATAATTATCATTAAAGTACTTGGGACAGTGACTCATACAAACTGAGTATCTGTAAATGATGGTTCTTGTTATTTTTAAAATCATTTCTCACTGGGTGACTTGAGAAGCTGTAAGAACCTCTTCATTTCCAGGGGCTGATACCTGAAGGCCCATCATTATAATTCAGCCCCTTGTTCTGAAGAATTTGATTATTTCATCTTTATTAAAATTCAAAGACTAATATTTAATGGATTTGATCCCTCAGCCATACACTCCTCACCGTGAATCATATTCTGAAAGTCCTTTGGCAAGATCAGCTAGGGGCAGAGGACAAATCTAAATAACGGCAGGGGCTGGGCAGCCAACACAGATATAGGAAGTGGGTCAGCAGTAAGACAATAGGAAAAGGTTTGGACTATGGCCCATGACCTGTCTCAACTAAAGGCATTCAAACTCTATTTTTTAAAGATACTGTGTGGACCTTTGAGGACCTCATGCATCTTGTGGGTGGCCAGTGTACCAACCCTGGTCAAGGAAACAAAGGTCTTATCAGAGGATCAGCGAGAGCAAACAGGTTTCCACGCCTTTGCCAGCTCCTGCTAATTGGCAGTGGCTGCCTGGATCTGAGGATTCCGAGGGCCCCTCGAGGCTCACCAGGAAGGAATGCTGGGACTGATGCATGATGTCTGTACCCTATAAGGGCGGTGTTAGGATGAGTAGCTTAAGGTGTATCTGCCTTCTGTAGTGGAAATAAAAAGCAGTTCTAGGAGGGGCATCTATAATACTGTCAACAACTTAAAAAAAAAAAGGAATTCTGATAAACTTTATAAATTATCGGAAGCCAATTCCAGTATGTCAGCAGGGCTGAATCATCTGGGATGGCTAAAAAGCATCTCCCCCAAACCTGAATAGGATTATTTTTCCGCTGCCAGACAGCTCAGGGCATCTTAAATCTGCATATTATTGCCTCCTGTTGGCCAAACACCTGAACAGCTGGAGGCTATTCCCAAAACTGACAATGCTTCTGTAAACCCTACCCTTTGAAGTGTATTATCTCCACCTTGCCTTAGGACAAATTGTGTTAATAAATGGCACGGGATCCTGAGTCCAGGGGTAGTTTTTCAGCTCCTTTAGCTGAAGCTCCTCTGACCCCCCAATGCCTTTCAAAATTATCTTTCATCCTTGGACTCCTTATTGAATCTACGCATCAGCTCCTTTCTCCAGATTGTGACACCCCTCGTTAATGCTGTGACAAGAACCCCGGTACTAAATCTTAACAGATTCTGGAGCCAGACAGTCTAGTACATATACCAGCCCTGTTCCTCGCTAGCTGTATGATTTGGGGAAAGTAACCTCACCATTGTGTGCCTCGGTTTCCTCATCTGTAAAATGGGGATAATAACAGCATCTCCCTCCAAAGGCTGCCAAGAGGGTTAGAAGAATTAATATCCATACAGGAGGGCAGGGCCAGGTGTGTACCGAGCCCTTTGTAAGTGCTGGCTGTTATTACCCTAGCAAAAGCTGGTACACTTTTTTTTTTTTAAATATATTTTATTGATTTTGTACAGAGAGGAAGGGAGAGAGATAGCGAGTTAGAAACATCGATGAGAGAGAGTCATCGATCAGCTGCCTCTTGCACACCCCCTGCTGGGGATGTGCCCGCAACCAAGGTACATGCCCTTGACCGGAATTGAACCCGGGGCCCTTCAGTCCCCAAGCCGACGCTCTATCCACTGAGCCAAACCGGTTTCGGCAAAAAGCTGGTACACTTAACGGGTATCATTGATCCTGGTGGTCCCACAAGCAATTGGTCCCAGGGAGGGATGCGGGAGGCTGCCCTTACCTATCACGGAGACGGCGCTGAGGGGCACTATCAGGGAGAGAGGAGCGAAGGCGTAGGAGGCGAACACGCCCAGCTCGCCCAGCAGCATCAGGAACAGGCCCAGCCACCATGTCTTGGTCTTGAAATAGGCCCGGGGGTCCTTGGTGCCTGCCAGCCGGATGTGGCAGTACTTCTGGAACAGTAAGCACAGCGGGTAGCGATCCAAGGGCTAAACTGTTATTCAAAGGCAGTAGCTTCCAAACTGCCTGGGGAGCCTGAACAATTCACTGCATGAGCCTCATCCTCAGAGGAAGTGTGGGTGAAGCCTGGGAATGTGTGTTTCTAACACATCACAGCGTGTCCAGTCTGGGGCGGGAGCCGCGGTGTAGGCACCCCACATTAGCCTCAGGCTGACCTTTTCCCTCTGGTGGCAATGCCCGAGGGTCCCCATGTCCGGGCGCCTGCTCACTGCACTCTCTTCTAGGAGGGCGGGCAGCTCTGCGGGGCAGCCCTGTGGGTACCAGCGGACCCTGCCTTCCCTCGGGCGGGCATTTGGGCCAAGGAAGGCCAGTATCCTTTGTTCTGGAAATGTGAACTTGGGGCGCAGAAACTGAGGCAGGAACTCGGGAAAGAGATTCTGGAAAGACCCACAGGGTATCGTCCCAGGCCCATCCCAGGGACGGAGTGGGAACACCCTGGCTTATCGGCTGTATCTCTGCCCCAGGCGGTGCTGGCGACTAAAACTTACCTGGAGGTTAAGTGCAATGCTGACCACTAGGTGCCCGAAAATTGCCAAAAGGGCGCCGATCAAGTTTTCCTGTAAGAGAAGTTCACAGACACAGGTATAAGTTGGGGAGAACCTAAGGGGCCTCAGGCCCCATTTCCCACCTGTTTGAACAGGTTCTCCACACTTTTATATATAAGCCAAAAGTTAGAGCAGAACTGATAGTGAATTCCCACTCTAGCAATCAGTAATATTTGTCTTCAGTATTAAAAGAACAGTCCCATTCTTCTCACTCAGATATTCATCCCTAGAGCAATGTTATTTTTTACTTAATAGTTGCTATAAAACATTATGTTGCATTAATCAATTGTATCAATTAAAAAAAAAACACTTCCAGATTTTTATACCAAAGTACTTTATACCAAAGGGACTTTTTAAAAATGAAATTTGATTACACCCTCCACATTCTTTCTGGTATAGAAGTATGATAGGTGTTCATAAAACCTTTAAGTGTTAAAAGATAGACACAAATTTGTGACAAAATTCTGAGAGGAAAACAGAAGAAAAATACAAGCTCAAGGAGAAAAAGGAATGTTATAAAATTTCCAGCAGTTAGAGCCTTCAGAAGGCCGTTGGTCAGTGTGAAGTGGTCTTAATACTCCCTAGGCTTCAGTTAAGTGCACAAGAGGTGTTTTTTTTTTTTAAAGTATGTTTTTATTGATTTCAGAGAGAGGAAGAGGGAAAGAGAGAGAGATATAAACATCAATGATGAGAATCATCCATTGGCCACCTCCTGCACCCCCCATTCTGGGGGTCGAGCCTGCAACCCAGGCAAGTGCCCTGACCAGGAAGTGAACTCTGAATTCCCAGTTCATGCATGGGTTGATGCTCAACCACTGAGCCACACCAGCCAGGCTTGTTTTTATTTTTATTTTTATTTTAAATATATATTTTTATTGATTTCAGAGAGGAAAGGAGAGAGAAGGAGAGAGAGAGGTATCAGTGATGAGAGAGAATCATTGACCAATTGCCTCCTGCATGCCCCCTACTGGGGATTGAGCCCTTGACCAGAATTGAACCTGGGACCCTTCAGTCTGTAGGCTTGACGCTCTATCCACTGAGCCAAGCCAGCCACGGTGAAGGTTTTAAGTTTTAGATGTGAACTTGAGACAGTTTAGGGACTTGCGCTCAGGAGTTAAAAATATACCCGGTGGCAAAAAGCCACGTTAAGGCCAGGTGGCCAGAAGGAACACGGGGTATGATGGTCACAAGAATGTCACCACTTCTACTCCCTGCTTTTAAAACATGCAAAATTTTATCTCCCTTCTAACCGCTTGCTTCTCCTACCCTGCCGTGGAATATCCCACAAGCCCCCTTTTTTCTAAAAGCCCATGTCTTCATACAAGCCTGCCTTGTCCCCAGCTTATAAAAAGCCAAGCAGAGCCAGCCCCAGCCAGCTCGGAGGGCCGGCCTTCCCTCTGTGCTGCCTGCCTTGTGCTCAGGAAGATGCTTAATAAAATCTGTCTGGAAATTTCTCTGGGGTGTCCTCTGGATTTCTATCTTGGGGAACCCAAGAACCCTGATGCCAGTAACCAACTAAAAGAATGTGTGAGGAGCCCTAGCCAGTTTGGCTCAGTGGGTAGAGCATCGGCTTGTGGACCAAAGGGTCTCGGGTTCGATGCTGGCCAAGTGCATATGCCTGGGTTGTGGGCTCCATCCCCAGTGTGGGGCGTGCAGGAGGCAGCCGATCAATGATCCTCTTATCATTGATGTTTCTCTCTCTTTTCCTCTCTGAGGAAATACACAGTGCTTCTTTGGAAGGTCCAGTTAGAATAAGAAAGCCCTTTATTAAAGTGTGGCTCTTTAAAAAAAAAATTAAAAAAAAAAATATATATATATATATATATATTATTAAAATATATTTTATTGATTTTTTACAGAGAGGAAGTGAGAGGGAGAGAGAGTTAGAAACATCGATGAGAGAGAATCATCAATCAGCTGCCTCCTGCACACCCCCTACTGGGGATGTGCCCACAACCAAGGCACATGCCCTTGACCGGAATCAAACCTGGGACCTTTCAGTCCACAGGCTGACGCTCTATCCACTGAGCCAAACTGGGTTCGGCTATATTATTGATTTTATACAGAGAGGAAGGGAGAGGGATAGAGAGTCAGAAACATCAATGAGAGAGAATCATCAATCAGCTGCCTCCTCCACACCCTCTACTGGGGATGTGCCAGCAACCAAGGTACATGACTTTGATCGGAATCAAACCCGGGACCTTTCAGTCCGCAAGCCGATGCTCTATCCACTGAGCCAAACCAGTTTCCGCAAGTGTGGCTCTTAAAGATACAAAGCAAAGACCTCAACCTCCTGGGGTCAAATAAACACCTGGTGGCCAAGCATGCGCTCCGCCCAGTAATGTGGTTTGCCTGTGCTAACGAGGGGGAGGAACTGGTAGAAAGCGCTAACCAGCAGATTCTACAGGAACTGCCTGGGTCATCAGATAGGAGACAAAAGGACTCTGGTTCCAGCTCCAGCACCTCCGAGCTGCCTGATCACCTTTATGGGGAATGAAGTCGAGCTGGACACAGCCTTCTCGACTTGTGCAAAAACCAGAGACCTGAGCGAGGACTGTTCAGAGGATGCCGCTGGGGTTGGGTGGCCAGGTGAGACTGGCTTGCTTCCTTCAGCCCGGGTGCCTTTCTCCCCTGGGGAATAACGGTGCCCCTCGGGGTTGGTGCATGAAGTTTCTCAGATAAACTGGAGAAAGCACTTAGCATTAGGGTGAACCATTTGAAATTGCCAATATTCAACTGCCCTTGACCTGCCAAAGCGGCAGTTCCATAGGGTTCATTCAACGATAGCTGCTCTATGACTCTGCCCAGAGAGACCACGCTGTCCCGCTGATGCCTAGGAGCGCCGGGCTGCCTGACATGCGGTGCTGACAACTGGCCGAATGGAAGGGAAGAGATGAAGGGGGCTGCTGCGTGGCCACACGGACAAGCCAAAGCCATGGCAGGGAGGCGGGAGGGGGTGAAACCTAGAAATGCGAACTGTAAACCTCCCAAGGGTAAACCAATCTAAGCAGGAAAACACGGCTAAAGGGTGACCGTGATAATCAAGGCGGAGGTCTACGGAGCATTTCCTCATCTGGGCATGGCGCTAGGCCTTTCTAGGCATCCCCGCCTCTGGGCCACAAACAGCCCTCTGTAGTGGGTTCTACACTAAGGTGACCAGACATCCCGATTTTCAACAATTTGTCCCGCATCCCGAGGTGTTTTAAAAAAGTGCCGACTTTTTGCAAAAAAAATCGGGACTTTTTAAAAACGCCTCGGGACGCGGGACAAATTGTTAAAAATTGGGACCTCTGCCGAGACCGGTTTGGCTCAATGGATAGAGCGTCGGCTTGGGGACTGTAGGGTCCCGGGTTTGATTCTGGTCAAGGACATGGACCTTGGTTGCAGGCATATCCCCAGTAGGGGGTGTGCAAGAGTCAGCTGATCGATGACTCTCTCTCATCGATGTTTCTAACTCTCTATCTCTCTCCCTTCCTCTCTGTACAAAATCAATAAAATATATTAAAAAAAAAAATTGGGACCTCTTCCGAGACCAGTTTGGCTCAGTGGATAGAGCATTGGTCTGTGGACTGAAGGGTCCCGGGTTCGATTCTGGTCAAGGGCATGTACTTTGGTTGTGGGCACATCCCCAGTGGGGGATGTGCAAGAGGCAGCTGATTGATGATTCTCTCTTATCAATGCTTCTAACTCTCTATCTCTCTCTCTTCCTCTCTGTAAAAAAATCAATAAAATATATACATTTTTTAAAAATCGGGATGTCTAGTCACCTTATTCTACACGAGTCCTGTGTTTAGCACAGCAAGTTGAAAGGAGGTTACCGATGAGCCCAGTAAGGCTCAGAGACATAAGCTAACGTGCTCCAGGTGCGGACAAAGGGTTTGAGGCTGAAGATCTGACCTTCCGTTTCCTGGGGACAATGACCCCTCCAGACCAAGGCTTCAAACTAAATTAGGAAAAAAAATAACCCCGCCTTCTAAGTGCTACCTTCCCGCTAATGACACGGCCGCTGAGGTTTCTTTAAAAAGCCATGTCTGTGAGCATATTAATCTCCACGAATAATAACTGGTTACAGGCATGTTAGTAACAGCTCAAGGTACCCAATGCCCTGTCATCCAAGCGGTTCAAAGGGCTCCATCCATACTAATTATGTCCCAAACCCGTGTGAAGTGGTGACTGGTGCCACTTTATGAGAATGCAAAGTCAAGCAAAGAAGTGGCCTGGGGCCCAGGGGTGAACAGGTTGAACACACACCAGATTGGCGGCCCTCCAGGGCCTGGCCAAGGGCAATTCAGAAGGGAGGCAACAGCCAGCAGGACTCTGGACATGAAGCTCCTCCCCCACAAGTCTCAGAGCTTGAACACGGGGACGTGGGGGTGCCCAGGTCTGCTGGCGGGGCACCATGGGAACGTTCCCAGTGTACACGGCTCCTCTCTTTGCTGAGGGGCACTCCAGGTGTGTTTCTAGGAAAGTCCTTTATTTATTTATTTATTTTATTAAAATATATCTTATTGACTTTTTACAGAGAGGAAGAGAGAGTTAGAAACATCGATGAGAGAGAATCATTGATCAGCTGCCTCTTGCACACCCCCTACTGGGGATGTGTCCGCAACCAAGGACCGGAATTGAACCTGGGACCCTTGAGTCCGCAGGCCTGAGCCAAACCAGTTTCGGCTATGGAAGTCCTTTAAAGGGTTCAAAAGTAGCCCTCCCTGGTTTGCCTCAGTGGATGGAGCAGTCCTGGGTTTGATTCTGGTCAAAGGCACGTACCTAGGTTGCAGGCTCGATCCCTGGCCCTGGTCGGGGTGCGTGTAGGAGGCAACAAATTTATGTGTTTCTCCTGCGCTCTCTCTAAAAATCAAGGGGAAAATCTCCCCGGGTGAGGATTCACAACAACAAACCCCTGCTCATAGGGAGACACAGGGGTCTGACCCTGGAGTCTGGCTCTGCCCCCTTAAGAAAAGATGCGGCCGAATCAGTGGCGCTCCCACTGCGGGGCAGGCCTGGTGGCGGCCTCAGGTCACCGCCTTCACTGGGGACACCCGGAGTCCTTCAGCCACAATACCTGATGGAGCGGATTCCTCTGAGGGTACGCCTAGCTGGGTTTCCGCTGAAGTGGAAGGGAGGAGTGGAGGGGAGGGGCGCCCTCATTTTAAAGGCAAATACCTGGGCGGGTGGGGGAGATCTCAGTTACCTAAGAAGGACCGGGACTCAGCCAGAGTCACAGAGAGCACGTGGCAGGACCAGCCTGAACATGGGTCTCCTAACACTTTGGTCCCCAATAGGTTACAGGGGAGGTGGTAGTGAGGCCTCCCAGCTGTCAGGAACCTCCTATTAGGACGTATTTGTCCAAACGGGATATTTTGAGAATGACAGGGGCTATATTAATCCACATGGACATGAGGCGCACAAACCAAGACTTTCGGCCACGGTATTCCTAGCGCGGCCTCTGAAATCGGCGTGTTATCGGCATGAGAGGAGAAGTGGGGTGCGGGCAAAACGATGGGCAGGCAGCTGGATTTCAGCCACGGCTGCTTGGAGCCATGGCTTCAACAGACCCAGATACCAAGGGGTGGGGAGGCAGCAAACCAAAGCCACTTCTCCCTTTGCTTCTGCTTCCTAGTGTGGACTTTGAACTTTGAATACTACCCGCCTGGGCTGGGGTCCTGCCTCTGCCACTGACGCTGTGTGTCTTCAGGGGGGTTACCTGGACTCTCGGAGCCTCAGCTTCCCCTCTGAAAAAGGGAGCTGAGCATAACGCACTATAGGGTTGTCATGTTGTATGAAACTAGAGGCCCGGTGCACAACATTTGTGCACTGGGCGGGGGTGGGGGGTCCCCTCAACCTGGCCTGCGCCCTTTAGCAGTCTGGGAGCCCTTTGGGGGATGTCCGAGTGATGGCTTAGGCCAAGTGGGCCTAAGTTGCAGTTGGACATCCTTAGGGCTGTCAAGGAGGCAGGAGAGGCTCCTGCTGCCACTGTGCTGGCCAGCTGTCAGCCAGGCTTGTGGCTGAGCGTCATTCCCTCTGTGGAGTGCACTGACCTCTAGGGGGCAGATCCTGAGTTGAGCGTCTGCACCCTGGTGGTCAGTGCGTGCCATACCGCACTGCATTCAGTTGATTTGCATATTAGTCCTTTATTATATAAGATAAGGCACATGTTGAAATGCTACATAACACATAATAAATACAAAAACAATTCTACAATAGGTGTTACTACGGTATTAATTTTACAATGTTCATTTTCATTATTATCATTCCTATTAGCAAAAGTAAGGATCCTTCTGGCTCTGATATTCAATGATCCAAGAATTGACCTTTTCCATCTACGACTCTGAAAGGAAACAAACTGTTCCGGAAAAGCAGCCAGAGGTCACCGAGGCAGGAGACAGCTTGGCTTTTAGTATCCAGGCGAAACCTCAGCTCCCGTCTCCTGCTCCACGGACTGCTTTCCATCTGCCAACAACAGCCTTTACATAGATCCCGCAGGGACAAGACAAGGCCACTCACCACGTGTTTAGCCTGAATTCCCACAACCCCTTGGGCTTACACTGCTAACAGTTAAGTAGGAGCATTCTGGCTTGCTCTGTGAGTCACTCACAGTCAAACACAAGAGCTACGATAGCAGCCCGGCTAACCAGGCTCTGCTACATGTGCAACCTGGTTTCAGGCCGGCTCCTGTGGCTCACCTCCTCCAGCAGGCGAGGCATTGCCATTGTAACAATAACCAGGGGCAGAAGGCGCTTCCCGGAGTGCTGGCGTGCTGCAGGCAGCAGGGAGTGGTACATAGAACCGAGGGCCTTGGCAGTGTGCAGACTCCGTCCAAATCCCAGCTTTACTATACCTACTGACTGTGTGGCCTTGGGCAAGTTAATGAACCTCTCTGGACCCGTTTCCTCAAATGTAAAATGGGATTATAGTAGCAGCCACTATATCCTTGGGTGAGGATTTAAGAACAAGCAGTTTGTTTGTTTTTTAAACCCTCACCCAAGGATATTTCTCTTTCTTTTTCTTTCTTTCTTCCTTTTCTTTCTTCTTCTTCTTTTTTTTTTTTAAAGAATTCTTTATTGTTGAAAGTATTACATGTCCCCTTTTTTCCTGATGGGGATTTTGTGAAGATTAGCACAGTCCCTGTCATATAGTAAACACTCAACAGATGCTAGCTGCTGTTATGATGATGATGATGATGATGATGATGATAATGATGATGATGATGATGATGATGACGACGACTACAGTGACAGTGAATTAGCCATGGGAGTGTGGATAAAGGACCGATAGTTTCTTGCCAGGAGGACTGACAAAGGCTTCATGGAAACGGTGATAGCCGAACTGGAGCTGGGAGCATGGGCAGGATTTCCAAAATCAGAAATGGGATGCTGCGGGTAGATTCTGTTTCCTCTGCAAGGTCAGGTCATCCTCACACCGCCCTATAGGACGGACCTAAAACTCACCTGCAGCGGAGTTACACGGCTTTCCCTGGGTTATAATGTTAGAAAGTGATAGACCTGAGATTTAAAACCCGGTATCTCTGGTTCTAAAGACCATGCTCAGAACACCCTGTTATATCTCTAATTTTGCACAGAATTCTGTCCTGAAGGGTAGGTACCTATGGAAACAGCTTCCTCTACCTTCAGGGAAGCGATAGCTCAGTAACAAACAGCTCCCACCCTGCCCAGTGCAGCCCTGGATATACAGGCTGTCCCATAACGCACACACACTTTGAATAATTACAAAGGCAGTGTTTATTAAAACACATTTTATTCTCAAAATGTAATAGAATCTATAGACAAAGTGTGCATACATTTCTTTGGGACGCCCTATATAAGCTCAGTTGAAACCCCTATTTGCTAAATGGAAGAAACTGAGGCCCAGCTCCTCTGGGCTGAGGCACAGCCTTCAATGTCGAGGACTGGCTGCCATGCTGTCTCCTGGGTAGCTCAGCCTGTTGGTCCACCAACAACCAGAAGCCTTTCTCTGTTGGGCAGGACAGAGGGCAGGGCTGCAACTCAAGGCAAACTGCTTGTTCTTAACTTGATTTCAGAGAGAAAGGGAGAGGGAGAGGGAGAGGGAGAGGGAGAGGGAGAGGGAGAGGGAAAGGGAGAGGGAGAGGGAGAGGGAGAGGGAGAGGGAGAGGGAGAGGGGTAGAGAGAGAGAGAGAGAGAGAGAGAGAGAGAGAGAGAGAGAGAGAGACAGACACATCAATAAGAGAGCCCTAACCAGTTTGGCTCAGTGGATAGAGCGTTTGCCTGTGGCTGAAGGGTCCCAAGTTCAATTCCAGCCAAGGGCATATGCCAGGGTTGCGGGTTCGACGCCCAGAGGGGGGCGGGTTCGACACCCAGAGGGTTGTGGGTTCGACGCCCAGGAGGGGATGTGCAGGAGGCAGCCAGTCAATGATTCTCTCTCAACATTGATGTTTCTATCTCTCCCTCTCCCTTCCTCTCTGAACTCAATCAAGAACTATAAAAAAAGAAACATTAATAAGAGAGAATCATTGATCGGCTGCCTCCTGCACACCCCATACTGGGGATCGAGCCCACAACCCAGGCGTGTGCCCTGACCAGGAAATCGAATGGTGACCTCCTGGTTTATAGGTCGATGCTCAACCACTGAACCACGCCAGCTGGGCTGTCGAGCGAGTTTTGATATAGAAGCTCAACAGATTATGGGGCAATCATTCCCACAGCATGCTTCCCATCACCATCCGTGGCATGGGGAAACACTCCACAAACAAGGTTAACTGAAACAACCAAGACACACAACTTCCTGCACAATCGGATCCCAGATTTGTAATTCGGGAAAAAGACAGGAAGCAAGTAATGCTGACATATGAACCAAGGGTGCCTATGAGTAGTGGGATAGGTGATTTTTTAAAGAAGTAAATCTTCTAAGTGTGACTGCATTCCTTTAACAATATTCCTTTACCTCCGTACTGTTTTTATTTGAATGAGCATTTCTTTTCTGTGGATTATACATTCTTTCACGTGTGTGGAGGGCCTGCCTGTATCTGCCAGCCGTAGGCATGCAGACGCTAGACATACATCTCCGTTAGCTGTGTTACTTTGTTAGAGAAATACACAATTCGAAAACAAAAAACAAAAAACGAAAGCTCTTGCCTTGTAGGAGAAGGAGGCCTGGCTCCCGGGGTCGGCGCTGCTGGTGGGCGGGAGCTGCTGCAGGTGAAGGGCCGCGCTGTGGGCTCGGTCCATGGTGTCTAGGCGCACATCCCGCGGGCCGGCTCAGGAGCTGGGGCAGCACTAGGTGGCACCGGAGCGGTGAGCCATCTTCCCTGGTGGTGCTCACCCCCTTCCACCAGCCATCTCTGTCTCACACCGAAGCAGCACTCCGAGGCCCTTTTGGCTGATCTATAGCCTTTTCCTCATCTTCACTGGGAGAAGTGCCAATTCCTGCCAGTGGACAGCCAGGGATGTGTTTCCTGATTCCTGCGGAGCTCTGGGGGCTGGGAATGGGGGTGTGGGGGGAGGAACGTTAAAAATGCATGTACAATGAAACACTGAGCCCAGCTCTGTTACCTGAGCACACCACTAGGATAAAGAACAACCTGCCATGAGAAGTGAGGTCATTAAAAAACTATATCATGCCTTTGGTCCCCTTAATAAAGATAAAGCTCATCTATCTCAAAATCATTTTCCTTGGCCCATAGCAATCCCCTTTCCTCTCCCCCTCTGCTTCCTTCTTCCCATCCTAATTTAAGTCCTACTTTCTGTATAGAATCCTAGAATACTGCCTGCGTCTACTTCTCCAGGCCTAAAAAAATAATAATAAAATAAAATAAAATAAAATAAAATAAAATAAAATAAAATATCCCACTGTCACAAAAGGAGCCATCAGGGTTCTGACTTAGGAGAGAAAGAATGAGAAAAGTTATCTCCATGGAAAAGGGAAGAACTGGGCTGCTACCTAGGGTCAGAGAGGTAACACAGGACTGGAGGCGGAAGATCTGTGCAGCCAGATCACTTTACCTCTGGGAGACTCAGTTGCCTCATCTGTAAAATGGGGGTAATGATGAGACTTCAAGTAAAACCACCAATGATGGTAATTCCTGTTAACATCACTGGACTGATATTTCCCGTGGGTCTTGAACTTTTCTACCAAATGGAGAAGAAAAAGTATGCCCTCGTGTTTGCCCTCAGGGAGTCATGGCCTGACACCCCCCTCACTCCCCAATGTTAAGGGGTTCTTTGAGATTCTCTTATATTTAAAAAAAATAATACAGATTTGGATTCTACTGTAAAGTCTATGTTTATTTTAATATAAAAATATTTTTAAATCGCTTTTGATCTGCCATGTGCTACTTGGGCAAGTAGTTTAACTTTTCAGCCAGTTTCCTCTGCTGTAAAATATGGATAATAACATCCCTACCACAGGGCTGTGGTTAGAATTTGCTGAAATCATGCATGTAATATGGATGCAGAGTGAATGGTCAATGAATGTCAGCAGTTATTAGTATTCATTCTATTCTTTTTTGTTTTAACTTTAAAATTTTCTTTTAATTATTTCAAAGTATAAGTTTGTCAGAAAACAAAATAGTGATTTTTTTGGGTGGGGGGGGAACCAACAGGATTGGTATGAAAAAATGTTTAATGGAAATGATTAAATTATGTTACATATATTTTTTAATTGAAATTCTTTATTGTTTGAAGCATTACATAGGTCTCCGTTTCCCCCCATTGACCTCTCCCTGGCCACTCCCACCCCCTTCATTTTATTCGTATTAATTGTTTAATTTACCCATGAATAGTCCTTTCTTCAGTCCATGTATTCATGCAACAGATAGTTATTGAGGGCCTACTATGTGCCAAACAGACTCAGCCTCTGCCATGACTCCAGGCTTCAGAAGGCTGCCTCCTATCTTTCCTGTAGCTCCCACTTTCCTCTGTTATCTAGCCCCAGACCCAGGAATGCACAGTCACATGTCATAGGGCTAACGCTGGGTCCCCCATCAAGGAGACACCAAATGCAGGACTTACCACAGGGGCAGCCTCAAAGACCATTTGGCCCACGGGTCACTTTATCAAGTGGCCTTCAGATGAGGTTATACCTCTATATACATATATTACCTCTATATCCATATATCATCACACAACTTCATAATTGACATCCCCAAACCAGACCTCCCAGACTATAAAGCCCTATGAGTGTCTGTAATCTTGTGAATTCAGAATTATTCAACATTTTGCTTTAATATGTGTGTGTGAAAAGCATTATTGTATTAATGTACAATATCCCTGTGATGTATCCCTGCTTTCATTTTTAGCATAACAGCCTTAGGAAGCAAGACTGGCCCAGGGCTCTCTCGACCTCTGCAAGACCCTTCGAGGCCTTCATCCTGGAGCAGAAGGAACCCTGGAGCTCACACTCAGGGAAGATGTTTGCTGAATCCCCTTTCAGTTGCTCCCTTCCCAGCCGCAGGCCAGAGCTTGGCACAGTGACCTCCAGACACACCTACTGACTGGCTCAACAGCCACGCCTGTGAAGCACCTGCTTCCCCTTCAAAGGGTGGTACTCCACTGCCACTCAGAGATCCCACAGATACACCCGCCCCGCCCACAGGATATCCGAGAAAGCAAACGGGGCCCTGGGCACATGCCAATGGGGTGATGGGAATCCAGGCTTGTTAACCTCCTCTAGACCAGCTGGTGTGCCCAGGTGGGTTTGATTATGCTTTTGTTTGCTGTCGTTTAATCTGCTTCTAAAAAGCAGCTTCCCGTCTGCTCCAGGAACCCCAAGGCCTCAGCGGCACTGCCTACCAAAACAGGCTCTCTCTCCATTGGTAGGAGTTTGGACTAAAAGCCCTGGAAGAACGCTTTGCCAGTTGTCCTTCCTTCCAGGACATACATCGTTTGCCTAACGCCTCTCTTCTCCTGACTTCAGGGCACTTCGCCAGGGCTAACGTATGCCCAAGAGGCAAGTGACCAGTTCTGTGGGGCCAGCCAGCTCCTAACGTTGAGGCCCTCACAGTCGCTGCTGAGCACAGGGCTCTCCGGCTCAAGAAAGGAAAGATAATTCACTACATGCTGGCTTCTGCTCCACCCCCTCTGCCTTATCTCCATTAATTATTTCACCAACCCACAGAACGGGTTTTATAGATAAGAGAACTAGAGCTCAGAGGAGGGTCTGTGTTATCATTTGACTCTGTCTGAAAATAAAATAAATAAAATAAATAAAATAAAATAAAATAAAATAAATAAAATAAAATAAAACACGCCTTTCCCACCTGACCATCCAGCTTCTTACTGATGAGCGCCAGTTAGACACCAAGCCCTTTCCCTTTCCTGGGCTTTGGCTCCCTAAAGGGTTACACTCCCCCAGTCCCCGCCTATGGAGCTGGAACTACAACTTGCAGGAGGCAGCACCGATCAAGAATGCTTTCCCCCTATTCCACCTGCTAACTCCACCCGCTATGGCCAGGAAGCCCGGGGAGTCATGTTGGCAGGTACTGCATTTCACTTCCTGATTTGGTAAAGCCTACCGGCACCTTTATTAGGGCATATCCGCGCCCCTGTCCTCTCACCTTGGATGCAAAAAAAAAAAAAAAAAAGGAAAAAAAACAAACACTCTGAGACACTGACAAGGCTGGTGACAGTCAGAAGGGAGGGTATTGACACCGGGGGACCTCAGATTGCTGCAAATGCATTCGCGTGTCCAGAAACGACGGCTGCATTCCAGTCCCCACTCCCTCGGTCTTAGTCACTACTCACCGGAGACGTTTCCTCCCGGGCGCACCTATCAGAGGTTCCCGAGAAATGACAGAGAGGCTGGCGCCTCGCAACCCGGAGGCACAGCCTCCTGAATTCCTTCCCCGGCTCCGGGCTGCCTGGGTCCTGCGGTGTTTTGCTTTCAAAGGCCGCGATTTGATTTGCTCGGCCGCCTGCCAGTCAGAAGCTGGAGGGCGCTTTGCTCATATGATTGGCTGGTGAGAGAGGGTGGGCGGGACTTTGTGGGTTGGCTGCGCTGCCAGGCTTGGTTGAAGCGCAGGGGGAGAGCCCGGGGAGGGACCGCCTGCAGGAAGGAGCGTTGCTCTCACCTTGAGCCGGTCCCCCTAGCGGCCACAGGGCGGACCTCGGAACACACCCCGTCCCCCCGCTCCCGCCGACTTGGGGGGCTCAGGTGACCACACACTTTCACCTGCGAGACAGGTGGGCTCTCCCGGACTTTGCTCCTGCCATTTCCCCAAACCCCACGCTGCTCTCTCACCGCGATCCAAAGCCTGCACATCATTTAAGACCCGGTACTCCCCCAAAGTTGCAGAGCCATAGATTCATCTCTGCCTGCGCCCCCTGACACCTGTTGGCTGCATCATATGCCAACTCTCCCAGCACGTCCGCAGCTCAGCCACGCGTGAGGCCCTCGGATGAGCCTAGAACCAAAGTTTCCCGAATGCACACTGTGCTCATTAACACGAGCTCGTGTAATTAGGACGAGCATGGAACCGACACCCTTTCCCTCGCACGCGTCTCATTTCGGATCCTCACAGCAGCCCCCTGAGTGAGACACGGAGCGCAGCCCATGGATTTACCGATGCAGCAGTGACGTCGGGGCAGAGACCTTGGCGATGACAGAAGGGCCGGTGACGGCGGAGATCGACCGGGGGGAACCCCTGAGAGCACCCCGGAAACGGGCTTGCAGTGGAGGAACTGCCCGAGGGCAGCGTGGCGGGCGCGGGATCTCCCGGAGCGCGGGCGGCCCGAGCTGCCTTCCGAGGGAAGGGCCGGGACCACGAGTGTTAAGACGTTCGGATTTCACCGGAGGTTTAAAGGAGGCCTGGGGCGGGCCCTCAGCAGGGGACTGACAAGATTGACAAGGAGAGAGGGGCTCGGGTCTCTGGCTATTGCAAACAGAGCTTGGGGGAGTGTCAGTTCTCTCAGGTTTATTCCTTGGAGTAGGATTTCTGGGTGGGCAAAATGGAGACTTCTGTTCTACCACCAGTTTTGAGGGGGTCGCCTAGGGAAGTCTCTATTGGGTGTCCCCGCGGGCTCTGAGGTAGGTAGGGCGGCTGAAGCCTGAAATTCTGGCAGCTTCCCTGCAGTTTGTAAAGCGCCTCCAATGATTGGCCAGTAACTTGTCACTCTAAAGAAACAGAGGACACCATTGGCTAGAGCGGCTCACGTGGCCTTCACACTGTTAGGCTGTGGTTGCCATAGAGACAGAGAAGGTTGGGCTAGGCCAGACCCTGCCCAGGAGGAACCGGTGAGGTAGGAGGCGGTTCCTGTTGGGCACTGGTCCCGGGGTCCTGGGAGGTGGACCTGGCGCACCCATGGGACACCCACCGAGACCCCGCCCTGCTGGGTCCTAGGTGATGCCCTGAGCGCGGGAAGAAGCCACCGTTGGCGGTACCCCTCGCTGGATGGTGCCGCAGAGCCCCCACCTGGAAAACGGTGATTATAACCCGGCCATGCCTTCCCCACGCACGGAGCTTCCGTGAGCGGCCTGGCAGCCGCCTCCCCGGGTGCAGGCGTTTGGAGGCTGCGGGGCTGGCCGCTGGTGGGCGACAGAGAGCCCCTTCGGCGTCCCTCCTGCTGGGAGCCTCAGGCCACCGGTAAAAAGGAAGGGTGAGATTGGAATCCAGTGGTCATAGCTGGCTGTGACGTTTTCCCAGCTGATGAAAAAATGTCGAAGGGGTTATTTACCCGAGAGTGCTTTGATGTAAAAAAATGTAAAAAAAATGTAAAAAATGTAAAAAAAATGTAAAAAAAATAAGACACACCATAGCATTATAACTGAACGGGTAAAATCTCATACAGTTGTAACTGTTCATGCAAATCCTGTAAGCAGTATACATGGTGTAGCATATATTGACATACCCTATAAAATAACATACACGTATATTATAATAAGATGTGTGATAATACTATAACAGAAATGATAAAGGTTTTTTTTTTTAAACATAGTACAATGAAAACATGCCTATCGTTGTAATCATATGAGGGAAATCTTCATAGAATGCATCTATATACATTATTGCTAAAATGTGTTTACCCCTAATAAACATGTTCACTCATTCATTCCATAAATATTTATTGAGTAACTACTATGTACCAGGAAACAGGCTGGGGATTCCATGATGAATATTCTATTGGGGAAGATCATAAAGAAATACACATAAGCCGAAACCAGTTTGGCTGAGTGGATAGAGCATCGGCCTGCGGACTCAAGGGCATGTACCTTGATTGCGGGCACATCCCCAGTGGGGGTGTGCAAGAGGTAGCTGATCCATGATTCTCTCTCATCGATGTTTCTTACTCTATATCCCTCTTTCTTCCTCTCTGTAAAAAAATCAATAAAATATATAGGAAAAAAAAAAGAAATACACATAAAATATGACGTCGGGTAGAGAAAAGTGCTATGAGAAAAATAAGGCAGGTTCCTGGGCTCACGATAGGTGGGTGGTGCTTCTTGACAGTGGTCCAGGAAGTCATCCCTAAGGGTTGAGCAGGGACCCGGATGAACCTGGTGACAGGACCAGGAGATGATGCCCGCTGTAGCGAGGGAGCAATCCCAGGCAACAAGGAGGTGCTGCAGGAGCCGAGGAGGTCCCTTGAGAAGAGGGTTAGTGTCTGGGCAGTGGGATATGACAAATGAGTACCTTTAGACACAAATGTAAAATGTAACTCCCCACCCCCAAAGACATCTATTATTAGGTTCACTAGACCTTCCGGTAGTTTCCGATGTTTTTTTTTCAGGCTGTAGGTCTTTTTGTGCCCAGGTGGTGATCTTCAGTCACGTGAAGAACGGTCACATAGAACAGTGGCTTTCAAACTTTTTGACTGTGACCCAAGGTCAGACATGCAGCACACACAGGAACACAGCAAACTTAACAAAAGACTACAGGCTATGGCCTGCGTTTTGAAAATTACTATCACCAATGTGGAAGAGAAATGGGACTTATTCTGAGTCAATTTCGAGGGCTGGAATTAGGATGACTGGAGAGAGAGAGAGAGAGAGAGAGAGAGAGAGAGAGAGAGAGAGAGAGAGAGAGAGAGAGAGAGGTGTCAGCTTGATACAGATATGGACTTTCTAGCAGAACTACCCAACAGTGAGCTGCCTTAAGAATTTTCAAACTGACCTCTCTGGAACCCCAGTATTCTATGAAAACTTGAGGTAGCCTCAAATATTGAGAAAATGAAAAGGTAAACCTCAGACTGAGAACATGTACAATATTTCTAAAACTTATGTATGATAAGGGACTGGTATCCAAAATATACTAAGAGCATTTACAGTTCAATAACATGATAACTAAGTTGTTTAAAAAGGGCAGAAGATGTGAACAGGCACTTTACCAAAGAAGGTAAAGAAATGACAAATAAGCACATGAAAATATACAAATTAAAGTGACAATGAGATACCACTGTTGAGCCACTAGAATGACTAAAATTAATAAGATTTACCAGACAAGTGTTGGTGAGGATGTGTAACAAATGGAACAAACTACTGATACATGCAACATCATCGGAGAATCTCAAAAGCATTGTGATAAGTGAAAAAAGGCAGGCCCAAAACAGTACAGATTGTATGATAACATATATATGGCATTCTAGTAAAGGCAACCATTGTGACAGAAAGCGGAGCAGTGGCTGCCAGAAACCAGGCTTAGGAAGGTAAACTTTTTAGGCTCATGGATATGTTTAGATCTTAACTAGAGGCCCAGTGCACAAAATTCATCCCTCAACCCGTCTGGGACCCCTCGGGGGATGTGTGACTGTAGGATCAGGCCTAAACTGGCAGTTGTACATCCCTCTCACAATCCGGGACTGCTGGCTCCTAACCGATCACCTGCCTGCCTGTCTGATTGCCCCTAACCACTTCTGCCTTCCAGCCTGATCACCCTCTAGCTGCTCCCCTTCTGGCCCAATCACCCCCAACTGCCTCCCCTACTGGCCTGATCTCACCCCCAACTGCCCTCCCCTGCTGGCCAGTCACCCCCAACTGCCCTCCCCTGCAGTCCTAGTTGCCCACAACTGCCCTCCCCTACAGGCCTGATCTCATCCCCAACTGTCCTCCTCTACTAGCCAATTTAGTTCTGATTGGTCAGCTTTTATGTCAGTCAGTGTCAAAAGCTCTGCTTCCTAGACAGCCATTGGCTCCTCACAATTGATCCAGATTTGGTTCTGATTGGTTTCTATGCCAGTCAGCGGTCTCTGGGCCTATCAATGGGGCCTGATCAGAAAGGCAGAGCTGATCAGCAGCCTGGGTGGAAGCCTGGAAAGAAATGGAGGTCCGGCTGCTAGTCAGGTCCGAAGGTAAAGAGAGAGGCAAGTGCTGATGAACAGCTGCAACACAGGCTACGGATCAGACCCTGCTTCTCTCTACAGGCCTCTCTCTGGGCCTGATTCGCAGACCCCGCAGCAGTCAGTGCTGGGTCACCGTGCCTGCAACCCGTGTCGGGTTGCCATGCACTGACTGCAGGACTGAATTCCAGTTGATTGAGCCTCTGGTGGTTGTGGATGTGACGGACCCAGGGTTTTTATATATTAGGATTGCAGTGGTAGGTCACACAATTGTAAACGTGTCAAAATTTAGAATTGTATACATAGTGATAATGTAGTAACTCCTAAGTTATAGTGTATGTAAATGATCCCATGATAAATTTATAAAACTCAAGCCTTCGTTAGTTCTGGAAGCAGCATCAGCTGTGAATACTTACAGGGTTCCTGCGACAGGCCATGAGTGCAGTGTGCTTGCCACTTGAGGTCATAGATGCTGGTAAACCTCATCCTCTACTCGTTTCCTGGCCTGTCCTGCCCCGAGAACAGAACTCAATCCACGTAATTAACAAAAACGTGAAACGATCCCTCCAAACGCTGTATTTTGCTGTTTCAGGTGCTTGGAAGAACCGTAGTAGAGTCTTTCATCAAACAAATGAAACACATCACAGAACGGCGCTGAAATGGCCACCTCGGCAGAAAACCTGCAGCGTTCCGGGAGACACACGAAAATACAGAAAGGTCTGGCCAACTTCATCATAGATGTCTTTGGGAGTGGGCGTTACGTTTTGCTTATTTATGTCTAAATGTGCCCATGCATACTCATAATTCTGTACTGTATATCCACCTGCATGTTTGCTATTTCCAGAGCTCTCTCTTCCTCTATGTAGATACAGATTTCCAACTGGTATCATTTTTCTTTTTTTTCTTTTTTAATGATTGTCTTTTTTCTCTCTCCCACACCCCTTCTGTGGAGAGTCCAATGACATCTATGTGAACTTCCTGGAAGTTATCACATACTTCACTGATATTCTGTATTTTTCACCCTTTTTCTCTTTGTGTTTTATTTTGGATAGTTTCTGTTTCTATGTCTTCAAGTTTCCTAGTCTTTCCCTCCCCCCCCCCCCCCCCCGAGTCCCACAGTGCCTAGATTACTGTTAATCTCATCGTGTGTGTGTGTGTGTGTGTGTGTGTGTGTGTTCACATGGAGGGTTGCTTTGATACACACCGTTCACCACAGCCAAAGCCAACGTGTTTGATCTCCTTTTTAGTCAAGGAGAAACGGTTCCTTCCTCCAGGGAATGTCTTCACTTTTCCTTTTTTTTTTTTTTTTAATACCGCCCCCCCCACCCCCTTCCTTTACCTCCTCCTCTGCAAACTCAGTTATCTAATGACTTAGGCTTTTAGAAACAAATGCTAGGAAGCCTTGGGTCTGCTACTTTCTGATTTGCTCTCTAGCTCCCTTAAAGAAAAGATATAACCACCCACCTGCTTGAATGGGGAAGGGAGGGAGAAGGGAGGAGAAGACTAAATCTACCATAGGTGGGTATTGCCAGATGTTTTCTGGCCCAACATATACAGCATTCTGCTTCTTTCACTTGCTTCATCCTCAACCCAGACAAATTGGGCTGCATTGTCCCCTCTCCATCATTTCATTCACTGTTTCTGAGTCTGAACCCTGAGCCAGGCCCAGGCAGAGGGAGCAGAGCGTAGAGGGGGAAGAGCCTGAGCTCATCAGACAAACTGCTCGCACCTCAGGCGTTGCACTAAGGGGTGCTGGGCTTTGTGTGAGTCACGTGGTCTCTCCGAGCCTCAGTTTCCTCGTGTGTAAAGCTTGTTAGTAATAGCACTTCCTGGGGGCCCTGTTGGCATTGGCTTTCCTCTCTGAAAAACAGTTTCGTTTTTTCAAAAGGTTGGAGGTGAAGAAATGGCCTTCCAGACAGTTTTTGGCCATCTCACCCCTACCCTTCTTTCTTCCTCTTGGCACTCCTCTTTCCGTTTCCCTCGAAGGCTGAGGACTCAGATGCTGAGATACTTGGGCTCACTGTGTGGACATGTAACAGTCAGGTGGACACTCCTCCCGCCCCCCGAATTCGGCTTGGGTGTCAAGACCGATGATGCCACACACACATATCAAGGGGCTTGGAAAGGTTTAATTCTCACATGAGGAGGCTCTCTGGGGGAGAGCAGGGAAGGCCTAATCTGGCTGCACAGGGGCTGGAGAGAGCAGGGAAAGCAGACTGGCCTGGTTTTATTGTGGGAAGAGGTGGGGCTGGAGTGAGGGCAAGGGTTTGCCTGGCTGCATTCTAGCCGGTGCCATGGAGGGAGCACCTGGCATTCCCGTCAGTTTGCTGGGACCAGGGGCTGAAAAGGAAGAGAGAGGGAGGGAGGGAGGGAAGGAAAGAGGGAAGGAGGGAGGGAGGAAAGAAGGTAAGGGTGAGGCCTCAAAGCTGTCAGCAGTCAAACACTAAAGTGCGTATCTATTCTACTCACTGAACAGTTTGTAATCAGTGGGTGTGCAGACAGATGCTGCCCGTGGGATCCATATTGTGGCCATTCTCCCACGTGTGCGGCGTGGGAGGAGGGAGAGGAGGGATTTCATATATCATTTATACATCATGACTCAGATGAATAAAATTTTAACTTGATTTCCTTTAAGTGACGCCCTTCCACTGTCTAACCCATGTCTGCTCAACGCGAGAGCTAAATTCATACCGTTGTGCCCTGTGCCCTGGAAAGCGGGGAAGCCCAGCTCTGGGGCCTCCCTGCCTCTCTGGATCCTCGTGGCGCTTTGCTGGTGTGTGACCGGGCTGGGCACGCGTGATGGTTCCGTGTCTTCCCTCCCTGCCAGGTCTCCCCTCTTCCCTGGGACAATTCATTCCCACCATGTCACCACGTCTCTCTAGGTTAAGAGCTGGAGGGGAAGCCCCAATAAGTTACCAAGAGGGAAAGAAAGCAAAGTGGGAATACTTTTTTAAAATATTTTTTTTAATTGATTTCAAAAGGGAAGGATGAGGGAGAGAGAGAAACATCAATGATGAGAGAGAAACATTAATCAGCTGCCTCCTGCACATTCCCTACTGAGGATGGAGGCCACAACCAGGGCATGTGTCCTGACCCGGAATCGAACTGTGACCTCCTGGTCAATGGTCAACCACTAAACTACTCTGGCCAGGCAAGTGAGGAATACTTAAAAAATAAAAATAAAAAATCCAGCTTCATGTTTATCTCGTGTCCAAAGGCAAGTTTCTCTTCAATTCCATTTCAGATAATACATTAATATACAGCCCTGTGTTTTCTGCATTTGCCAATTCTTTGCCCTATGCTAATTTTTATTTTTGTTTTTAGGTTATACCGCTGCATATCCAACACAGTCCTCCATTCCTTACAAATCTCCGTCTGCAGATATTTCAGAATCAGAAAAGAAAGGATTTAATAGTCAATCCAAGAGATTTGATCAAAAAAAGGTAATGGCATTGTCTTAGAGATCCTTTACTTTTAGTCTGGATTTTAGCCTCAAGGGACAGGCCGGCCAGCCTGGCTGGTGCGTCTCTCCCTGTGACCAGTAGAGGGCGATGCTATCCAAGGAGCCACAGCAGCCTCTTCAGCTGTGCTCTCCATGGGAAGAATCAGCTGAAACAAGCACGGGACAGGGGCCGCCTACCGGTTGGTGGTCGCCAGAGGGCAGGGGGAGTTGGGGGGCTGGGTGAGTGAAAGAGGTAACGAAGGGCCTAAGAAGTACAAATTGGCAGAGGGCACTTTGCAAAGCATATAACTGTCTAATCACTATGCTGTACACCTGAAACCAATACAAAATAATACTGTAGGTAAAAAAATAAAAATAAAAATTTAAGACCTTAAAAAATAAAAATAAAAGAATGAGCTGGAAAGATATTAAATCCAGGGAAAAATAACATGTCCAAATGGTGCTCCACTGGACCCAAAACTTTTAATAAGAAATGTATTTCAAAAATTATTATAGAAATAGAACACTTAAAAATTCCAGGGATATAAGTAAAAGGTAAAAATATTTTCCTCTTTCTCCCCCAGCCTCACTCCTTAAAACATGGAAGGGAATAACAAGACTTTCTTTGAATAACAAAAAGGAAAAATGAGTCTAATACATTTAAAATGGCCTTTGTGACGAGGGCCCCCTCAGTTTTGATACTTCTTTTGACAACGTGTTACTGCTGCTCCTGTATTCCCTCCATTCTCACTCTCTCCCCCAAGTATCTGTGTCTCTTTTCCTCTTTGATCTGGGACGTTCTGCTCGGCACCTAACCAGCGATTCCACCTGCTAGAGGCTCAGGGATCTGACTGGCTCCTCTCTCGCCAGCAGGGGGCTCAGACAACTCGCAAATGTTTTCAGTTTTCTTTAAAACCTTCACCCCTGCATTCTTCTAACCAAGAATTTTGGAATAACATTCTTGGGGAGTAATCATCATCTCAGTTACCCTTTGCTGCATTCTGAAAATGTTTCTCATCTCACCCCCTTGCCAGGGTGGTGGGGAGGAGATGAGATCTGGCTTCTGAATGACTGCAGGTGAGCCAGGCGGGAGGTGAGGGGCTTGGCCAGGCCCTGTGGCCCTTGCCTGTTCCTTCTTTGTAAATAAGAATGCCCAACTAGAGAGCATTTAAGTTCTTTTCACTTCTGGTATTTTAGGATTCTAAGAAAGCAAATAATAGAGAACATAGTACGCACACACTTACACACACACACATTTTTAATTACTTGCCTTCTCCCCCCCCCCCCCCCCCTCCCCCCGGGCCCACCAAAGACGATAAATAAGGTATTTGCTTGGGAGTTTTCTCTCTTCTCTTTCTAGTTTCCCTCTCTATGTTTTAGCTGTCCATCTCTCTCTCTCTTTTTTTTGGTCTGGTTTTCCATTTGTCAGTTTAGCAAGAATATATTAGTGAGACATTTGCAGTCCAGCCTCCAATAAAAATAAGAGCAGCCACCATTCACTGATCTCCACTACGGGTGAAATCACTTTTGAACATATCTCTAATCCCCAGGACAATGCTGAAGGGAAGGGTTTATTATTTTAAGCGAAGAGGAAGCCGAGGCTTAGGGACGTTCGGTGACCCGCCCAGGGTCACAGCGCGCAGGGTTTGGCACATATGGGGCCCTGCACAAATATTTGCTGAATCAATGTTGAAAGAATTAGACCTCAAGCCCGCGTCTCGCTCACTCCAAAGCCTCACGCTCTTTCCACACACACCGCCCCACGCCTCCCTTTGTGGCCCGCAAAGCCACCCGTTTGATCTCCGAAAGTCAGAGAGCGTGTTTCTGAAAGGGCTTAGCCGAACGGACCAAGCTCCGGCCACGGGGACGACGCCAAGTGATGTGTGCAAGGCTCCGCTCTCCGCGACCTGGTGCCGATGGCAGTGCAGATACAGAAATGGATCTTCAGTTACTGTCGGCTGTCCGAAAATTCTCTGCTGAAGGAACCAAGATGCAGCCAGAGCTATAGGCAGCGCCAGGTAGAGAAATTGCTCAGAAATTTGACTCTGTGGTCGCATTGGTTAGACCTGCGGTTGGCAAACCGTGGCTCTCGAGCGACATGCGGCTCTTAGTCCCCTGGAGTGTGGCTCTTCCACAAAATACCACGGCCTGGGAGAGTCTTATTTTGAAGAAGTGGCATTAGAAGAAGTTTAAATTTAAGAAATTCGACTCTCAAAAGAAATTTCAGTCGTCGTACTGTTGATCGTTGGCTCTGTTGACTAATGCGTTTGCCGACCACTGGGTTAGACAATGTGAAAACTTCCATCTAATATTTGAAAGCATTTGGGAAATGAGTATGGACCTTTGTGGAAAGGGCGAGGAATCCGTCAGAAGGTCCCCCAAGTTCTGCTCTGTTACTAGCTGCGTGCCTTGAGTTCCTTGACTTTCCTGGGTGGGCTTCAGTTTTTGTTAATCTGAAACATAAAATTTGGATTACATAATTGCATATGGTTCTTCAAGCTCTAAAAGCAGAAAGGAGGTCTGGCTCCGTGCTCATTGTTCTCATTTGTCCTGAGGGAAGTGGGCATTGAGAAGTTAAGGATCTCATGTAGCATCACCCAATAATTTAGTGAGGCAATACGAATTAAAACCAGATTTAGAACCCCAGTGTCTCACCGCCCTTCTGCAAACATTCCTCGCACACGCCCTGTGCCTGATCTCACAACGTGGTTGTGGCCTCAGATGAATTCTGTGACCCACTTAGCACATCTCACACGAGCCCTTGGGAACCTGCGCGCACCTTATCGTCTCACGTTGTCGGAAACGCCAAGGCCTCGTTGCCCGGCTCCCGTTCCCCCGTAAGAAGCTGACTGCTGGGTGCCCAGATCCCCTCCCAGAGCTCAGTCCTGGACCGGCAGTGCCAGGAAAGAGGCCTGCTTCCCTGAACAGCTGTTCACAGATGTGCTGGGACGCCCGTACAGGCGAGGCCAGCCTGGTCTGGGGCCCGGCAGAGCCCAGGGGCCCGATGGGCACTTTCTCACCTCCCCCCCTCCCCCGTCTGTCCCGTGTCACCCTGGGCTGTGATTACTGTCTGCCAAGCTGGGTCACACTGGACACTCACTCACTGTCTCTGCATCTTTGTTTCCTCATCAAAATAAGGATGTTACTATAGGTTACTATAGATCACTGCTCTAGGGTTTGTTTTTAAAAATATATATATATTATTGATTTTTTTACAGAGAGGGAGAGGGATAGAGAGTTAGAAACATCGATGAGAAAGAAACACCGATCAGCTGCCTCCTGCACACCTCCTACTGGGATGTGCACGCAACCCAGGTATATGCCCTTGACCGGAATCGAACCTGGGACACTTCTGTCCACAGGCCAACGCTCTATCCACTGAGCCAAACCGGCCAGGGCTGCTCTATGGTTTTAACCTGACTGATCCCTCCAGGCGCAAATAAATGAATAGTGGCAGGATGCGGGCACCACAGGCTCCAGATGGGCACAATTTAACAACATGATGTCCCTTCAGACACGGCCTGACAGCAAACCTGCCCTCTCAGGGGTGAGCAGGCCAGTGTTTAATTTGTGGCAAAGTTGACGCTGTTCACTTATTAACCCGAGAAGGCACTGGGCCAGGGGTATTTTCCACGCAGGGAAGCCTCAATGAAAAGAAGCTCAGTGTGCAGAGACCCCCACGTTCAAGGGCATAATTGCCCCTAAGGGTGCAGCCAGATGCATGTTTGAACCCTCTTCCCTCCCCCCCCACCCCCTGCTCTGGAGGCCGGACTTCTCTGCATCAGTCACCAGCACCCCTCCCGGCGGGTCTGCAGGACCCAGGCCTGGAGATAGCACTGACAGGGTGCCAGGCGCCCCTCGGAGACCGTAACCCCCACAATAGGCTGGGAGCTAAGTCCCATCATTAGTCCCACTTTTCAGGCAATGACCCTGAGACACAAAGAGGGGTAAGTAACCTGAGCAGCCAGGGTCAGGCCCTGTGAGGACGAACCCAGGCAGCAGCCCCTGGTTCCCAGACACCGTATCCCAGCCTCTCCCCTGGGTAGAAGCAAGCACACCTCCTCTGGGCTCCCAGAGCCAGTCGTATGGCCCTTGACCCTGCCTCGGGCAGTGCGGAGGGCAGTGAGGAGGATGACGATGGCTGCCCAGGCCGGCACTGCTGTCACCTCTCCACACGGGTTGACTCACGGATTGTCACACCGCGAGGCCGGCACCGGAGACAACAGGAACGGCACCTGGCACTGTGCTTCCCGAGGGACACTCAGCAGGCCGTCAGCATTGCTCAGAGGAACAGTCCTCCCTGCTCCCTCCCCACACCCATCCTTGTTTTGTTTGCTTATTTGGTTTTAACCTCTGGGGTGATCTTGGCCAGCAAACTCGGGGTGGGTAAGTTCACACCAACCCAGTGGCAGGTTGAATTCTTGTTCTCTGTGTTGTGCTCAGAGAGGCCTCAACTCACCAGAGTCACGCGACGTTAGTCACACGAGCTGGCGTACCAGGGGTGAAAGGTCTGGATTTCTACTGCCCCCCCGGCCAGCCGCCCACCACCTCCAGCAGCTGCAGGAGAAGGTGCGAACTCTCCGCAGCTGGACGTTGCTCTTCAGGGAGCTCCGTGGGCGTCCCATGAAGGTAGCAAGTGTTGTGCTGGCCAACCGCTCTCCCCTCCACCTAGAAAAGCTCTGGTGTATAGCGCTTGCCACTTCCTGTGGTGTAAATACTCCCATTTCTGAATTGTTAACAGTCGCTCTCCCAGCATACCGCCGCCTGGAGGGCTCGTCTTGGACAGTGATTGAGAGCCAACAGGCCACACGTTCCCCTCCAGGCTAAAGGGGACACTCCTGTTCCAACCGACCTGAATCCAGGCATGATTAAGGTCCAGGAGGGTTGCCAGATCTAGCAAATAAACATATAAGATTCCTCGTTAACATAGAACTTCAAATAAATAACAGGCAACTATTTTAATGTAAGTATGTCTCAAACAGGGCATGGGGACATACTTCTACTAACATAGCTTTTGCTGTTTACCTGGCTTTCAGATTTAACTGACAGCCTCGTAGGGCTGGTGCTTTCTCTGGCAGCCAGCTCCTCAGACACATACTGTGCCCAGGAAATTCTCGTGAGCTGGTGGCCGTGTGGAGAGCGTGGGGTAGACTGGGATGTCGAAGCATGTCTTCACTGCTCACTCTTAAACATAGGAGAGACACAGGCAATTTCCTGCCTCAGCTTCCCCTCGAGTTAGGGACTTTGAAAGCCAAAAGGCCCTGGAAGACATTTCGTCCAACATCTTTGCTTTACAAGTGAGGAAATTTAGGTCCAGGGAGGTGGCTGGCTCCTAGTAGGAGCAATGGGAACAAGAATTCCTGATTCACAACCCAGGGGCATTATTATTATTTTTTTTTATCCTACATACTTAGTGGTGAAAAGTAGACTCTAGGGCTCTGACAGTTCTGGCTCTGTGACCTTGGCCCTGTCTTCTTATCTTCCAAACGGGGAGTAAGTGACTTAGTGCATGTGAAAAACTCAGAACAGTGGCCGGTACACAGTGACAATTCAATAAATCTACGCTGGCCTGTGCGCAGCCCCCTAGAAAAAGTTCTTCTGCCCTGATGGTGTTGCTACGTGGTTAGTGCCTCAGGCTGCACCCCAAAGGGTAGCAGATTTGATTCCTGGTCAAGGGCATGTACTTCGGTTGCAGGCTTGATCCTCAGCCCCAATTGGGGCACTGTGCGAGGCAACCAGTCAATGTTTCCTCTCTCTCTCTCTCTCTCTCTCTCTCCCCTCCCCCTTTCCATTCTCAAAAAAAAAGAAAAAAAATCAATGGAAAAAATATCCTCGGTGGGATTAACAGGAAGAAAAAGCTTCCTTGTTTCCCTGTAGGCCCTCAAACCTGCGCCCACACGCTAGGGTTCTCCTGACCTTGGCCTGGTGCTCATGCACCTGCATGGCCAGCCTCACACTCCCCGGCTGTCCGGCCTCCCTGTCCACCTGCGATCACCATCCCTGGCCCCACCTGCAAGGCTCAAAGGAGCCACTGCACCTGAAATCCGCCCAGAAGAACCTGTTAATAGCACTGGAGACCCAGCCTTTACATTAAACAGCAATCATGCACTGCGCCCTGACCAGTTTGGCTCAGTGGATAGAGCGTCGGCCTGCGGACTGAAGGGTCCCAGGTTCGATTCAGGTCAAGGGCATGTACCTGGGTTTCGGGCACATCCCCAGTAAGGGGAGTGCAGGAGGCAGCTGATCGATGTTTCTCTCTCATCGATGTTTCTAACTCTCTATCCCTCTCCCTTCCTCTCTGTAAAAAAATCAAAATATATATATTTTTTTAAAAATCACACACTGCTCCGGCCCGAGTGGAAAGTCCTTCAAGGCCCGATGGTGCCGCCAGCTTTCTCCCTCCCCCGAGGAAGGTGGTGGGGACGGTGGAGACCGATGAGCCTGGGGCAGAGGCGGAGAGAGCCCGCTCTGGAGCCATCGTTGAGTATCTGTGGGCTCACTGTCTCGGGCCTCCCTTTCCTTAAAGGGGCCTAACGATACCCCATTGCCAAGGACTGGTGTGCAACACGTGCTTCGCCCCAAATTCGGGTCCTGCCACTCACAGCGGCGGACTAAAGCTACAGGCTTTGGAAAGCTCCTGGCACCGAGTGGGCATCCAGTAAGGTATCCTTATCATCTCATGCCACATGCTTGGCCAGCTCCTGCCCACGTGCACGTCCCCGGGTAACCAGCATGGGACGTGAGAAGGACGTCCAGTGAGCAGCTCCAGCAGAAAGAAACTCAGAAGTCAAACTCGCGCTCGCTCCTCTCTCACAGGCCTGGTCCCTGGGCACCTGTGCCCCGTGCACCTGACAGGCAGAAACGGTCTCGCTTGTTTGGGGCGAAGGCTGTTTTTGTTTCATTTTGCTTTGTACACAGAAACACTCCCTGGTTTCTCTTCTGAGAGGCCGAGGAGGAAGCTGAGTCAGGCGGGGTGTGGCTAGCATGCCATCGGTCGCCCTTCCCTCCCCGTGGGCCGGGCTTACCCAACTCATGGACCCCGGTTTGCCCATCAGCCACACTCACTGCCCCCTGTTATGCCCTTTTCTCTAATGGCGTGGGAAACAGCCGCGCTCGCTCTTCCGCAGGAGCGAGTAGGGAGAGCGAGGGCTGTGGGGGTCCCAGCCCCAGCCCTGGGTCACTGAGATGGTGACTGGGCAGGGCAGGAGGTGGCGCAGCCGGGCTGCCGTCCGTGAAGTGGCGGCGGGGCCTGTCCCGGCGGGTCCCGGCGAGGCTCCGTGTTTGCGGGCGTGAGGCGCCTGGAAAAGCCCGGTGGAACGGAGTCCGTCCCGGTGACGCCACATGCACTTCCCTTTCAGGACAACAGCCCGGGGCCCGGGGCCTACAACGTCACGCACCAGTCTCCGGTGTTCCACAGCGCCTCGCTGTCCACGCGAGGGACGTGCGCCTTTCCCTCGCGGGTAAGAGCCCTTCTAACTGACCCGTCGCTTCCCCCCCCCCCCCTCCGGTGCACAATCACGTATCGGACGTCCGGCCCCTTCTCTCCAAAGGCCTGTGGTTCTAATTAGGAGACGAGCTGCCTCCTCGAAGTTCATGCAGGTGAATTGGAAGTCTGTGTCTTTAAAACACCCCCCCCTCCCTTCCCCCATGGCTACACATTTCCAGAATGGAGAGAGAAGCCAGAGGAATCATAGTCAGAGCCTCATCACCCAGGACCGATTTTAAAAATATATATATTTTATTGATGTTTTACACGGAGAGGAAGGAAGAGAGATAGAGAGCTAGAAACGTCGATGAGAGAGAAACATCGACCAGCTGCCTCTTGCACACCCCCTACTGGGGATGTGCCCGCAACTCAGGTACATGCCCTTGACCGGAATCGAACCTGGGACCTTTCAGTCTGCAGGCCGACGCTCTATCCACTGAGCCAAACCGGTTTCGGCCACCCAGGACCAATTTTGTCATCATGGAGTAGACTAAGCAAATGTCTTCCTGAGTGAGATTTTTAGGCACATCAGGAAAAAAATTATCCTACATCTCACCCTAATACTCTGTCTTACGCTGCGCAGTCTAATTGAGCTGTGGACATTATTGAGAAAGCTGATGGGGCCAAAGTTAGAGCAGGCCTGGAATTTAGCAACCTTCCTCTCTTCCCCCCCTCCCCCCCCTCCCCCTGCCCTTGTAAGATGTGGCTCTTGATCTTTGTGGATCTTGATCTTTGACAGTCAAATATAATATATAGGGTGATAGGGTGTCTCCCACAATGTCTACCCAGACATTTTTTCCATAGCTCAGTGGATGTTTCTTTTCAGATTTAACCCATTGGAATTAATAATTATTCAAAGTGTATATATATATATATATATATATATATATATATATATATATATATATTTGGGACACCCTGTATATGAAGTGCAAATGTCCCTGACCAGGCTTGGGTGAAGATCATTTTTATCTGAATATTTATAAATCGGCCAGAAAAAAAAAAATAGATGTAGCAAGAGCAAAGGGCCAAGCTAGGGTAAGGCTGAGGTAAGAAAGTAAAAAAGAGAGCAAACCCAAACTCTGGTATCAACAAAACACATATGCCGCCTGTCCCTTTAAAAGTTATAATGATCCCTTGCAAAAACGTATTACGATGCCTGCCGTTGGAACTGATTTTCAAACGAATCACACAAAGAGGCCATTTAAGACAGCCTGAGCACGGCCGCCTAATGGAATTCAAGTTTGGCAGAGCGACCAAATTCAGGTCCTCCAGGGGCGACCGGGCCGCGGAGCTCTGCCAGGCAGCAAAGAGGGGCGGAGGCCGGGCCTCCAGTGAGTTCAGGGAGCAGCCACGCCTCTGCCTCGCTTTCCGCCCCAAGCCCTGCGAGTACGGGAGACGCAAGCAATGGGCAGAAGAAGCGCCTTGCCTTGCCTCACAATGCCCTGGCACAGGCAGCGAGACTGCAAGCCCAATCCTGACTCAGCCGCGGGTTCCCGATGTGACCTCGAGCACGTCACCCTCCCGGGCTCCGGCTGCTCATAAAGCGGAGACCGCCCCGGGGCGCTGGGCTCGGGGCCGTGGCAACCAGCGAGAAACCCTTTGAAACTGCAGAGCCCAGTCAACAGGTGAAATGTTATGGTTGTTACCACCTGAGTCACACACAGCACTTCCTGCAACACCTGGGTTTTCTCTCGGCGGCCGGCTTCTTTGCCGGATCGTGGCACTGCCCGTCCTTACTCGGTGCCACCGAGGGAAGGGGCTGAATCAGAGCACGCCACATGAGATCGATCGGTGGATTCCGTGCGAGGCTCCACGTGCGGTCACTTCCCCGAGGACCAGGCTGTGCTGTCTGGAGGAGAAGGGGCCCCGAGCGAAGATCTGAGGGTTACGGAAGCGAGTCAGGCCTCTCAAATCTTTTAAAAAATTCAGGCCAAACCCAAAGCAGGGCAGACGATGTTGTTCAGGCTTCCTCTCCCCTCCTTGATGGATGTGAAGAATTATATTTATATTGTAAACAGTCAATTCCTATGTCCTTCGGGAGGGGCCTGCAGTGGTTGATGGATATGTGTCAGGAAATTGCCCACATCTTCCTTGGTTTCTTTCGGAACTGGATGCGAATCCTACCCCTTCACCTCAGCTTCCACCGTTAGCACCCCTCCATTTCCGGGCTGAAGGTGCCGAGGGAGGTCAAGGTGGCCCTCTTCAGAGGGGTGGCCAGGAGGAGGTGGCTGTGGGCGAGGCCGGCCAGCAGGCTCCGTGGGTGTGCACGTTTGAGAAACTTCCTGATGACTATGGGCACGGCTACACCCAGCCTTTTGAGAGGACCTGTCATCTCTCTAAGTCCAAATTATATAAGAGCTTCACCAGAGCCGTCCAAGTCTTTGTTCCGGCATTATTCACAGCAGATGAGGCAGGTGGGAGGAGGCGCAGATGGCCTTTCTCCATCCGCCCCGTGTCAGCAGGGGTTCGGGAAGAGTTAGTGTGTGCTGGAGAGAGGTTCGTAATTGCCAGCGTGCGGCCAGATGGGAGACCACAGGCCTGGCGATTAAAAGGAGGCCAAGGCTGGGTGAGTCAGTGTCACTTCGGCTATCCTCTGAGATCAATCCCATTAGGATGCTTCTGTTATGAAACCCTGCCTCAAATTGGAAACTTTTAGAACAGTTTCCCCCCAAAATGTACACAAATAGGCTTTCTAGGCCAAAAAGGCTCTATGACCCAGTGAATTTAAGAAAGTCTGGACAGGCTTCGTTATCTTAGTCTCAGAGCATTTCCTCTGCCGAAGGGTATTATGATTCTTCTAAATAGGGAGATGGTAGGAGACTTCTCAAATGCATTTGACTTCAAGGCTCTCTCCCAGCTGCTGTCACCACCAGCGCAGCCTTATCTTAGAAAGCTGGTATGCCAAGGAACACACATTGGGAAACGGCTTCAGAAAAACATGCCTGCCCACTCGGACAGGTGGCTCGATTGGCACCACCGAGGAAGGCTTGACCTCACCACCCTCCTTCGGTGGAAGTTAAGAAGAGAGAGCAAAGGAGTGCCAACCCACCGGGCAGAGGAGACAGAGGTTGTGATCCTTCCTGAACTAAACCCTCCCACGGTCTCTCGTCAGCTGCTCCTCTTGTTACTGCTGTTCCTCCTCTGGACCCGCTTCTCTTCAGAACTGGGTGTCCGGTCTCTCTCATGCAGTGGAGGCACACAGCCTGGGTGCGAATGCTGGCTCCCCCACGGGACCGGCTGAGAAAGCTCAGTTTCCTCATGTGTAAGGGGAGGGTCATCGCAGGACCCACTACCCAGGGTTGCCGGGAGGATTAAATGCAAAAACACACGAGACATGCTCGGTCAGCCATTGCCCCAAACACAAAGACAAATTGAGCCCAGGATGGAGGAGGCAGAGGTGGGGCTCTGACCCGGCTTAGACTCTGAACAGCTGGGGCTCTGCTCCTGGTGGCACATCCACCACGGACCACGGTGGCCCATAGGCCAGGCGTTGAGAGCCATTGGCCACCCAGCGTAAGACCGAGTAGATGGGGGAGGCACTGATGCCATCTCACCCCTTCTCCCACCTTCTGTAGTTATTGATCCCTATCTGAGGAAACCTAGGGCAATGTTCCCAGGCATTTAACCGCAAAACACTGAGAAATATGTGGTTTTATCAGAGTCCAATACTTGCCATATTCTCCTGGGGTAAAGCGATGTTATCACTTAGTTTCTGTGGCTTTTGACCCTTTTCATTTAGCAAACACTGATTCTGTTTGTTTTCTTTTAAAAAACGCACACACATACATACACACACACACACACACACACACACACACTAAAAATAGTTTATCATGGCTTCCTGAAAGAAGCAGAATTAGTTCTGTTGAAACACAAAAATATTGTAGGGTTTTATGAAATCAGTAATGAGTGGGTGGGAGGAGGGGTAGGAGATATATGTAGAAGACGTTGGAAGCAAACTTGTTATGTAGGCAATTCAGATTATTTAACCTTAGAAATAAGATGTGTAAGTAGAAGGCAAGCCTGGGTTGGAGGAAAAAAGCCTAAAGCTTCCATCATATAAACAACCCAACAGCTGAGGGTGAGTCAGGTGGCTTGACACAGGATCGGGTGAAAATGCATTTCTGGCAGAATTATTGATGCCAAGTCCCAAACAGCAGATGAGTAATTTGAGTTTACAGAAGTGAACACAGGTCGGGACTTGTGCTTTCAAAGAGCGAATCCTCAAAGCCCACGGTCAGTTTATTATTGTTTACTGCCAGAGCGGCACCTTTTATAAGATGCGTTTAGACCCACTTGGGGCGCCATCTCTCTGACATCATCCCGGGGAGCCACAGATCACATGACAATGCTGATTCCTTTGGCTTTCTCCTCACAGCGCGACCGAATGAACCCCATCGTCTCTAAATATCCCGCAGCCAATGCGTACACTCTGCCGTCGTGCTTCCTTTCGAAGAAAGACTTCAGTAACACCTGCTCCAGCATGTTCCAGATACCCAGCTTTGGAAAAGGCCTCAAACTGGAAACTCCTGCACCAAACCATTACAATGTAAGAACACCACACGTGCTCACTAAATACATACTGAGTGGATGGTTTACAAAAATAAGAGGAAGGAAGGGGCACTGTGGGAAATAGGACTCTAATGCAGCTGGTGAGCCAGTTAGCATTTGTGGGGTACCCCATGGGTACAGGAGGCTGTGCAAGACTCTTACAGGGAATTCGCAGGAAACAGAGGAAAATGGGGGCTACACGGAGGCCAGTGCGAGCGGTGGGGAGACCATCGCCCTGGAAAATGCTTAACCGTAGCCACTCCTATCATGTAAGCTTTCTGGGACGGTGTTCTCATCTCTAACAATGAGTGCACACTGAGTGGCCAGATTATTCTGATTTCTGAATGCATAATAATCTGGCCACTCAGTGTGTGTGTGTGTGTGTGTGTGTGTGTGTGTGTGTGTGTGTATCCTATCTAATAAAAGAACAATATGCAAATTGACCATCACTCCAACACACAAGATGGCTGCCCCCATGTGGACACAAGATAGCTGCCACAAGATGGCCAGCAGGGGAGGGCAATTAGGGGTGACCAGGCTGGCAGAGGAGGAAAGTTGGGGGCGATCAAGCCTTCAGGGAAGGGCAGTTAGGGGGGACCCAGGCCTGCAGGGGAGGGTATTTAGGGGTGACCAGGCCTGCAGGGGAGGGCAGTTAGGGGAAATCAGGCTGGTAGGGGAGCAGTTAAGCATAAATCAGTCTGGCAGAGGAGTGATTAGGGGATGATCAGGCTGGCAGACAGAGAGGTTAGGGACAATCAGGAAGGCAGACAGGCGAGCTGTTGGGAGTCAGCAGTCCTGGATTGTGAGAGGGATGTCTGACTGCCTGTTTAGTGGGATCGGGCCTAAACGGGCAGTCGGACATCCCTTGAGGGGTCCCAGATTGGAGAGAGTGCAGGCTGCGCTAAGGGACACCCTTCCACCCTGTGCATGAATTTTGTGTACCAAGCCTCCGGAGTGTGTGTGTGTGTGTGTGTGTGTGTGTGTGTTAGAGGCCTGGTGCATGGGTAGCCTAGCCAGGGGGAGAGGCCTGCCTGCTGTTCAAACTCCTGGTTGAGGGGACAATTTGCATATTAGCCTTTTATTATATAGGATATACACCAAGTGGCCAGATTATTATGCGTTCAGAGATCATAATAATCTGGCCACTCAGTGTATATTATTTGCCATTTAATCTGCAGGTACTACTAATTTAATTTTTAGGTTCTTATAAGGAAAATACATTTCTGTCTTTTCATATCAGAAAATGATGTGTTTGTTTTTGTTTTTGTTTTTTAAGAGTAGTGCTTTGCCAATTCTGATCACTTCACAGATCACTTCAAAGAGGCAGAATTCATGGTTAAGAAATGGAGTCAAATTCACATCTCAACCTGCCACTTTCTAATCGTGTGGCTTTGGTCAAGTTCTATGGGGCCTTGTATCTTCACCTCCCAGGACGCAGTTTATTCATCTGTAAAATGGGGGTACACATCTAACCTAGTTCATAGTGTTAATGCAGATATTAAACGAGGTAATCTCTGCTGAGCACTCTGCACAGCCCCTGGCAGAGGACTCCACAGTCCGTAGGGAGACACACAACCTCTTGAGCCTCAGTTGTAAAATGAAATTAATTACACTTGCCCTAGAGGGTTATTCTAAGACGCCAACGAGGCAGCGAATGTGGATACACAAGGCATTATACCGACCCAGGAGCTAGAAAGTGGAAATCCCTGAAAATTTGGCTGCCCTAAGCAGACTGCCGTCAGAAACCAGCTGCAGTTTCTCTCCTGTTCTCTGCCTCCCGGAGCACCTCCCTCCGGTGCTAGGATTGCGCTGTGCACAGTACACGTGCATTTTCTCCTTAACTACATCTTAGATTCCTACCCCACACCCTGCCCACCCTGTGCCATAGGATAAATCAGCTCCATTCTCTTTGACCCGCCCATGGAGCTGCTATCCTCCTCGTGTAACATTGAAATCTTCGGGGAGCACACATTCAGTGGGCCCGGAAATGCCCTCTTCTCAGCTGCCTTTCTGTCTGGGCGAGGAATGGAGCCGTGGTGGTGTTTTGTCTGCAGGTGGCTTTTTCCAGACCCGGAGAACAATGGCCGAGCCAACTGGCGAGGAGAGAATGCGATAATCCCGTTAGTCACACTGCGCGGCGGGGTCTGCGCAGGCCTTTCCTCGCCTCGGCTCACCAGGGCCCTGCTCCTCCACCCGGAGCCTTTCCCTCGATGCCGTGTGATTACTTCCTCTCTGACAGCCTGGCTCCTCGCCCTGGGCCAGCAATTAGCCTGCTCCATCTGATCTTTCTGTTTGCTGTCTCGGCAGGCAGCCTAGCCGTGAGGACCCTGGGAAAAGCTAAATTCCCCCGCCTTTGTCAACACAAAATCAAAATGCCATCTGTATTTCTTGAGAAACATTTCTCCCACAAAGAAGTATCACAGAAAATCAAACGGTCCTGGCCCCAGCAAACATTTTCAGTCACTAGGTAAATATTCCCGGCCTTCGCACGGACAGTTTTTATGGCATCTTTTATCGAGGGAATACAGGAGCCGGACTGCACCCTGGCATTTAAAGTATGTACGATGCCCGTGTCGCATAAGCGTGATCTCAGGGCCCTGCTTCCTTCTCTGTGACTTTGAGAGGCACACGGGGCACTCTCAGATGTGTACTGTGTGTGTCAACCAAAATCCTTGACTTCTGGTCAGTCCAGAAAAATCCAGGTGAGAGAGCGCTTACACACCTGATTATAACCTTAAAGTGCCCGATCTCCTAGCATGGCCCAAGCCCTGCGTTCACAGCGGGACTGTCCGCACAGTAATGAATCAGGTGGGAGGTGTAGGACCAGATGTTCTGAAGAGAATAAAACCCCGGGAAGAATGGAAATAATCTGCATGTGTAGAGTGACGTGGTTTTTAAAAGACACTTTGCTAGAGATGATTTCCATTGGCCCCACCCAACAGCACTGGGCTAGGGGAGCAGGGTAATCTGAGCCGCCTTACTGATGAGAAAACTCAAGTTCAGAGAAATGAAGCCACATGTGCAGATCACCTGCCCCGTATGGGATCACCTGTCCTGTGCGGGATCACCTGTCCTGTGTGGATCACCGGTGTGGGATCACCTGCCCTGTGGGGGATCACCTGCCCTGTGTGGGATCACCTGTCCTGTGTGGATCACCGGTGTGGGATCACCTGTCCTGTGTGGGATCGCCTGCCTGTGTGGGATCACTTTCCCTGTGTGGATCACCTGCCCTGTGCGGGATCACCTGTCCTGTGTGGCTCACCTGCCCTGTGTGGGATCACCTTCCCTGTGTGGGATCGCCTGTCCTGTGTGGGACCACTTGCCCTGTGTGGATCACTTGTCCTGTGTGGGATCGCCTGTCCTGTGTGGGATCACCTGCCCTGTGTGGATCACCTGCCCTGTGTGGGATCACCTGTCCTGTGCGGGATCACCTGTCCTGTGTGGATCACCTGCCCTGTGTGGGATCACCTGTCCTGTGCGGGATCACCTGCCCTGTGCAGGATCACCTGTCCTGTGTGGATCACCTGCCCTGTGTGGGATCACCTGTCCTGTGTGGATCACCTGCCCTGTGTGGGATCACCTGTCCTGTGTGGGATCACCTGCCCTGTGTGGATCACCTGCCCTGTGTGGGATCACCTGTCCTGTGCGGGATCACCTGTCCTGTGTGGATCACCTGCCCTGTGTGGGATCACCTGTCCTGTGCGGGATCACCTGTCCTGTGTGGATCACCTGCCCTGTGTGGGATCACCTGTCCTGTGTGGGATCGCCTGTCCTGTGTGGGACCACTTGCCCTGTGTGGATCACCTGCCCTGTGTGGATCACCTGTCCTGTGTGGGATCACCTGCCCTGTGTGGATCACCTGCCCTGGGTGGATCACCTGCCCTGGGTGGGATCACTTGCCCTGTGTGGGATCGCCTGTCCTGTGTGGGATCACCTGTCCTGTGTGGGATCACCTGCCTGTGCAGACACTTGCTGGTGACCCCCAGCTCACAGCCAGTCCAGCTGGGTGATGTGATCTTGTCCACTCACACCATTCATTTTCTGAGGAGGACAGGGTGACCCTCGTCCAGGCACAATGACAAAGACAGAGGAGGCAGGCCCTGGGCACAGCGCACTCTCTCTCTCCCCAGACCTCCGTCTCTTTCTGCAAACAGAGTAACAACGTCTGTGCCCGAGCCGAGTTTCAGTCCAAAACCGAGAGAGGAGTGTTCACCATCCCTAAAACAGGACCTGCACCAGGTAGGCAGCCGCCTTGCCCTGGCCTCGGCCTGAGGCGTGGTGTCCAGATCGGGTCTGAGGGCGCCCGGGCCTCGGCCGGCGTCTCTGGAAGGAGCGAGGCTTTGGGGAGTGCGGGGTGGAGGCCGGTGTGGAACAAAGGGGAGAAGCGTGAGGAACAGACGGGCGGGCTGTCCTCCTTTCCGGAAGAATGGCTGGTTCTGGAAAAGCCCCCACAGCAGCCCCGCTGGTGGGGAAGTGGCTTCTCACCAGAAGGGTGTTCGTTCCCACCCCCGGCGCCCCCAGGCCGCGGGGGCATCCAGCACACAGAGGGGATCGCAGGCAGCCCTCACACATCTGCCCGCACAGAGGCCCGCAGCGGGGGTGACCTCCCCCGTGTCACAGGGCGGGCAAGCCCAGGGCCAGGTGCCTGACAGGAGACTGTTGCCGGGTCATCCATCGTGACTTTTGATCTGGCCGGGATTCAGGAACGCACAGGACTGGCCTGCGAGTGTTCTCCCCGCTGGGCTGGACGCTCTGGGCCTGCCCCCTAACCGTTTGCAGGGAGCTCTCCCCCCATCAGACCTTCCCTCCGGGATCTGAAGACCCCCAGGGAGCGCGGCCGCGGAGGAGGAGCAGGCTTTGCCTCCCGGAGGGGGTGTGGGTAAAACTGCAGTGCGCTGTCAGATTTCAGCAAATGCAGATTAAAGTTGAGATTAATTTGAAGCTGAATAACAAAATCAGCCCTAATGAGGAGGCTAAGCCGGGGCGAAAGCTCCCGGCCTTGCATCATCCGCGGGCAAAGCCCCGCCTTGTTTGTTTATTCAGAGAACAAAGCCGGCATCTCTGGGGTTGGCCAGAGGCCCTGCCAGGGAGCCCAGGGAAGCGGGCACCCTGCAGCCACATGGGCCACTCCCTCAGGAAGGTCTTATCGCGGAGAACAGGATGGGGGAGCCCCCCCCCCCCCCCAGTCGGTTCAACTCCTGCTGCGTGCCCCTGGCTTTCCACAAAGAGGTGTGAGCTAATATTATTATTTCGCCCGTTTTACTGAGGGAAAGCAGGTGACTAGCCCAGGGTCCCCTTGGATTTTAACCCAGGCCTAGTGGGTTGGATGCCTGCCTGGTGCCTCAGACACCTCCCCCCTCCACTTGCCAGGGGCCTGGGCCCTCTGCTTTGACCTCTCACCTCTCGGAGGAAGTTTCACTTCCGCCTCTGTGGGAGAACACCAGATGCGGAGCGGTGATTGGCGTCTGCTGCTCTGCATGCCCCTCTGCCAGCGCCAGGCAAAATGCTCACCGTGACCTGTTTGCTGGTTGGATTCCCTGCAGCTTAGATGAACCAACCACATCACCACGTCCACCTCTATTCTTCCTTGTCTTTTAGAGACGGGGAAAGGCCGGTGTCAAAGTGCCGCTTGCAAACGTGGGTCCCAGAATCGGGTCTGCCCGGGCGTCCCTCCTGGTGCGGCAGAGCCCGCTGTGCCCCGGGAGCCAGTGCTCCCGGGCTCCGGGGCCACGGGAACCCCCGTGCCTTTCTCTTTACTTCTGCTTCTCAGCATCTTCTCACCAAGCATCGCTCCGCCCTTCCTGGTAGCAGTAAATGAGAGTGAGAAGGAAACAGAAAGACCACGAGAGATATAGACCAATATGACACTTTTAGCTAGACAATGCCCTTAAAGAAAAAATGTAACCCTGTGCTGGGAACACTCTTCAAGTTATTAAAATCCCTCCCAGAGCCTCGTTTTTAAGCGGATCTCGGAGAGTAGGCCATCGTGTGGTGGTACCAGGCGTGAAGGGACAGATGCCCTCCTACTGGAAATGGAGGTGGTTTTGAGCTGAACGCTAATGTAAACACAGTGGGGCGAGCACACTTGTAGTTCGCAACTTGTGTGCATTCAAGATTGTTCCCTCGTGTAAACTGCTGAAAGGGAACTCGCCAAGCCAGAGGCGTGTAAATAGTTAAGGTTTTCGCCACTTGTGATCGAATTGCCCTTCAGCTCAGGGGTCACGAGGCACCTTGCCCTGGCTGTCACCGGGCACGGCCGTTTAAGGAAAACCTTGCCAACCAAGTAATAATGTTGTTTTCAGTACTTTTGCAACGGAAAAGTACATTTTCTCGAAACAAAGCCAACTTTACAATGTTAGGAAATGTGGACTATTTTTCCCACCCGGAATGCCACCCTTCATATATTTGTATTGCTTGGGTCCCCGCCTCTTTGTATGCAGACTTATCCATTTGTACCTGGATGCCATCACAGGGCACAGACTTCCAGGCTTGGCCTTGCTTATTCACTCACCTTTATTTTTGGGAAACACTGCCAGGTGACTGTTGGGATGTACATCGTATGCTCAGGGCTTTTCCATCTGTTGAATCATTTTCTTAATTTCGGAGTACTGGGGAGCCCGGGTGTGCAGACATCCTCAACGCTTTTACCTAGTGCTGCCGCTGGCACTCCCCACGCCTGCACCCACTGGCAGGGCCCCCGAAAGCGAGGGGCGAGACTGCTTCCTGCTCCCCCAGCTCGGAGCATCCTGCTCTTCCTCGCAGCTTTGTGCACAGTCACATGATTTTGTTCTGTCACCGTTTCTTGAGACAGGGCATGGTGGGAAAGCAGGGGCTTTGGAGACAGCTGGCCTGGGCCTGCATAGTAGGTGTTCAATACGTATTTGTTAACTGCAGAGTCGTTACAAAACAACTACTCTGTGCCAGGAACCTAAGATGTTATTCCACTCCTACAACCACGCCGTTGTCGGAAGAATTCTTACTTTATCGAGGAGGGAGCAGCCGGGCTTAGTCAGCCCCTGGTTGGATGGATGTCTTAGGGCAAATGGCTTACTATCTCTGAGCCTCAGGTTCTTCGTGTTCAGCGTGGAGGGGACAGCACCCACTTTGCTGGGCTGCAGGAGGATGACCTGAGCTAAGTATGTGGCCCGTGTTCGCTGAGAGGTGAGCAGTGTTTTCAGCCCCTTCAGGCAGCCCTGCTTGCATTGGACCGTCTTGGAGGGATATTGCCTTACAGTCACTAATGTATTCTTAGGTGGGAGGGATGGCTCTTTATTTGAGAAGTGTTTCTTATTCTGTTTAAAAATGTCTTTCTGTTTAGGGCATTATGATATCAACGAAGCCCTTGTGAAGCAGTCGCCGATGACTCTAGCGTCCTGTTTTAAGTCAAAAACTGAACGTGGATTAAAACTGACATCAACCGTCCCGGGGCCCGGTTATTACAACCCACATGATCACATCAAAATTCCGAAAAAGGCACTTATCACGTGAGTCCTGCTGATCCTGAACTTTCTTAAAAAAAAAAAAAAAAAATATATATATATATATATATATATATATATATATATATATATATATATATGTATTATTGATTTTTTATAGAGAGAAAGGGAGAGGGATAGATAGTTAGAAACATAGATGAGAGAGAAACATCGATCAGCTGCCTCCTGCACATCCCACCCCCTATTGGGGATGTGTCCGCAACCAAGGTGCATGCCCTTGACCAGATCGAACCTGGGACCCTTCAGTTCGCAGGCCGACGCTCTACCCACTGAGCCAGACCAGTTAGGGCCTGAACTTTCTTTTGAAAGGCGGTTCTGGGAAGGACCCAAACATGAGTAGAAAAGGGAGGGGTGCCTCTGTCAGGACGCTGTGGCAGGTCGCTGTCCTTGCTGATTCATAGTAGGTGCTCAATAAGTGTGTGTTGCGTGCCTACTACGTATTGAGCAACTGCTCGGTACCAGGAACTTCACATCGTGCCCGATTATTATAGCAATCCTGTTGTAATGACTCTTCCTGGAGGAGGAGCTGGGCTTCAGGGAGACAGAGATTTGCCCAAGTCCACAGGCTCGCCAGGTGCTGCTGGGAACCAGGCCCGGACTGCCCGGCTCTTTCCATGTTCCCCACGATGCCGTGCCCGCCCGGGCTGACTATCCTGTTCCACAGCAGACACCTCCGCCGGGCGGCAGGCACGCGAAGCAGGGGAGCCCGTGTAGCGTTGTGCTGATCAGCAAAGTGTCCCTTGGCTGGGCTTAAATCGAGACGCGCAGTTTGAAATCTCACAAAATGGCCTTTGCATCTGCCAGTCCACAGGCCCTGGGGGCTTCTGGTCCTGGCTGGAGGCTGTGGAGCTGCGCAGATGAACAGAGCACCGTACACCCCCCGCCAGGCTCAGCTGGGGCAACGCAGGGCCAGGCAGGGGCGCAGGCGGCCGAACGACTGTCCGGTCGGTGGCCACACACAGCCGGCCTCGCCAGCAGGGCAGTGCAGTGGTGCTGGCGTGTCCCGGGTGTCTGGGGCGCACTGGCTCTCCGTGATGCTTTGTGAACAGTGGATCCCTGGTTAATAAGCCTCGGACACACTGCTTACAAACCCCCTGCCGTCGAAGCATTGCAGGGAGCGGGGCTTATTCAGGGCTCTGAGAAGGCCTGCACAAAGGCACCCGTTAAGCCCAGTGTCTCTTAAACTCAGGCTCATCGATCATCCAGTCAGAAACCCTAAGGTGTGCCCTGACCGGGAATCGAACTGAGTCCTCCTGGGTCATAGGCTGCCACTCAGCCACTGAGCCGCACCGGCCGGGCTGGACTCCGTGTCTTGAGTGGCGCCTGTAGGGCGGATGCTGTGCGAGGGCCGGTGGGTTGTTTGCGGCCAGTTCGGGGCTCCTTGTTGAGGAAAGGCCGCAGGGGGCCTCTGCTCTGGCCGCTGTGCTGACTCCGCAGCTCCGAGGCCTCACCCGCTCCCGAGCGCTGCAGAGCGAAGGGCCCGCCCGCTCCCCATCTCCAGGTCCTGAGCTCTGGTCACCGTGTGACTCAATGTGTGAGACAAACCGTCTCTCCCAGCTCAGCCTTCAGAGGGGGAGACAAATCTTTTCAACGCCCGCTTGCCCGCCGGGAGGTGGAACTCCCTCTGATATCTCTCTGACTCTGGGTCTACCTCTGGGAACCCCAAGCCACTGGTTTGGCAGTGACACGCGGCCCTGTCACAGCTGGGCCCTGAGAATCAAGCCCTCAGCTCCCCTTCAATGTGGGCGATCAGGAGGGACCCACCTACAGTTCCCCTGGGGTTTTCAATTAGATATGGGGCTGCTTCTTCCCAAACGCTGTAATCTGTCACCTGCTGCCTGCCAAGCAGACACTGCATTCCAGCCCGGGGCCACAGCTGCCCTGTAATGAGGAGAGAAATTGCCCCTTTATCCCTCCAGACCCTGGGAACCCCCGAGGCAGAGTCTGTGCTGGGAGTGTCCCCGGGGTCTCCCTGCCGCCACCCCCGGTGAACTGCTGAGCCCGCTGACACACTCATTCTTCTCAGCGACTTGCAAACAGCTCACGCTGGAAGCTGCAAACACACTTAATCCAGCTGTGGCCAACCCGGAGCTTTGATAGATGTTTTCTTTCCATGGGGCAGGGCCCGGGAGGCTTTTATAACTGAGCCATGAGGCTCTTAAAAGCCCGTCCCTAAGCTCTGCGGGCTGCCCCGGGTCTGATCCAGCCTGACCTTTGGGACGGGCCCAGCCCGGCCGCCACACCAGCCGCCACACCGAGGGAGCAGCCCTGGCCGATGACGAACCTGTCCGGGGGAGGGGAGAGTTGGGGGGGTTCCTGATGTCCGGGCTCCCCCACTCGCTCCAATCCCTCTGCTTTTCTCTGCTGCTCAGCAAAAGCCCCAGAAATAGGGACAGGGCCCCAAAGATGAGTCAGACACAACCCTCTCCCTTAAGAGGTAGTCCAGCGAGGGGCATAGGAACAGCGAGATCTGTGCAGAGAAAGGAATGGCTAGAATGTGTGGAGGGGCCGGCTACACTGATGTTATCTGGGGCCATGCTTCCAACAGGCCAAGTGCAGACTCACCAAGGTGCTGGAGCAGGGGTGAGAATCTAGGCTCCCCTCCCGCCCTCCCCTCCCCCCCACCCAATCCCCCTCGATGGCGGGGGGAGCATGGGGGGAGGAGAGAGGCTGCGGCCTGCCAATCCCCCTGCAGGAGGAGAGAATCAAGCCTGTTTCTCAGCTGTGCCAATCACACACTCGCCTAGTTTCTGGGAGTTGTTTGAAGAGGTGACCCAAACCGGAACCTGGAGCAGCCAGCTTCTGTGTATAAGGGGACAGGTGGCTGACCACACACTATACCCAATTCTCCCCTTTCCTATGGCACCTTTGTTCGAAACATAAGCATGAAAGCCAGCTGTGGGAGCCTCAGGACGATTTGCTGTGGCTTTTAATGACCACCCCCTCCCCCTGCAGTGGGAGCATCTGCCCTCTTGTGACTCTGTGAGGGAGGCCCCCCTTTCCGGAGGCCCGGCTGCTCCTCTGAGACCAAGCGGCTGGGCAGATGCTGGAGGAGGCACAGCAATAGCAACGACACGTCTCACTGAGCACTTACTGTGTGCTGGCACCGCGTCAGGTGCCTTACATGCCTTTTCTCCACTCACCGAGTCCTGCAGAAAGAGTGGGTGCTGCTGCACCTGGCCACAGGGGGACAGGCTAGGGGTCTCGTCTGAATCTCACTGCCAGGGAGACACTCAGGTCTGTGTGACTCTTGACTCAAAAATTCCCGACGCCTTCCCCCGATTATTGGGCCCCGGGGGCTTGGGTCCTGGGCCCGCATTATCCCTGACGTGCTTTGCTTTTTCTGGGGGATTAGTTTTCTCTGGGCACCGATTTCTTGAGCAAAATGAGGAGGATGGCTAAGCCGCTCCAGGTCCCCACCTACGCTCTGAGTTTAAGAACGCCCTGTTCTATCCAGAAGGTGCCGGCCACAGGGCGGCAGCGTCTCCGTGGCCGGGATCCCAGGGCCCTCCTCTGCTCCGCTGGGCTGGCTTCAGGCTGGGTGAGTCCCTGCGGCTGCTCAGTGCTCCGAGAACTCCTCTTCCCGGGGAGAAGCCTCCGGTGTGAGGCGGGAGTGGCAGCCCTTCTACTGAACGGCTGGGAGAGGAGAGGCGTGGGATTCCCGTAACAATCCCAGAATTCCCTGGGCAGCCCAGCGGGCCCTCTTTGAATCAAGGGTTGATGGAATGTCACAGCTGGAAGGGACCTCAGAGGTCATCACCTCCCACCTCCCTCGTTTTGCAGATGGGGAGACTGAGGCACAGAGTGAACTCGTGTCAGAGCGAGGGCATACGTACAGGATCCACTTCGCTTTCATTCATTCCCTCAACACCAGGCGTGAAAGACGGAAGGCTCCTCTCTCTGAAGGAGGGGGGATAGACCTGAAAACAGACCAAGGCAACGGGAGGGGTCCCTTAATTCGCAGGCCAGCATTTTTCTACCCCCATGCCCTGCCTCGATAGGAAGATGTGTGGTAGGGCTCTGGGGAGCCTGCTAGTCTTGGGATAGCACATCCCCGGAAACCGGGATGCCTGTTTTCTTCCCTGGCCCTGGCAGACATCACAAGCAGATCACAATGCTCTTTCTTCATAGAACCAATGCAAAGCCTGTGCTTAACACTGAGCTCCAGCCAGGCATTGCCAATCGAGCAGGGCCGACGATGAGATCAATGCTGTCTGCCACTCCTGATGAGCTCAGTGGCACCATTACAACAGCAGTGTGTACGGAGCGCTCCCGTGGTGCTGGGCTGTGCTTCCTGCACCATCTCACTGAGCCCTGACAACAGGCCTGCGCTGTGGGAACTAGTATGATCACCGTCGTGCAGATGGGGAAACCGAGGCCCCGGGCCCCCAGCTCACAGCAGTGGGCCCACAAGAAGCAATAGGTCTCCTGGTGCCATGCCCAGCCCCTCTGCAGACGGCGTGGTGCTGGGCAGGTCTTGGCCATATCTAAAAACGACCATTTCCCCCATAGACTGCGCTGGTGACATCTTCCCATTTGGTCTTTTCTTAAGGAAACACCCCGTCCTGAACTTCTCCACCCAGCCTCTGTCTCTGCCCCTGAAGCCGACGCTCCCGGGCCCCGGGCAGTACGAGATTGTGGACTACGCGGGGCCCCCCAAGAACTTAATCTCCAGCGCATCGTTCGTGTCCAACACCAAGCGGTGGACAGTGGCGACTCAACCAGCCCTGCCTGGCCCAGGTGAGAGGCCTGTTTGGAATGACTGTGCAAACCAAACCCGGAATTGTCTGTCATCCCTGGGCCATCAAATGCCACGGATTTGTAGGTTGTTTGCCAAACAGGTTATAGGGGTTAGAGTGGACTTAGAAGACTTTTTAGCTCACACTTTCTGAGTATGAAAGTTGTGGGGTGTGTGTGTGTGTGTGTGAGTGTGTATGAGTGTGTGTATGTGTGTGGGGTTGTGTGTGTATGTATATGTGTGTGTGAGAGTGTGTGTGTGTGTGTGTGTGAGAGCGAGTGTGTGTGTGTGTGTGTGTGTGAGAGAGTGTGTGTGTGTGTGTGTGTGTGTGTGTGAGTGTGTGTGTGTGTGTAAGTAAAAGGGCTCTCAGAGCTGATCCAGGCCAGGGATTCATAACCAAGGACCATGACCACCGAGACTGGGACTCTGACCTTGTCTGCAGACATTCTCTTCCAGGCGAAGGGGCCATAGCTTCTGTCAGGTGGCCAACAAGTTCACGTTCTCACAAATGTTTTAAGCACTGGCCTCGCTTGGCGGAGTCACTTCATGGACGGGGAGCCGGGTGAGCGAGGTGCCCGCAGGTCTCGGGAATGAGGGGCAGCCGGAGCACCCCCGCTCCAGGTGCGTCCCCGCTGCCTGGTTTGTCAGTCACGGACCGGGGACTGTTCACTGGGCAGCTCTGTTAAGCCATCTAGTTCCATTCCCTTCACTGGTGAGCTCAATCGGTGATGCCCTGTGACCTCGGGTATCTTCCTGGGACCTATTTGGAGCTGTTCATAGAGCCCCTTAGCTGTTTACCTCCCCCTGACGTTGACAAACCTTTGCACGGGTCAAGTGTGCACGGACAGGTGTGCGCGGACAGGTGTGCTGGTGTGCAGGTAAGGCGGCGGAGGAGGGCGGGGCTGAGGCGGCTGCCAGGCCTGTTAAATCCAGTCTTTCAAGGGGTACGGATGCTGCTCCCACTCTGGGGCAGCAAAGGGTCTGGTGGGGAGACACCTTCCCCCTCCAAACTCAGGGGTGAGTAGAATGGAGGGCAGACAGGACAGGGAGGAAGGCATTCGCATAGCCTTGGCCTTGGAGATGCAATCAAGCCAACAAGACGGCAGAGGTTTGACCTTCAGGTCGTCTGGTCAGTCCAGGCAGAGGTCACTCTGGTTGTGCTGGTGCTTCTGTAAGTGCTGAGCTCCACTGGGTGGTCTCAGGAGGCCCGGGGGCCAGGGGAGACACCTGTCTGACCCTGCTGGGCCCGGACCCCTAAGAGCTGTGTGTCCGTGTCTTCTCTGCGCCGTGCATGGTGCGAGACAGCTGGCACACGGGCAGGACGGTACCTCCTGGGCATGAGCACATGCAGACATCTGCCTCCTTGGCCCCAGGGGTGCAGATGCGCCTGGACTGCCATGTGGCTGTGAGGAGAGAGGGGCAGCTGAGGAGAGAGGGGCAGCTTCCCAGGCAACCGACAGAGGTCACCCACGGCCCCTCGTTAGCCCCATCAGTGTCCGTGTGAGTTTCCCGTCCCCGGGCCCGTTCCCAAGCTCTGTGGTTCCGGCTGCTGGTTTCCTGAAGAACCTGCAGGGTCATGGCTTTCGCTTTTACGGAAATTTCTGAAATCAATCAAAACAAAACCCTACCAAGCTGACACCTTGTTTCTTTAAGAGTATCGCTTTACTCAGTCTTTTCCCTCCCAAATTTCATAGAAAGACTATCTGTAAGTTTTGCTTTGTCAAAGAAGTGAAAAGAGGCTAAAGAAAGTGGGAAACCAGAGTTCGAGTCTTGCCTCCGCCAGTTAGGAACCAGACAACCTCGAGCCGTCCCCTCCTCTGTCCGCCTCCCCGCATGGATGGTGCAGGGGCTGGGACAGGGGTCCCCTGGCCTGGCCAGCTCTGACGCAGAACGAAAGACACTCCCACAACTGGCCTCCTCCGTCTTCACGCTGCCCCTCTCTCCTCACAGCCACCTACAAGCCGGAGCTCCTGGGGAAGCAGTCCTTCCTCTACAACGAGGGCAACAGGTGGATCCCGGTGCTGTAGCGACTCACAGGGCGCGGGAAAGCCCGCCACCAGCCGCCCCACGCAGACAAGGAGAAGACAGGGCTGGCGGGGGGCAGCTCTGCCGCCTGGCTCCGTTGTTGTGGCATTTGTCCTGGTCTCGAGCTGCCTCCTGGAGATTGGGCCCCACCCCTCTGTCCCCGTGGCTTCCTGAGAAGAAGAGAAGACAGACCCCCCTCCACACCCCTGTTCCTTCGCCAGGCACCTGTCAGGCTGCTGTCTGCCCCCTGCCCTCAGGCGCAAGGGGCTCCTGACGCTCAGGCTCCAGGGAGAAGGTAGAGGAGGGCAGCTGCCCTGCCGAGCAGCCTGGCGCTGACCAGGGCTCTGGGGCCCACGTGCATGTGCAGGGGGACAGCACAGCCGCTGGCCTCGGCTTCCAGACCCTCCCGGTGTCCCAGAGCTGAAGGCTCAGAGGCGCTTGTAACAGACACGCAGGGGTTGCCTGGGCTCCTTGTCCCCACCCTAAGCCCTCAGATCTCACCTTCAGGAAGAGCGTGGCAGCCAGTCAGCTGGTCCCCGTGCTCAGCACCCAGCCCCAGGAGAGGCCACCGCGAGCTTCACTGGCTCTGCGGTCAACAGCACGGGGGCGGGGCCCTGCTGGAGCCAGACCTGGGTTCTGGGGGGCACGGGAGCCACGCAACTCCCTGAGCCTGCAGGTTCTCACTCTCACCCGGCCTTTCCCCGTCCTGGGCTGGGCTCCCCAACCTCCCACTCAGGTTGGACACATCCTTAATGCATCTTTTCTGGCCTGTCATTTCCCCTCGGCAAGAGGAGAAGATTCCCAAAGAACCAGGAGAAGGCAGAAGTAGCCACACACGCCTCCTTCCCCAAATACTGGCATTCTCTTCTAGTTTCATAAGTGGAACTCTCCCAGGCAGCCTGCCCTCCCCACAGTGAGGACAAGGCTCTCACTTCCCTTTCCTCCCTCCTTTGACTTTGCTCTGGAAATGCTACATCCTGGGCCTCCATGTCAAAACTGGCTGCTGATTGGCTCTCCACTTAGGGAGGGCTCGGAAGGATGGAATAACACCAATTAAATTGAAATCTTGCATCTCACCAAAGCTGGCCTCTGTGTGACCTCTGATTCCTGCAAGCGCCCATTGCTTTGGGACACGTTGGAGGTGGCGGGAGCTCGGTGTGGGAGCAGCGGAGTCTGGATCTGAGGCAGCCTGGTGCTCCCATCCCCGCAGGCCCTTCTCCTTGAAGAGTTGGATCAGAATTTGCAGGCTCGTGATCAAGCACTTCCAGGGCTGGGTGGGCAATGCATGGAGCACAACAGGTGATACAGGGATGGGGCCCGGGGTCTGGGAGCAGAGACTGCTGCCTACCTAAAGGGGCATCCAACTCGGGCCAGGAAACTGTTGCCAGATCTGCAAGCCTCTCAACAGAACCTGGGAAATAGTTAAAATGTGCAATGTCTTGATTTGAGGTGTTTGCAACCGTGTTTCAATGTAAAGTTTTTTGTTTAGGCCAAAGGACACTCTTCTGCAAACCATCCGTTGTCCGTTGGGAGCTAGAGGCTCTGGAAGACGCTTTCAAAGTGGCGCTTAGAGCTGTACTTTTTACAATGAGGCCAGACCCAAGGCCTTGGTTCTCAGGCCCCTCTGACCTGTGGGAGCTGAGAAGGCCATTGGGCTGGTAGGAGCAGGCTCCAGGGAACATGACTTAGCCTAGAGCGCAGGGCAGAGTTGGCACGAGAACTCCTAGCCTTGGGCTCTGCCCACTGACCCCAGCTACGAGGTCCTCAGCAAGGTCATCCTGACCCTTCCAGGACTTCTCCATGTGCAGTCCGTGATCCCCAGGCCATAACACTCAGCTGTGGGACCACGCAGGACAGAGAGCTGGGCGGGACGCCTCCGGGCGGGACGCCGGCTTCACTAGTGCCCAGCTCAGCACTGCCCTTCGAGTTGGGGCAAAAGCCCCAGACAGGAGCCGCCAGGCCGTGTCTACTCCCCGCCTCTCCTCCTGGCAGACTTTCACAAGAGGAACGAGTGTGGCGTTTGAAGTAATACAGAGGCAGACTTTTATTACTAAATACTAAACGAGTATACAAAATGCATAATTGAATAACAGCTAAAAAAATAAGTCCAAGAAATGTGCAATACACATTTTTTGAAATGATAAAAATGTATTCGTGAAAATATAAAATGTTGCATATATACACAATATATACTTAATATATTTATAACATAAATGCGAACGGTAAGTGAGAAATGTGTACAACAGCGAGCAGGGTGGTCGGTCGTGTATGGAGCAGCCACTTGTTCTGGCCGATCAGCTCTATTATTTACATCGGGCACGGAGGAAGTCCATGAGAGAGAGGGCGTGTCCACCACAGTGTCTTTTCAAAGCCATTTGCACTGAAAATCAAGAGTGTCCAAGTGACGTGACCCCAGGGTAAGAGATCCTTGGTCTGAGGTCGATGGGACGGCCAGGGATGGGAGAGGACAGCGGTCAGGCTGGCTTGGGGAGAGGCCTGCACCGGGACGGGCGGGCGGCCTGCAGAGCAGCCTGGAGGAGGACACAGTCTGCCGGGCGTTAACCAGGGCGGCGCTGTCCGGCTGAGGCAGGCGCTCAGAGTGGATTCAAGCATGAGTGGGGCTCGGGTCAGGACACCTCCCGGTCCCGTCCTGGCCCTGACGGCGGTGGCTCGGGCCCCTTCCCTCTGGGAAGGTGTTCAAGTAACGGCGCTGAGGCGTGCGGAGAGGTTGTGTGCGGCGTGGGCCCTGGCGGCGGCTCCTGGCCTGGAGCGCGCCCGCCCTCACAGCTCCTTCAGGGTGATCTGGATCTTGCCATCGTGCTCCCCCATGTCCAGCAGGAAGGCGACGTGGTTGCTGTAGTGCTGGATGATGTTGTTGTCCATGTTGACCAAGATTCTGGAAGAGAAGAGAGGTGGCTAGACTGGGGGAGGCCCCTTGCTTTCAAGGCCTCTGGTGACAAGGAGGACAGGGATGGTTATTATACAAAAGGGATTCCCAAAATTTCAAGCGTCTCACACTTTCTCTCTGACCCTCATAACGACTTTCAGTGGAGGGCACAATGCCCACGTGGCCGAGCCACAACTCAAACCAGGCCTGCCAGTTACCATGCCCCCGACTGTGCCAGGGTGCCCCTCTCAGTACATATGAGCGTGGGCACTTTTGAGCAGCTAAAGGTAGACCTGGGGAAGACTCAGTGCTCCTCAGTCACCAGCCGGGCTGAGGACTCCAGCTCAGTGTGAGTCCAAGAGCAGGAGGCGTGCTGGGTGGACAGTGGAGACAGCGACCTGCCATCCGGATGTGCCTGAGCCTGAGGCGAGGGCCACACGAGCCCACTCTGAGGCCCGTCCCCGGGAAGCTGGCGTCTCAGGGCCGCACAACAGGCTCGAGGCACTTGGCCTTCTCTCCCCACAGGCTTCAGGCAAGGACCTGGGCTGACCTGAGGAGGAGAACGCCCCGTGGCGGGGCCTCTGCAGGGGTCAAAGCCAGAGCATAGGTCAGAGGGCGCCCGCTAGGAGCTGCTTCCCTGGGGAAGGACCCAGGAAGAGGTGACCCAACCTGATCCTGTCAGGAAAGGAAGTGAATTTTTGCCCGTCCACTCATCCATCCGTCAGCCCATCCCACCATTCAGGGCCTTGCTCCAGACAAAAACAAGGGTCACACAGAGACCCTAGAGCCTGTCCTCCGGGGGTTTAGGATCTAGCATGGCCTCAGAGAACAATGTCTTGGTACCCTATTATTCCAGCTCATGATGGGGAAACTGAGGCTCAGAGGAGTGAAGTCATTTGCCTCAGGCCACACAGTCAATAGATAGCCCAGCTGGGACTTGAATCCAGACTTTTGTCTCTTTTCACTGCATCTTTTTTTTTTTTTAAGAAAGACACCACCCTGTCCCCCCCCCCCCCCCCCACCGTAAATACAAATTAGAAAGTGGTATATAGAAAGCAGGCAAAATTCAGGACTGGGGAGAGTTCAGATGAGAGTTCAGATGAGGGCGGTGACCATGCTCCTGGCAGGCAGCTGCCTGCTTTCCTGAGGACCCCGGGGAGGCAGTTCCTTGTCCCCACTCCCCAGGGCGGAGGGACAATGGAGACTGCGGTGAGCGGAAGCCGAGTGCCTGTGCTTAGCCATCAAGCAGCTGCTGCTTTTGGGAAGGCGGTCCGGCTCAGGCTGGGGCCAGTGTCTAACCACAGGCTCCCGCTTCCTCAGGTCAGCTGTAGTTCCTTCGCTTCACAGAGGGGTCTCTGGGGGCAGCGGGGTGGCACTCTGTCAGTGCGGGGCTGTGTGTCACACAGCGGCATTTACAGGGTGTGTCTGGGTGCCAGGCGCTAAGTGCCTGCATGCACACACTGAGATGCCTCCCTCCCGCGCCCAGGCAGGGCCTCCGGGGGGCCCGGCGCACACCTGTGCACGAGGAGCCCAGACAGCCCCAAGGGCCCTTCCCCTCGGAGGCCAGTGACCTCTGGGCCCTGGAGGCGGGAGTGTCAGGGACCGTGTCCCAGAGCTGGGCCTCTTGTCACTTGCTAGTGCTAGCTGTCTTTTGTCCTGGTTTGCATGAAACCCTGGCCAGCTGCCAGCAACAACAATGTGTTCGTCTTTCAAGCACTCAGCGGTGCTTGTAAGGCTGATTGCATCTCCTTTGTCCAAAGGACTTTCGGGAGGGTTCTGTGAGAATAAACTAGGCCACCGATTAGAATTTCCTGCTCCTCGGACGAGAAGCGTCCGGCTCGTAGGGGTGTGACGAATGAGCCTGGCCTCTCCTGAGAGGCTTTTTGGGGGGGCTCTTCTCACTGGGCATCAGAGGCCCGAGGTGTCCATGGTGGGCGGTGTGTATGGGTGTGGGGTGCCTCTGAAGGGCTGCTGAGTGCCCTGGGCTCTGGGGCTGGCCTGGCCACAGCCTATCTTTGCTCATTGCTTAGCGGTTAGAGGAAAAAGCAGGAGGCGAGATCAAGGAGGAGTGTGTGCACAGCCTTTAGACAGGCCAGGATTCCTTCTGCCATTTATTAACCGTGATCCTGGGACCACTCAGAACCTCAGGCTCCTCCTCTGTGGAAACAGAGATGATCACCCAAGCTCAAAGGCCAATGAGAGGACCCCTCGGAGTGATCTAGCCCAGCACCTGGCGTGTGCAGCGTGTGCCACGAATGGGAGTTGTTACAATTACGGCTTAACTAGCTGCCCGGGCTTGAGGGAAAGACCTGCAACTCAGCCAGTGGGGCTGGGGTTGGGGCAACCTTACATGTATTACCCCACACCCCAAATCACACACCAGGGCACTCCCAGCCGCACAGCCCGCTCTGGGGGGGTCGGTAGGGAGCTGGCCGCAGGTGGGGCTGCAGCCAGGGGGTGTGGGCACTGGCACTGAAAGGAGAAGTGGGGCTGGGCTTGTCCGGGCAAAGCAGAGCTTGCCCTCTGCCGTGAGCCCCAATTTGAAACCGAAACTTGACAGAAAAAAAAAAACACCCCTCGACACTCATACAACCAAAACCAAACGGATCCTTTCCCAGCGGCCGCGAGCCGCACACCTTCCCCCACCCCGCCCTGCTCTGGGAAGCTGGGTGGGAACGGAGGAGGGAGGGGAGGCAGGGCTGGGCCTGTGAGGAGGAGGCCACCCTGGGCCTGACTGGATGGGGCGTCAGCCTGAGACCCAAGCCTGCCTCCCTCGGCAGCTTTCTGGAAAGGACAGGCCACAGACTGTACAGGAGACGATGCCTGCACACCTCCAGGGGCCGGAGTTAGACTGCGCAGGGCGGGAGGGTCTGGCGGGAGGTGTGGGCAGTGGGGCAGGGAGTGTTTCCCAGAGCCTGGTGCTGGGTCCTCTGGGCGGGAACGGCAGTGTCGATTTTCTCTGCCGGGGGCGGGGGCTCGGCTGGGCTGGTGAAGTGACCCATTAACAAAGGCTGCAGCACAGCTCACGGACTCTGACCAGGGGACTGAAGCCTGGGAGGCAGTGAGCACATGGATCCCACACCGAGGATCTCCCGGGAAGAGAACAAAGGGAGCTGGTCCCCAGCACGAATCCCAGGAGCCCAGGGGAGGGGGCAGGCGCTGACCCCTGGAGGGTAAATCGCTACTCCCTATGCCTCCTGCTGACCTGAAGATGGAGGAGGCCTGAGGACCATCCCTGGTGGAGCTCCCTCAAACCACGTCCAACACGATTCCCTTTTCCTGACGCAAGGCCAGCCCCTTCCTCTGGGCACTGACTCAGCAGGTGGCACCGCTGCTGGGCCCTTCTGCCTCAGAGACTTTACTCTGCTGCTCCTACCCCAGACATTGCGTATCACTTCTGAGCCTCAGTTTCCCTATCTGTGAAGTGTGAATAATGGCATCTACCTCCTAGGGTGACTGTGAAGGGTTAAATGAGATAGGCTTAGCACACTATCTGACACAAAGTAGGCGATCAAGTGAATGGCAGTCACTATTATCATCACTGCAATCAAGTGACTTGGGACTTGAACTTGAGTTTTCTGACACGTGGCCCTGCACTTCCCACAATCTCCCACTCCTGTCCTTCCCAATAGCCCTCACCGTCTGGTCTCTGTGGTGGCCTTGGCCTGAGTGGGGGCTTTCTACCCAAGTCCACATCCCCTAGTCCTCTCCACAAAGCCAAGCACAAACACCTGCTGAGAGCTCCAGGAGTCGCCATGTTGGAAGGAAAGGGGCGGTGCGGAGACGGGGAGGGAGAGCTGGCCTGGGCACTTACCCCCGCTTGCACTTCTTGTAGACTTTGTAAATGTTCTCTTCAGGAAGCCCATACTTCTCAGAGATCTGGAAGAGAGCAGTAGGGGATTCATTGTCTGCTGCCCAAAGTGGATATATCCCATTGTTTTATACCACGACTTTTAATTTCCTAATTATAAAAGTTGTACGTCCAGTCCATACACTGAAAGGTTGAGGATTCAAGTCCCAGTCAGGGCACATGTCTAGGCTGATCCCTGGCTGTGGTGTAAGCAGCAGGCAACCGATGGATGTTCCTCTCTCTCTCAAGTCAATCAATAAAAAAACAACACATACATCCTTAGGCGAGAATTTTAAAAAAAGTAATATACATCCAGATTGTGGAAAGATACAAAGAAGAAAATTACAATCACCCATAATCCTATTTCCCAGAGATAATCACCATTAACATCTGGGTATATTCCTTCTCATCAGGTCATGAAGATAGATATTTTTATATTCCACATAGGTAGTTTTGCTTATCCTTGCATAGGATAAGCCTTCCCAAATCACCACAAACTCCTGACAGACAGCATGGTGAGTGGCTGCAAAATACCCCAAAGGGCATCACCACTCCCCCCAACCCCTGCCGGACGTCCCGGTACAGATGGTCCCAATGCTGAGGGCTCCCCGCCACCAGTGTGCAAACTCCTCATCACAGAGCCCAGCTCGTAAGACAGCGGGAAGAACTAAATGAACTGGCCCACATACAACACACAGGACAGCTCCTGGTGTGTGCCCAATAAATGGCCAATACTCAGTACCTGGCCACTGCCATTCTTTTAGAAGCTCTTACCCTATTGTGGGGGAGGGTAACCCAGACATGTCCCCCTTCAAGCAGAATTATGAATCCCATTTGATGGGTGTGGATGCTGGGCTGGAAGAAGGTAAGGCCTGTGCCCAAGGCCTAGCCTGGAACCCAGGTTTGCTCCCCATCACACCCCAGAGCACTGAAGCTTGTTCTACAGATGAGGAGACTGCAGCTCAGAGGCTGGTGAGCACGAGTCTGCACTCACCCAGCATTCAGCCATTTCTCTCAGAACTCTGGGCAGACGCACTGGTCCCAGCTCCACCACTGGAGCTACAGAACTCTTACTTTGCTGAGCCCCCGTTTCCCTGTTTGTGAAATGGGTGTGACAAGGGGGGTACACAGCGGTTGTTCTGCACGTGAGCTGAGACGATGCTGTGAAGGGCCCTGTGTGGTCTCGGTCAGCCCTCAGGTTAGTGTTACTGATGGCCTTGGCGCACAGGGAGCCTCAGGCCCAGGGCTTCCGGCGGAGGTTGTCCTCACTGGGCCTTTTAGGATGGGGATCGGTTCGGCTCCCCGTTATTCTCTGCTGTGTCAGGGATCCCCCTCACAGCCAGAAAAAGTCCTAGGCTATTTATCCTAATGGCAATGTGACTGGAAGCTCCCGCTGTGCCTCGAGTAATGCAAGCGAGAACTTAGGGATTTTTCTACCGTAAGTTGTACAAAGACGACACAGGCTGCTCCTTAGGGAATAAGCTCTCCAGCCCTTAAGTACACCAGTCAAGACTGGGCACCCACTTGGCAGTTACTGGCGGGAGAGCTCAAGCACTAGATGGGGAGCTGACCCTTTAAGGTTCTGTCCAACCCAAAGATTGAGCCTCCGTTCAAATGGCGTTTACTGGCCTTTTGGGAGCCCAACCTCCTGGGGCCGGTGCAAGCAGGGCTGGTGATATGTGAGGAGAACAGGAGAGCCTGGGCGAACCCCAGCTCTGTCACTGCGAGCAACCTGGGCAAGTTATCTGGCCTCCTTCTGGGGGGCTGTTTCCTCACGGGAAATGAGGCGATAAGAATAGCACCCACTTTTGAGGGTTGTTAAAAGAAGATGGTGAGCTGGCAAATGCAGGATGCCTGGCACACAGTGGGTCTTCAAAAGGGTGACAATGTCATGGTTTAATTCATTCTTCCCTCCACAGCCCAAGATCTTGGAACCACGTGGCTTTTCTGAGTGGGCCACCTTCAAGCACAGCTGGCCCTGGGGAGGCTGCTTGCGCAGTTGTCAGCTGAGCCACAGAGCTGCTGTGGGCTTTGTCTGGGGCTGTGTCACCTGCTCGCTGGTGGTTTGGGGGTGGGGGTAGAGGAAGGTCTTGCCCAGACACACCTTCAGCTTCCCTGGCCAGCACTCCAGCCTCCCCCCACCCCCCCAGCCTCTCAGCCAACCACAGGCTGCGGGAATGAGGCCCCCTGGGAAGGAAAGAAGTGTCTCTGGGGTCTGGCCTTTTGGGGTTTCATTCCCATTAAAATAGAAACAAGTTTGCAAAGCCAACAAAAAGCTCTGGCTTGTCAAACAGCAGCCATCAGATTAAGGAGGATTTATGGTGTGTGCGACTCCCAGGGTGGAGCCAGGGTTCTGGCTGCAAGATAACATCACTGAGGCTTAAACTCCCCTCACCCACCCCGCTACACACCACACACACACACACACACACACACACACACCACACACACACACACACACACACACACACACACACCACACACCACACACACACACCACACACACACACACACACACACACCACACACACACACACACCACACACCACACACACACACACACACACACACACCACACACACACACACACACCCCCCACACACACACCACACACACACACACACACACCCCCCACACACACCACACACACACACCCCACACACACACCACACACACACCCCACACACACACACCACACACACACACACACACACACACACACACCACACACACACACACACACACACACCACACACACACACCACACACACACACCCCACACACACACCACACACACACCCCACACACACACCCCACACACACACACACACACACACACACACACACACACACACACACACACACACACCACACACCACATACACACACACACCACACACACACACACACACACACACACACACACCGGGGCCAGTGGGCCCTCCCAAGTGGGTGGGACAGGTGGGCCACCACGGCACCGAGGCTCCAGTGCACTCCTTCCGGAGCCCGCCTTGGGAGGCCAGACAGTGTGTCAGAGGGAAGAAGTAAGGGCACGGGAGCACGAGAGGGGGTCTGGCCGGGCAGGCGGGGTCTACAGGCCTCTTACCGCGTTCCTCAGCCCCTTCAGGTCCGGGGTCTTCAGCATGAGGGCGTCAAACACCTCCTCGGTCTCCCTCCGCACGTACAACAGGACTGAGAAGCAAAGGGGAGGCTTTTAGTGCTGTGAGGAGGATGAACGAGCCCGGGATACCTCAGGGGGTGGGGAAATCTTAAAAAACAGCACTTCCTTTCTTAACAGTAAGATTGATTTCGGCAGAAAAAGCCAGCCCTTGCTGAGGGTCTGAACCCAGCTGGGACCCCCGGGCTCTGCGGGTCCCAGGCACTTGTTCAGACCCTGCTGATCTTGGCGAGTGTGAATCCCCACGCTTCCACCTGCCAGCCATGTGACCCGGAGGTCATTTTAACGTCACTGAGTCTCATTTTATCCAATGGAAATGGGGTGGAACCAGCCCTCTCTCACAGAGCTGCTGTGGGGATTAATACTTCTTGGAAACACCCAGTGCAGGGCAAGGCCCAAGTCAAGGTTGGGGGAAGCTTTGGCTCTTGGCTGCTGGCTGGTGTCTTCCTGCTGGTCAGCTACAGCCCCAGAGGTTCAGGCATGTCCTTCTCTTCCAGGAAGTCACAGAGTGTCCAAGCCAGAGAGCCAGCTACAGGAATCCACCCTGCTCCCATGTCCACGACAGTGAGGGGGATTTGTCCAACATAACCAGCCTGTCACCTTGACCAGCCTGAGCCCCAGGACGCCCGTGTCCAACACGTCAGAGGAGGCGGGAGCCCTCCAGCTCCGTGACTGTCTCTCTAAGCACCTTGGCTGCCCCCTTACTCCTCCCCCTTCTTCAAGCCTTGGCCCAGCCCCAGCTCTGAGGCGTGGAGCAGCCCCTCGCACCCTTTCTGTCTGGGCCAGGAAGGCCTCACAGGGAGCTGGGGGCAGCTGGGCTCCAACAGCAAAGGGGGTGGGAGTGTGGCTACCTCTCTGCAGGTCGTCTTCCTTGGCCTGTTTGGAGGGCAGCGGCTCCAGCTCCTCAGCAAAGGGCAAGCCGGCACGCTTCAGCGGCAGCCTGTGGGGACGGCAGAGAGGGGCTCATCAGAAATCCAGCAGGGCCCGAGGCCAAAGGACCCCGCTGATCCCGCAGGAGACCCCATGAAGGCAGGCAAAGCAGGGGAGCAGCGGTTAGGGGAGCATGTGCTGGAGCTGGACTGCCTGGGTTCAACTCCCAGCCCTGCTGCTCACTGGCTGGTGGCTAGGGGGGAGTCAGCCTCCCAGGGCTCCCATCTGTGAAGTGGGGTGACAACAAACCAGCACTGTCCCAGGAGGTTGTGAGGCGGGAGGAGACGATGCACACTGCTGTCTCAGTGTGTGACCCCCCAGGAGGGCCTCAATAAAGGTTCTGTTGTTTTATTACCAACATTATTTTTTGAAAGATCAGGTTGGATGGATGTGAGTCCCCAGGAGGTCAGTTTCTCATCTGACAGCTTCCCAGGCTGAGGCTGAGTGGAGTGAAGGGACTGTGGCTGACAGACAGAGGGTGGATGGATGGAGGCCCTTCTTAGACTGAAGGGCCCAGGGGAGGAGGGCTCTGAGCCCCTGAGTCCTCCACCACAGCTTCCCCTCCCCACCCTCCACATCTGACCCCCATCTCTGAGGCTTTTTCTTTCCCTTTTTACAAGCAGATGTCTCGCCAGAGATTCGCCAGCTTTTCACATAAAACGAACCCATAAAAACCCAGGCAGTTTCAGCGAGAAAGGAGCAGGAGTCTAGGAGCTTGGAGGGTTGGGGCAGACCCGTGGCTGCTTCCTCCAGGCCCAGCCCTCAGCTTGGGAGGCGGGTGGGGGCAGGGAGAGCAGTGAAGGGGGACAGGTAGGGCGGTGAGGCCCTGCGCTGCTGGTCTCCGTACCTGTTGGAGCCGCCCTGTCCTGCTGAGGGCACTGCCTGCAATAGAGAGAAAAGACATTTCGTTCACATGCTGAGTGGAGCCCCCAGCTGCTGCAGGCTTTCTGGGGGGACAGCCTTTGGCTGGCGGAGGAGGAGATGCAGTCTTGGTGCCTCTCCAGCCCATTCTGCTCGGATCACAGCCCTTTTGTGAGCTGAGATCTGGAACTGAGAGGAAGCCTCTCCCCCACATGGGATGAGTCAGGGCCTCTGACACAGGAGGCGCTGGAGTGTTGGCAGGGTCATGGAGTCCCACCTGAGCCCAGCAGGCCCAGACTGTCCCGCAGCAGGTGACTCGTGTGGGAGCTGAGGCAGAGGCGGGAGGAGAGAGCACGCCCTCTGCCCCTCCTGTGGGCCTGGCACTGCTGCCTGGCGCAGTCATCGCCAGTCCCAGCAGGAAACACTGTGGCCCAGAGAGGGCAGGGAGCCCTGGGTAACGCCCAGCAGCAGGCAGTCCGGATTCGGACCCCGGACTCCAGTTCTCCGCTCTTTCTGCTTCCTGGGTGCCCCGTCTCAGGCCCCCTGTGCAAAGACTCGTCCCTCTGTCTTTCCCCACAGATCGGCTGTAACCTGGCCACAGGGGCCTTAATCGCCAGTGGTCAGTCATCTTCCCACTTGGCCTCTGGTTGGGGAAAGAGTGAGTTCTTGCTGGAGGCCAAAGCCCCGATTCTGGGGCAGTGAAGGGAAGAGGGCGGTCATAGAAAAGGATTTAAACGAGGCCACGGACGGCACCAGGACTGGCTGTGCTTCCAGCTCCATAATCCATCTGGTACACCAAAGGCGGTTTCTGCACACGTCCCCTCCTCAGCAGTGGGGAGCTATGACCTCAAAGGAAGAAAACTGTCCAAATGTTTATCTAGCCGACAGGCTGTGGGACCTTGGCTCTGCTGCTGACCAGTGGTCCTTGTCTGCAAATGGGATGACCAGTCTCTGCCTCACAGGACCGCTGAGAGGGGAGACGAGACAGATGCCCAAGGTGCTCCGTGGCTGCCTCTGCCTCCAGAGAGGGTGAAGCCAGTGGACCAGGGCACCGTTTCTGAAGGCAGGCAGCCTGGCTCGGGCTCGGCCACTCCTGTGTAATCCTGGGAGGACTGTGTGCCTCAGTTTCCACCCCACAGATCAGGGGAGAATGGTATAATCCACTTCACAGGGATGCAGTGGAGGTCAGAGGAGGTGACGGGGGAAGCACTGAGCCTCTCATGGCGTCTCTGAGATGAGTATACCCACGAGCTTTGAGGAGGCCACCATCAGATCAGGTCTGGGGCTCAGATATTAGAAAGCTCCTGTGTGTGTGCTCCAAGCATACACACTCTGATGGCTATAAAGTCCGTTTCCTCATTAGCATTCTTCTCTGGAGTAGAAAAGGTCACAGCTTATGTGATCGTATATATATATTTTTACAAATTTCCTGGGATTCAATGAAGGTACTTTCATTTTGATGTAAAAAATATTAGGACACATAAACATCTAAATGGACCTGGGTTGGCTGAGTGGCAGGTTGTGTGCTAAGGTGCTAAGACCCTCTCCCAGCCCACGGCGCTCACCCCTCCGGGACGCTGCAGGCCAGAGAAGTGCACGTTGGGGATGAACAGCACTGGCGGGGTCTCCAGGTCAGCTTCGGGCCGCAGGTAGGTGATCTCATTGCCCCGGAAGCCGGACAGCAGACAGCCCTTGATGCCTGGTGGGAAAAGGGAGGCATGGTGACCTGAGGTCCCTCCGTCCATGCCCCCAACCTCTGCCCTCTAGTCTCCTTGACCCCTTCACCCCAACCCAGCTCAGACCAGTCTCTGCCTCATCTCCACTGACCGTTGTTGCTGGTGTCCGGGCACTTGACTTTCCTCCGGAACTGCTTCCGCTCATCATCCCGCATCTTCCTCTCTGCTCCCTGTGAGGGGGAACGGAAAGGGAGTCATTAAGTGTCATGGGAGGGGCTGGCTGCTTTGCATCTTGAATGTGGCCAGCCTTCTGATGCTGCTTGCTTCCCAGTGTGAGACTAGGAAGTAGGAAAGTATAGAGGGAGGGAGGGAGGGGTTGAGGATGAGAGAGAGAGAGAGAGAGAAATGAGGAGAAGAGAAATGTGAAAAAGAGAGACATTTCTAGAGCTCTGGAAAGACATCTCCCGAAAGAGATGAGAAAGGGCCTGGCCAGTGTTGCTCAGTGGTTGAGCGTCGACCTATGAACCAGGAGGTCACTGTTCAATTCCCAGTCAGGGCACATGCCCGGATTGCGGGCTCCATCTCCAGTGCGCGGTGTGCAGAAGGCAGCCGATCAGTGATTCTCTCTCATCATTGATGTTTCTCTCTCTCTCTCCCTCTCCCTTCCTCTCTGATGTCAATAAAAATAAATAAAATAAGATAGATGAGATAGGAATGCAGAGACAGGGGAAGATATAATATACTAGAGGGGCCAGGACAGACATTGACAAGCACAGAGACACAGGGAGAAATTCAGAGAGCAAGTGCAGAGAGAGACAGACACGCCTGGGTGGCTGGTGAGATGCAGGAGGGGCAGCCGTCTCCCTCCCTGGGCCCAGCAGAGCGCCTGTCGCTCTGGTCACCTTGTCACAGAAGATCTTGATCTGGCAGACGGCGCGGTGCACCAGGCGCTCTGTGGCGGAGCCACAGTCATAGGTGTCAATCTGCAGGTTCAGGGGGACACCCTTTACCCCCTTCTGCGACGAGAAGTCTGTGCTGAGGCAGTTGACGCCGATGAACACCTGGGGACAGACAGGGGAGCTGACCAAACAGCCTGCCCGGGTCCCCAGCTCTGCGGTCCCACCAATCCCCGTTATGGAGCCCACTGCGTGCCTGCTGAGCCCCGATTCCACACGCTCTGGAAGCAAACACCCCCTTTCTGTTACAAAAAGGGGAGCTGATGCTCAGAGAGCAGGACAGCTGCCCCAGGGTGACACAGGGAGGATGTGAGGGAGCCGAGGTTTGAGCCCAAGTCGTTAGTAGTGGACAGTGACATGGCAGCCCAAAGGATCAAGGCCCTGAGAGGGAGGTTAATGGTCCCTTAGGAGCTTAAAATCAAGAGCCTCGTTTTCCTACTACTCAGAGCGAGGAGGTGGAGAAGGGCCATATTCCACCCAGGCCCCCAGCTTCAGAAGACCACCGTCCTCCGGGGCCTGGGCCACAGAGATTGAGACACTGCCCTCTGCACCCCAAACACCAGCTCCAGCCAACACCCCCAGCTCCAGACCGGTCACCCCCATTCACAGCTGAGGAAGTGAGGCTCTGAGTAGGGAGTCAGGCAGGGTGGCAGAATGGGATGAGCCTGGACATGGGGCCCCCACAATGGGGTGGGAAGCTGGGCTCTGCCACTCACTCCCCTGTGGAAAGTGCTTTAACCACATGGAGCGGTTTCCTCAGCTGCTGGGCTGTGGGTCACTAATGGCCTTGGCATGTAGTGGCTGTCGGACATGTGTAGCTGTTGTTAGTGGGGTTAGCTGGAGTCCCACCCAAAGCTTAGGCCTGACTGAGGGTGGCCTGGGGCAGTCTCAGCAGGGCAGTCCCTGGCAAGCTCACTCTTCCATGGGGTGCCAGGGCCAGACCCCACTCCCTTGGAAATGACCCTGACCCGAACAGCAGGGCTGGGGGTGGTGCCTGAGCAGACCCCCTTCCTTCCCACGCCGTGCGGGAGGCGGGTCCTGGGCACATGCCAGACATACCTCCCCCTCAGCCAGCTCAGCCCTAATGGAGCCCCCACCCAGCTCACGCCTGAGAAAGACCCACGCCTGGGGGCTTAAGAAGCTGTGAGAAAACCCCAACCGAAACCCACCTCTCCCTTCCCACGAAACTGTCCCCACCTCTCTGCACCGGGGCCCCGCTCCCCCTCCTGTTCCTGGCACCTGTTTGAATAATAATAATCCCTGCCTTTGGGCCTCTCTTTGTGTTTTCAGAGCCCCTCACTCCGTTTTCTCAGGCCCCCTGGTCAGGCGGGGAGACAGGGATTAGCTCCCAGCCTGGCCAAGGCCAGAAATGCCCTGCCTTGAACTGAACCCAATCCTGCCTGGGAGGGGAAGGGACAGAGGCAAGGTCACCCAGCCCCTGGCTCTCAGACTGGTGGCCTTTCCACATGCCAGCTCTCCCAACAGAAAACCAAGACACAGGGGCCCAGCAGCACTCAAGGCTGGCCGTAAGCATTCAGTAGCTTAATTGCTGGTACAAAAAAATCACCAGAGGCTCATTTCTCCGGCCTCCCTGGTGGGTTTGGCTCTGTGCCCGTCTCAGACGTGCATGATCTGGTGGAATCTTCGCCCCAGAGGCGGATTACCGTTTCCTTCCTATGGCTCAAGAAAGGAGGCACCTGGGATTCTGGGCCTCATCCACCGGACTCCAGAGCATCTTCCTGCAACACTGCACTGGCCTGCCAGTCAGGAAACCTGGCCCAGCAGCAGCTTGTGACCTTGCAGGAGGCACAGCTTTCCTATCTGGCGGATGGGAGGACTGGGTTAATACCAACAGCCACCACTTATGTGCCAGGCTGTGCTCTACCTTTTACTTATCTCACGTGATCCTTACGTCAGCAGAATGGCTGGTGCTATGATTCCCTTCCAATTTTATTTATTTATTTATTTATTTTAATATATTTTATTGATTTTTTTACAGAGAGGAAGGGAGAGAGAGATAGAGAGCTAGAAACGTTGATCAGAGAGAAACATCGACCAGCTTTCTCCTGCACATCCCCCACGGGGGATGTGCCTGCAACCACTGTACATGCCCTTGACCGGAATCGAACCCGGGACCCTTCAGTCCGCAGACCGACGCTCTATCCACTGAGCCAAACCGGTTCGGCTCCCTTCCAATTTTAAAGCTACAACACTGGCCTGAGCCCACAGGGCTGGGATGCAGGCCCAGCCTTTCTGGCTTGAGAGCCTGTGCTTCTCCACCGCTCTCTATCCTGCCTCCTCCTCTGATGCCCTCATGGGAGCGGCTGCCACAGTCCTAGGTGCAGGCAAGCCCTGTCCCCAGAATGGGGACTTCGGACGGCCCAGCCCTGACCTCGCCATGCTCCGGCACTGACCTTGGCTTCCTCGTTGACATTCCACACGAAGGACAGTGCATTGTAGGCCACCTCCTCAATGTGCTGCACGGTGTTGAAGTTCTCTTTGCAGTCCGCTGAAACCACAGGAAACCGGAAGAAGAGTCAGGAGGGAAGGGGTTTGGGGACACCGTGGGAAAGAGGCATTCAGGAGCTAGGCCCCATTCTTGGCAAGGACTTGTATCCTCTCCCCCAAGAACCATGTTTCAGTGCAGCGAGGAAACTGGTAATTGTGCCTTGGGTTACTGAACTATTGAACTAATAGTGAATAAATGGTAGTATCACTTAGGAACACGTACAATATGGCAAGGCCTTAGTTAATCCTCACAAACAGTGGCACTATGAATATTCAGCTTTCACATGAAGAAAATGAAGCTCAGAGAAGTTTAGTCACTTGCCCAGGGTCACACAGTAATAAAAGGCAGAGCAAGGAGCAGAGCTCAGCTTTGTCTGGCTCCTGAACCCAGGCTCCCAACCTCTCTGCTCTCTAGCCTCTCAGGAAGTCACTGAATCGTCCCTGTTGTCTCATGCTCCTCAGCATGCTGTGTCCCAGGCAGAAACAGCGCTGTGGCCGGCAGGGCAGCCAGCCTTGTTCCAGCTGACAGTTGAAGAAATGAAGTCCGGAAGGAGATGTAACACAGGCCACACACCAGGAAGAGAGTGATCGAGCCAGATCCTGGAGATCTGAGCATGGCCTGTGTCTCCCACCATCCTGGGGCCTGGGACGGGGACAAGGTGGCATGGACACGAGGCCTGCCTCCTGCCCCCTACCCTCTGGCAAAGCCTGATCCCAGCACCCAAAGCAGAACTGGCCAGCTGGGCATGGAGCTTCCCAAATCACCAGCAGCCTACACTGTTATCTAATACATTGGAGTCTCAGTCCTCTAAGGCAGTGTTTCCCAACCTTCTCTCATGATGAGAATCACCTGGTGGAGTTGTTAAAACACAGATTCCCGGATCCCAACTAAGAAGTGCTAAACTAGAATTTTTGAGAACATATAGGTAAAATTGCATACCTAACTTAGTGCTCTGTATATAAAATCTGTCTTAGAGCACTAGTTAAGTATGCAATTTTACCTATATGTTCCCAAAAATTCTAGTTTAGCACTTCTTAGTTGGGATCCGGGAATCTGTGTTTTAACAACTCCACCAGGTGATTCTCATCATGAGAAGGTTGGGAAACACTGCTCTAAGGCCCCTGATGGAGACAAGCCGCCCGCATCCCAGGGGGCCATTTATCTGACACAGCTGGAATCCCAAGGCCTGTTTATCCCAAAGCAACTCAGAAAAGAGGCCACTGCTTCCAGACAACAGATGCAAATCCCTGCAAACTCCACACATTTTAACCTGGGAGAGGGGGGGGGGGGGGCAGGCAGGCAGCTGGGGTTACAACTAAGTCCTTTAGAGGTCAGAGGGGACTGGGGGAACGAGACACAGCAAGAAAGGCCTGATTAGGTGTGTGTATGTGTGTGAGAGACAGTAAGAGACAGACTGGGAGGGGGCTTGGGACGGCTCTCACCCACGTCGATGACCCGCTGCTTGGCTGTGGGCTGCCGGGAATGCCAGTGCTTCCAGAACCGCAGCTGCTCTACCGGGACCTTCTCGTTGTCAAAGACAACCATCACCACGCTCTGCAAGCACAGTGGTCACTGTGATCCCCGCCGTGGGAAAGGCCCCCGCTGAGTCCCTGAGCCTGGGCTCCCGTGGCCCTGACCTTTGGCCTTCGTTTCCCCCACTCCATGGCACTGGGCAGTTACCCAGCAGCACCCTTTCCCTGGGCCCCAGGCAGGCAGGGCTGACCTGACCATCCCACCCCTTCCCACAATGCTTCAGGGCCAACGCACCTTGACTTTGTTGGAGGACAAGGCGAGGCCCTTGCCGCCGGCGGGGGTGCGCAGGGTGATGGGGTAGAACTGGCCCTTGTTGAGGTAGGCCATGGGCGACTCGCCTGACTTGATGTGGATGGCTTTGGGGGAGCCCAGGGTGTACTCGAAGTCACTGTGAGGAGGAGGGGGACGACGGTGAGACTGGGCTCCCGGGCAGGGGTGCTCCCGAGGGCAGAGGGGGAAGCCTGAGCTTTGCCGCAGACTTGGTGAGTCACTCTACTTCCCTGGGCCGCAGTCTCCTCAAAGTTTGGAACCCTATGTAATGGCTTCGCTGAGCCCCAGCCCTGCTGAATAGTGAGCAGTGGAAACCAGAGAGACCGCTGAGGAGTGACAAAGCCACGGGGGACACGAGGAGCAGCAGAGCCCTGGTTTTCTGACAGGGCGCTGAGCCCTGAGCCCGGAAGAGGAATGCAGAAGTCATTCTCTTTATGTCTTTTCTTTCATTTAGCTTCACTCCCCAATTTTCACTCACCGCTCAGAGGGCAGTGTGAGACTCTGTCTGCAGCGCCCTGCCCCTGAGCAGGTGGCCAAGGGTTCACAGGGACTGAATTACCTCTTGGGGCTAGGGTAGTCCTCTGGACATGGAGGCTCCGGGGACGTTTTCAGGATATCTGGGAAGAGCAGCGACTGCAGAGGAACACAATGAAAGGGAATAAGTTAGTAGGTTTGGGCTGCTGGGCCTCAGCCTAGGCTGCTGCACATAGCTGTGTCTAGAGCTCTGACCTCCTCACAGTGTCCTCTCCTTCTGCACCTGCGTGCATATTTCCGGAGACACTGTGAGGGGCACGGGGATACCCTCACCTCCTGCGGGTCATCCTTGAAGGTACTGTCTGGCTGCCAGCGCTGTGTGGGTGGCACCCCATGGATGCTGTCGAACAAGGAGTTGAGGGAGCCGTTATCGTACACGTCACTGGTGGGCAACAGGTAGCTGTCCACAGCGCCAGCTTCCAGCTTGCTGGGGCCTGCGGGGAGGGCAGCTGCCTTGCCCGGGGAGGGCATGGCCACCTCCAAGCTCATCAGGTTATTCTTCTTGAGCACGTCTGGGTACTCTGGCGTCCCAGACACGTTCTCTGTCAGGAACTTCATGAGGTGCGTGGGACTTTCCAGGGGGGTGAGGTCCATGTCATAGTCCATGCCGTGGTAGTACCTGGGGAGAGAGAGGAGGGCTGAGTGTGCCTCTTCTCTCCGAGGAGTGGGATTGGAGAGGGATCCTCACACTGGCACACTGACCTTCTTTAATCCACTTGGTGGTTAGGCCCTCGCATGAAACAAGACATGGAGCAGGCCAGTGTGTCACAGGGAGGAACAGGGAGGAGGGGCTCAACACTGGGACCAAACGCAGGCTCAGGGCTGCTCTATCCATTACAGTGTTCGGTAACTTAAAAGCTGAGCGTTCATTTATTTCTCAGCCAGAGTTAAATGTCCCCACTTTTAAAACAACTGCTCCTGTCATCCCACGGGAGTGTGTGGGAGTGAGCATCTATGAGTGCAGTTCATTGATGTTGATTAAAAAAAAGGTGTGGAAGGACAGACGACAAACCTTAAGGGAGGCAGAGGAGCGGGACTGCAGGAATCTTTTACTTTGTACTTTTCACATTTCTATAGAGGTTAAATCTTTTACAAGTAGGTATTACTTTTATAATCAGAAAAGCTAATAACATTTTTTTAAAGCTCATTTTGAGAAAAGTCCCATGCACCAAAACCCACTGTTCCTAGCAGGGGAGGGACCCTGTGCCAGCCAAGACAGAGAGAAACCCACGTTTCCCAGCAGAGGGCCTATGTGCTGGCAGGAGAGAAAACCTGGAGAGAGGCGGGCAGGGTGCTCCCAGCCAGAGATGGAGGTGGAGGCGGGAAGGGTGGACAGGCAGAGCTGGTGGTGGGGTGAGCTCACCTCTTTCCTTGGTCGTTCCGGCCCCCGTTGGTGGAGGACAGTATCCGCTTCTCCTTGGGACCCTGAGGGGAGAGGAGAGGAATGATTTATGCCTGACTGCTGGGTAAGATCCAGCTATTAGGAGCCTCAACCCCCTCCTGCGCACTTGGCCAGGCAGGGGAGCAACCTCGGTCACTGGGAGAACACTGCCAGGACTTCGAGCTGGCAGAGCTCTAACCATCGTTTAGTCTGAGCCCAAGTTAGAGAGTGGGAGAAAGACCCCAAGATTAGCACTTGGCAATTTCGGAATGATGGAGTCAGGTAGGCTTGGCTTAAGTCCTAGCTTTACCACTTTAAAGCGCTTTGTGCTTTGGATAAATGATGGCACTTTCTGAGACTCAGTTTCTTCATTTGTCAGATGGGGAATGATATCACCTACATGGACTCCCAATCCAGATTTCTTGGGTTCGATTCCCAGATCTGCCCCATACTGGCCGTATGACCTTGGGAAAGGCCCTTAACCTCTCTGTAACGCACTGTCCTTGGAAAAACAGGGATAATAACCGTAATACCAACCTCGGAGATTGATGTGAGTGCTTAGAACAGCACCTAGCACATGGAGAGTACTACATAAATATTACCTTTCACGATTATAATTATAATATTGTTGTATCTTAGAGCATCCAGGTCACTTCTCCCTAAGGCTAACAAAGCAGCCAGGTCTCCAACCCAGGCTAGTTACTCGACACCTGGACTCTTAATCACATCCCATGGAGAGTATGAGGGAAGGCACCTGGCACAGTGCCTGGCAGCCAGTAAGAAACGGTAAGTGGACCACAGGGCTCAAAGCCACGTTGCCAGTTTGTGGCAGAACTAGATCTCAAATTCCCAACTTGGTGCTCTTCCCACACTATCAGACTATCCGCAGGGCTGCTCCGAATCCAGCGTGCTCTGTGATGGGGGAAGGTAATGTCTCATAGGACACTATTTCAATATACCACTCCACGTGTCCCTTCACAGCCTGTCCCCACCATTCTGGCCCTGGGAATGGCCTATTAACCAGGGGAAGTGGAGCTGGATTTTATTTCATGTTTAACCTTAAGCTGTAAATACTACGCTGGAGGTTAAACCCAGACCTAGAATTTTGGCTCCAATCACGTCCCCAAGCTGAGGCAGCCAATTCCAATTTCTTTTCCTTCAGCCTGGGATAAATACTGGGGAGAAGGTAAGGTAGGGTAACCACTCCCCTCCAGGATTAGAACCAAAGCCAGAGAGATCATTTGGAGCCTTCTCATATCTGGGGCCATTGCTCCCCTTGACATCTAACTTTACAATTGTGGCAGGGTAGATAAAATACTGCTTGGCCAGTGGCTTTGAGGACTTATTTACAAGATGGCTTTCAATCTTCTAACTCGGAGCTAGTTATCTCAACAACTAGATTTTTGTGACTCCCATCCTCAAATTTGAGCAAGTCTTGTGGAGCAATCGAATAGCCAGCAAGTTCGCTGTCATGTGACAATTCAGATAACTGTGTAGGGGCTGCCTGAATTTAAAAAGATTCTGTGGCCTCATGTACCTTCAGTGAGAATGCAGCCTATAATCCTCCAGCAATGTCTGAAACAAGCGGTGGACTGGGGGTGGGGGTGATGTCATATGTTTTATATATTTGTGATGGCTAACTGGTTCAAGCTCACTTATCAGAATTGGGAGGGTCTAATTCCTGTTCTCAGTAACTGACAGTTTCCCAGAGTCCAGGCCAAGGCCCAGGAAACTGTTAGAGAATAAGAAAAGACAGTCTGTCAGAAGGCATGGCAACGCATACAATGGCAAGGGTATGAAGAACAGTAAGACAGGAGAGAGGGAGATGATATAGCAGGTTGGCTTCCAAGAGAAGGTGGGTCCAGGGAAGGGCCCTGAAACAAGAGAATGGGTTCAAGAGCACAAAGCATGCTCTAGGTGGTGGGGTTCAAACAGGCAGGTGAGACTGACAGGGCAACTGGGATGACCTAAGGGACAGGGGCAGAAAGAAGAGGCAGGTTGGGGGTGTTGCTGTGATGGAGTATGGCTGAGGCCTTGAACCATTCAATCAATATGTATTGAATACTGTGTGGCAGGCAGTATGGAGCACTGAGGATTCAATAATGATCACAACATAGTTCCTGACCTCCAAGAGCTCAGTCTGATGGGAGAGATGAAGAAATAAATGCACAAATAGCAAGTTTCTAAACCAGAGTCAAGGATGATGACAGTAGTTGCCAAAGGTGCCCAGAGGAAGGTTCAGAATGGGAGACCCAAGAAAGACTCCCCCATTTTAATGAATAAATGAGGAGACATTGAAGCTGAGACCCAAAGCAGAGAAGAGGGTTGAGCCAGAGGAAAAGGGAGGGTGCCAGAAAGAGGGACTAGCATGTACAAAGGCTGACAGGTGAGAGAGAACATGGTGACGGGCTGCGAGTGGTCACAGGCTGTTGAGCCATGAGGCCTGAGAGTGGAGCTGCACATTCAGTCAGAGCGAGGCATGCCCAGGTGGCTAACATACCATGTAGTAATCATAGAGGAAGCTCAGGGCTGCAACGCTGTCATCATCCCCATTGACTCTCATCATGGCCTTGGTGGCGGCCGTCAAGGGGTTTTCCAGGTAGGTCTTCCAGGCCTCGTCTTCGTTAGTGTAGGGGAACTTCTGGAAGTTGACTGGGTCGTTCTTTAGCAGCCGCACAGACCTGAAACTGGAAGGCAAGTCAGGAGGGTCAAATGAAGGCTGTCCCAGAAGACAGTCCATGAAGGGTCAGCCTCAGGCATTCAAAGAACAGTAATCAGCCTTGAGAATGTGAACTCCTTTCTCTACCACCTTAGGCAGTTTGACGGCAGGAGGATGAACTCTAGAGCTAGATGCTTGGGGTCAATAGCAACTGTTTCCATGCAAAAGCTGTAGACCTGGGGCCTCAGTTCCCTCATCTACAACTTGAAGACCATAATTCCAACCTTGCAAGCCTTCAGAGAGGATTCAATAAATGCTTCCTTAGTAGATATTTATTCAAGGAGAATCAGTGTAACAAAGATGGGAACTGACAATGTCAAGCTGCAAAGAATAACATTTCCAGATTACTCAGCAAGAGTTCTTCTAAAGAAATTCTCTTCAAAACTGTAGGTACAGAAGGCAGAAGATCATTCCTCGCCATGGAGAGAGACAGAGAATCAGAGCGAGGAGGCTCATAGGAGGAGTCTAGCCTTGGGAAATGGCATTTCAGACCAACATGTATTGTAGATTGTCCAAGCAGATGCTCAGATGCCAGGAACTGGAGTGGAATACTGTGTGGTATACCAAGGCAAGCAGAGCCTGGCCACTGTGCTAAGAACTTGGACAAATTCAAGGCATTGGCCCAAGAGTCAAGTCACATGGGCTGGAAGGAAAGAGATGAGAAAAGGCTCTTTAAAGCAGGCAGACATTTTAGTTGGGACACCCAGCACTGGGGATTATGCCACTCAGAAATGTAGGGGGAGGGAAATAGGGATAGACAGAATCATAATGATGACGATAAAAATTATACATAAACTTTTTTTTGAGCATTGGCCATGTTTTAGGCACTGAGCTAAACATTTTCCATGGATCCTCTCATTTAGTTCCCACAACAACCCTGTAAAGCAGGTACTATGATGATTCTTATTTTATAGGCGAGGAAACGGAAGCTCAGAGAAGTTAAGGGAGTTCCCCAAGCCCAGAAGTCAGCTTGAGCATTATGATGCTCTAATACAGAATACTGATCTTGAACTTGAGCTGCATCATAATGATCTAAAAGGCTTGTTAAAACACAGATTTCTACATCCTAGCCGGTTTTGCTCAGTGGCTAGGTCAGCAGAAGGGTTTCCGGTTCATTTCCAGTCAAGGGCATGTTCATGTACCTCAATTGCAGGCTTGATCCCTGGCTCTGGTCAAGGCATGTGTGGGAGGCAATCAATCAATGTGTCTCTCATCAGTGTTTCTCTCTGTATCTCCCTGTCCCTTCCACTCCCTCTAAAAAAACAGTCAATGGAAAAATATCCTTGGGTGAAGACTAACAACAAAAAAACCACCCACAGATTTCTGGGTCCCACACAAGAGCTTCTGATTCAGTACATCTGGGGTGGCTGAGAATTTGCTTTTCTAACAAAGTCCCTGAAAGCTGATGCTGGGAGCTGGGAGCCATACTTCGAAAATCACTGATAAATAACATGCTCTTATTTGTGAGCCAAGGCATAGAGATGGGCCAGTTCTCTTTGTGTTTGTTTTAGAGCGAAGAGTATGTACAGGACAGTGGTGGGAAGATGGGGACAGCCAGGCCAGGAAAAAGAGCCCCCAAAATAAAGTAGCCCCCAGGGCCCCCTTTCTGGGTGAGCCTGATAGACTTACTCATGGGAACTATATCAGCTGCTATTTACGGAATATAAATGAACAAACACGCTCCACTCACTAACGCTGTTCCTTACAAGAACACTACAAGGTAAGCACCATTCGCTTCATTGTATAGATGAAGAAGCCGGAGACTTGGGAAGGATAAGGAAACGCCCAAGAACACTCTGCTACTCCATGACATGACCCGGATTTAATCCTAGGCTTGTCTAGCACCAAAGCCACACACTGTCCACCTAAGCCACACACTGTCCACCTAAGCCACGTACTGTCCACTAAGCCACACTGCTTTCCCGTAATGCAAGAGGGCAATCTCACCACACCAGGAAACCACTGTAGTGGTGGAATTTCAGGCGTTGTGGTGGAAGGTAGGTGGGCAAATCCTGCCACAGGAAGTGCCTTCCTGCTGCCCTGCAGCTCAGGCCTACATTCTTAGACAGAGTGGGAGCAGCAGCCAGGCCACACCCAGGCAGGCCGTGGGCAGCAGCTCTCTCACAGGTTTCATCCAGGGTAGTGTCTCCCATCCCACGGGGCCCCAGGGTGTGGGGCCCTGGGCTTTGAGAGGCAGGGAGGGAGAGGGAGCTGTCACACAAAAAAGAGAAATGACAGAAACCTTCCTGCTCCAGGGGTGCGGAGAGGGAGGCACACCCCGAGTTTCTGCTGCTATAAATCAAGGGCCTCAAGAGGGGGAGTTGAGAAGAGGCCCCTCCTAGCTGCCTCCTGGGCCTGGGGTTAGAGGAACTTCTAGAGCAAGCCCAGGATGGCTGCCACCTCCTCTCCCGGCCCCAGGCTGAAGGGAACTCCCAAATCAAAGGGCCATGGGAGAAAAAGGCCTTATAGAGCCCACACTCATGGTCAACTGGGACCCTCAGTGCTGTTCCTTGTGTGTAAAATGAGTCTAATAAAAGCACCTACTGTGTAGAATTATGAGGATCAAGTGCACTTCCATGTGAAAAATGCTCAGAACTTTTTCTGGCACTTAACAAGTGCTTACTACATTTGAGCCATTATCATGCTCTGGGCTCAGCTCGGAGGCAGACATCAAGGTGTTGCAAAGCGGCATAAGACCTGGCCACTCTATAAGTCAGTGGCAGAGCTGGGCCTAGAGCCCCAATTTGTTGACTCTGGTGGAATGATCTGATAGCTTTGATGAGCTATCAGTTACTTATCCTAATTTTAGAAGTCACATCAGAAACAAAAGAACTGACAATGTTGGTTGGTCACCTGGGAGGCTTTTCTGGCCTACAAGGGTCACCAATCCACTCAGTAGATTCCTTGATACACAGCAGCTGCCCTGCCTTAAGCATTTACCATATACAGACAGTGTGCCAACTGTTTTTCTGTGCATCTCTTCTACTCTGCACAATAGTCCTGAGAGATAGCTATTCGGGAAATAGAGACCCAATCAGGTGATGTTACCTGCTCAAGGTCACTCAGCTAGTAAGTAGTGGAAGCTAACTTGAACCTGAATCTCTTGGACTTCAAGATGAAGCTCTTAATCCCAAACTAGTCTCCCTTCCAGATGCCTTTCCCATCGTGGAAATTCCACTCCTCTGGAATATACCGAAACAATGCTCCGCTGCAAGACAAAAAGGGATTTCCCACCCATAGGAAACTGGAGGGACTAAGTGAGAAAGTGAGGTGACTGGAAGAGTTTCTGTCCAGGAGCCAGGAGCTGTAGTGTCCGGGTCCCAATGCCTGCTCAAGCTACCAATCAACTTTATGTTCCAAGACTGATCACTGGCTTCTAGAAAAGTTCTGACTATGGATAAGGTTAACATTCCTTATGTGCCAAATCCTGAAATCTAATATCCTATTCTCTTGAAGGTTGGAATTAAAGCTTGTGGGCCCAGTGGGTAAGAGCCATGAAAAGGGTTCCAAAAAGAAATGAGCCCCACTCATGGGTGACAGAGCCAGAACAAAGAGGGGAAACCAGGTGACTCTCATCCTATGTGGTCACCTTCCTCAGAGCCTCCACAAACTCTCTGTTGATGTCCCTGTCCAAGGCAGAACTCCTCAACTATCAGAAGGTAAACTGGAGGTGGGGTGGAGGGGATAGGGCGAGGACTTGGCTCTGGGCAACCTTCTTGGCATCAGATCTCCGCCAGGGCACAGCACAGAAGAACCCGTAGCACCATGGAAGGAAGTGACACTAGAGACACAGCCTGACAGACCCATCTGTTAAATGGGCCTATTGAATGCCTTCTGTGGGCCAGTCAGGGACTCTTGTAGGCCCTGGGCATCAGCCAAGAACAAGACAGATAAGACTCTGCTCCCACGAAACTGACAGTCTAATTGGGAAGACAGTCCATGACAAGTAGGTAAATAAGTTAATTTTAGCCAGTGATAAGTGCTGTGAAGAAAATGAGAACAGTCAGTGATGGAGTCACCAGGGCTGGCTACTTCAGAGTGGGGCTAATCTCCGGGGTTGTTAGGAGAATTAAATGCATTAACATAAGAAATGTGCTCAGCCTAGAGCCTGCCAGAGAGTAATCGCTCTGTAAATAATAGCTATGTCACCGCCATCATCATCATCATCATCATGACCATCATCATTTCAGAACCCCCAAATGAGAGTAAAGGGGAGACTCCGCCTGAGGTTCTTAAATTAACATCTTCCTCAAGCCTCCTGTGAACCAGCTTCCGTGTGAAAAACAAGAGAGACATGTAATAACCCCTTGCCTTGACTTTCACATTCATTATCTCGTGGAGCCTCTCAGCATGCTTGATGTGTTATTATCTCTATTTTACAGACCAGGAAATACAGATAGCAGGTGACCTGTTCCAGGGGACTGGCCAAGGAGTTACAAAGCTGAGCCTCCTGAGATCTGGCCTGGGAACTGACTCAACACTATCCATCCAACCACTAGTTTCCAAGAAGGGATGTAGAGAGAGGGGGGAAATACAAAATCCTGGGAGGCATCTATCTAACCATCCACCCCTCACTTTAACTAACAAAAATTCATCAAGTGACTACTATGTTCCAGGTCTTGCCCTAAGCAAGACAATAAGGTCATCCCTGCTTTTGAAGAGGTTGCATTTTAGTGGCAGCAAGACAGACATGACCACAAACACAGACAGCTAAAATCAGATAGGTGAAGAGAGCGATGAAGGAAAAGAAGCGGGGGCATGTCTGGCTCCTTGAACTCTGGGGAGTGACTGGATGTGGGTTGAGAAAAAGGCTCCAGGGGAAGAGTGAGCGTGGAGGTGATGGGGAAGACTTTAGACCTCCCAGAGGAGGGAAAGGCAAGATCAAAGGCACACGCCTGGGACAGCTCCCAGCGCTTCTTCCCCTATTATGTGTCAGGTGTGAGCCAGGTCCTTTGCATACGTTTCCTT